GTTAAAACATGGTAAATAGTGTTAAAAATGCTATTTTTAAATCAAAAGTTTTATTGGGATGGGTTGTGGGTGATTGTATGAATGTTTATGAGCATATTGGGCAGTTATAAATGAACAAAGGAAAATTAAGATTAAAAAAGATTTAAGACCTACAACACAATATTTCAGTAGATTTAAGACTTTTTAAGACCCAGCAGAGACCCTGATTACTGTTAGTGCCATTTTAAATTGACTAATATTTACTACAATGTGTGTGTTGTTTTTTTTATTACCTTTATTTATCGAAACCTGGAAAATAGCAGAAAATTTCTAACAAATTCATTTATTTATGGGTTTAAGTAATAAACAGTTAAAAATGCTAATATTTGTTTTATTCTATGAAGGTAGCATCATTTATCTTTGTATAAAATTTTAAATATTTCCAGGTAACTTAAATGTGTGTGTTTTATGTATTCTTTATATATTATTACCTTGAGAATCTCAGGAAAATTGTAACAAATTTATGGGTTTGAGTAATATGAAAAAAAAGGAAATATTTGTTTTGTTTTATGAAGGTTTGATGCAATTTCTTTTGATTTCTTACCTTTTTTTCTTATTTTATCATAATTCTTTTTAAAACGACAGCAAACAAGCAGATCTAACTCGAACTTCTCTCTTTCTCTCGCAGATCAAAAAGGTGGATACCAACAGAAGCAAGGCTACCAGAGAGGAGGTAAATATCAAACACACTAAACCCATGATAAAATAAACAATAATCCACAAGCTTGTACGCTTCTCACTTGTGTTCATTTGACGCGGCTGTTCCAGAAGTGTGTGTGTTGAAGTGCTTTTGTAGACGTGCATGTGTGCCTGTGTATCTAAACCCTTCTCACTATGCAGCTCCAGACCAGCGGGGAGGTTACCAGCAGAAGCAAGGTTACCAGCGAAATGGTTATTAAATGTTTAATCATTCACTCCTCTCTCTTACTCTTCATCCACTTTACTTTCACACCCTTCACTCTTTTCTGCCTTCACCAATGAATTTGGTGGCCATTTACCAATATACAAAGCCCTTCCACCATCTCTTCCTCACACTCTTGTTCTTCCTTGAGCAGTAAATCTTACACGAGTCACTCCTGGAGCTCAACATTATTGTTTTTCTGTTCTCTGTCACTGCTATAGATCAGAAAGGCGGTTATCAGCAGAAACAGAACTACCAGCGAGGTGGATACCGGAACCAGAACCAGAGCTCATACTAATCCCAGCGCAGCCTAAATCACGGCTTCATTCCAGGACCAGACTGCAGCTTCCTCTGACTTTGCTCTCCAGACACTGACTCCAGATCTGTTTTGTTTTTTTGCAGTGCTTTAGTTGCAGATGAAACCAAGCTTAATTTTATTGACCCGCTATTATTCGAGTGCTTGGGTTTACATTGTCGAGGATTCTGAGCAGTTTTGGAGGTTATTACGTGGGTTGGAAAGGAAATATCAAGTCATTTGTGATAACAACTGGTCAATCAATAAACATTATTAAATCTAAATCATGGACATTTTTGTGAATTTATTTATTTATTTTTCTCTCTGATGATTTCAAACTTTACTAAACATCAACTCTAACGTTGATGTCTAGATGTTTTTTTTTTTGTTTTTTGTTTTCTTGCGCAATGGTCATTTTGTGTCAGGTCAACTAGAGGCAAAAGTGGTATGAATTTCTGTGAAAAAAATTATACTATTATCTCTGGAAATAGACAAGATAGGGCCTTAATAGGATAATTTACACAAAAATGAAAACGTTCTCACTCTTTACTCTCCTTCAAGTGGTTCCAAAGCTTTAAAATTAGTTTTTTATTCTGTTGAACACAAAAGTAGATTTCTGAAGAGGGAAAAATTGTCTCAATCTACTATTGAATTCAATGGTTAGAGGTTTCCAGCGTTTTTCTTAATATCTTATTTTGTGTTACACTTAAGTCAAACAGGTTTGGAACATATGAAGAGAGGAATTTATTTATTTATTTTACATTTTTTGGGTGAATTACCCCTATAAAAGTTAAATATGAATGTTTAAGAACTAGAATGCAAACGTTGGGAGAAAATACAGTTCCTTCCATTTTTTTGAAATGCTTCTAATAAAATATAATGCTTAAAAATGGCTAAATACAGCAAATTTTTACCTACTAGTGCGAGTCTAAATAAAATTATGATGGTGGCATCTTTTTGAAGCAATTTTCCCCCAGTATTTTGAAAGCCCCCAATATTTCTCATCTAAATCTGGTTGAGACAAAATGACCCATAAACTGTATATTTTTGTATTCTACAATCTGCTGATTTATAATGCGGTCATATTTACTAGTGGATTTTTAATATGAAAGTTAAGGAAGTCAAAGGGAAGACCATTTCAAAGTTGAGGACCTGGAGGGAGGGCATTATCTCACAAATTACAGGAGAAATAACAAAATGGGAGGCAAGAGATAGGTGTGAAATATGATAGACTCCAAGGGAAGTGATGGCAAGTATGTTCCCTACTCACATTTCCCCTTATATTTCTCAAGGAGCCACAGTAAGTGCTTTGGACAGTGTTTTGGTGTCTTTGAGTAAATCTGATGTCAGTAACCATGATTTTTGTAATGGCTTATTGCTAGAGGAAGAATGTAGTTGCAAAACTGGTTAATTGAAACACTTTGAAACTGTCGACACTGTGATGTAATGTGTATTTATAAAGCGCATTTGTAGTGTATGGCCATACAAGCGCTTTACAATCATGAGGGGGGGTCTCTCCACACCACCACCAATGTGTAGCATCCACTTGGATGATGCAAAGGCAGCCACAGGACAACGGCGCCAGTGCGCTCGCCACACACCAGCTATTGGTGGCATAAAGAGACCGTGATGGAGGCAATTCAGTGGATGAGAATTATTGGGAGGCCATGATCGTAAAGGCTGATTGAGGGACTTTCGCCAGGACTCTAACGAGACGGCGCTCACTGACAGTATAGTGTCCCCATCACTTTTACGGGAGCATTAGGACTCACACAGACAACAGGTTGAGCGCCCCTGCTGGCCTCACTAACACCACTTCCAACAGCAACCTAGTTTTCCCATGTGGTCTCCCATCCACTAACCAGGCTCAGCCCTGCTTAGCTTCAGTAAGTAACTGGTCGTGCTGCAGGATGAGATGGCTGTGGTATATATCACAAAATATCATTAATATCGTTGAATAAAATTGTTTTGTGCAGATTTTGACATTGAATTGCTACTAATAAGGGAAGTAACATTGTAAAACAATGTCTATCTAAACTTACTTGCCAGCCAGTTTTCTGTGCAGTAAACCATCCATTATGTTTTATTGTTCCACTATAGAAATTCTAATATTTATTTACAAATTACTCGGGTAATATTTGTAAAAGTAACTAGAAACGTAATACCTTTGTAACATGCCCAAAACTAGTTTCTGAAAGTAAAGTTTTTCCGATTATGGATGTTAGTGGTTACAATTTTACCTAATTCTTCATTTATACGTTTTACCTATTATTCTTCAATAAAGTAGTAAAAAAAAGGCAGCCATTGACTTTCATATTATGAAAATAAAATACTATGAAAGTCATTTTTCAATATACAGTTGAAGTCAGAATTATTAGCCCCCCTTTGAATTTTTTTTCTTTTTTTTATTATTTCTCAAATGATGTTTAACAGAGCATAGAAAATGTCACAGTATGTCTGATAATATTTTTTCTTCTGTAGAAAGTCTTATTACTTACAAACCATCGTTTGCAATAACTTGTCATTACTCTAACCTGCCTAGTTAACCTAATTAACCTAGTTAAGCCTTTAAATATCACTTTAAGCTGTATAGAAGTGTCTTGTAAAATATCTAGTCAAATATTATTTACTGTCATCATAGCAAAGATAAAATAAATCAGTTATTAATAAATGAGTTATTAAAACTATTATGTTTAGAAATGTGTTGAAAATCTGCTCTCCGTTTAACCGAAATTGTTCTGTTCTGTAATTCAGGGGGGGGCTAATAATTCTGACTTCAACTGTATCTTCTTTTGTTTTCAATAGAAGAAACTGTTGCTTGAAGAGCAGTGGGAAATCTGTGTTTTACAGCAGCTGTTCAAAAACAAGTTCTTCACCCATGTAAACATTTACTAAACACTGAGAAGCCATAGGATGACCCATTTAAAGCAAAGTGATCATTAAACACGACGTAGCTAATGGAACACAGCATGCTCAGATGTCAGGATTTTTACAAAAATACAACACTTCCTATTCATTACAGTGAAAATTGTTGATGGCATAATCATTAATATTAATATTAGAATCAATGTTAGTTGCATTTTTACGCCAAATCTTCCCCACTTGTAAGAATTTAGTAAAGTGTATTATACTTTAAATATTGTAGTATTTACAACTCCTTGTTAATTAAAGCTGCACCATACTGTAGTATTACTTAGTGTACTTTACACCAGTTTACTGCATAATCATAGTAACTAGTAAACAGTTAATTATGATGCAATGTGTTAAAAACACTACAGTATTCATGAAAAATACTTCAGTATATGTTTTGTTCTAGTTTGCAGTTAATTTGTGTCTCTTGTTTGTAAGTATTATTGATTATTCAGGACAAAGTCTTTTCACATCAGTATCGGTGTCTTTCCCAAGATCCAAGGTCAGTCTGACATCTGCTTCATTCCCTCACTTATCAGTTTTCTGCGTTTTTAAAAGAATGTATCCTAAAAATCCTGCAGTTGTTCATTTAATGAATCATCACAATGCTTAATCCTAATTAGCTTTGCTGTTGCTTCAGAGTGACTTTAAAGTAAAGCAGTGTCATTCTAACTAGTCATGCGTTTAAAACAATATTGAGTATTGATGCTTTTATATTTTACAGAGAAGGAGGAGGAATCAAATCTCTCTCTCTCGCTCTCTCTCTCTCTTCACCCCGAATGTCCCAAAGTTCAGACATGTCAGTCATTAACCGACAGGTCCTCTCTCTGCCCCATTCATCTGCTGTGTGGTTATCTGCATTGGACACGTCCCACAGGAGCTGCATCTGCTGTGTGTTTGACCATTATTAAGCGTGAGTGAAATCGTTTACAAATGTTCTGAAGAATATCAGGTTTCTCTGGAAAGATTCATTTGCTTCACTTTTAGTGTTGAGAAATGATTATAGTATTTATTATTTTGATTGTTTTTGTGTATTTTGTCATTTTCTTAAACTAAATGAAAAAATTCTTACAATTGCAAGTTTCTCACAATTCTGCATTTTTTCCATCTAAAATTGCATGTCGTGAAAGCATAATTGCACACAAAAAGCTGCATTAGTCAGCAAATATCAGTGACATTTAATATTTATTAAATATAATTTTTTAATCAGAGTAAAAATGCAAAAAAATCTAGGATTTAAATTGTAGTTACTTTTTGTCAAAATTTAGATGTTTTTTTCTGTCAGAATTGCATGATATGAATGTGTTAGCAATTTTTCTTACTTTATAGAAATATATAGCATATAATAATATATATTTAACATACTTAATTAAATATATATAATTCAGTTGACACTGATTTTATTCCAAGTAACACATTTTTAAATGCTTTTAGTTTCAGTTAACTATAAAAATAATTTACACAGAGCTGCACACTAACAAGGATCTTTTCTGTTTTTTTATCCGTATTTACGCTTACAGGTGTCACTGTGTGTGTCAAAACCACATCGCTCTGGTCTGTATGTGTGGCTAAAATACATATAATCACATGAGCTGTGCTGAATAAGCATCGTCAGATTAGATCAGATGGTTCACCAGTTAAAGTTTGATAAAAACATCTTGTTTTAGTCTTCATACCAGCAGTGGAGATGTGTTCTCTCCTCCGGCCTCCAGCGTTGAGTCGTCTCATATGTGTACGGCTCAAAACCATGGCTGCCTCGCAGTTCCCAGCAGCAAAGCGTAGTGGAGAGCTGAATAACCCATCACCGGCTGCGTATCTGCGATTCGAGGACCCTCAGGCGTTCAGAGTGAAGAGTCTGTGGGAGCTGATCCGGGCCCTCGGTGTCTTCAGGCTCTGCTCGTTCCCTGTGCTGGTCAACAACTGCGGAAAGGTGAGGACCAGTTAAAGGTGACCTATTATGCAAAAATCACTTATAAAAAGGGGTTTAAACACAGTTGTGTTGCAACAGTGAGTAAATATAACCAGTTTTTAAGGGTAAAAATAAATATATTTTTTTATAATCACACTCAATGAAAACAGTCTGCAGAAACACTTTGATTGACGTTCTCACTTTGTATGTCATCAGAGAGTGAAAGCCCCGCCCACAAGTGACCATCTCTCATTAGCATAGGACATCAGTCTTGTTTTTGAATCTGCCACTAGCTGACACATAGGTATTTGTAGCTCCGCCCTCTTTTGAAAAGAGCACAATTTCATTTGAATTTAAAGCAAGTCACCAAAATGGCACCGATAAGTTCAAAGCCTAAATGAATAATTAACTATTTAAATAAAATAAAACAAATATTTGTATTATATCGTTAATCAACAAAACTTAAAATAATCATAAACTTAAACGATTTCAAAAATAATAAATTCTTGGAGACGCAAGATGTACCCTAATTTTACATTTGGACACTTTATTGAACCCTAAATGAGTCTAGTAACATTGTAAACATAAATCTTAATACATTATATATTCATTCATTCATTTTCTTGTTGGCTTAATCCCTTTATTAATCCGGGGTTGCCACAGCGGAATGAACCGCCAACTTATCCAGCACGTTTTTACGCAGCGGATGCCGTTCCAGCCGCAACCCATCTCTGGGAAATACATTTTATATATTATTTGTTATCAAACCTATTAGCTGTGATATGATTTTTTTATTTACACTTTAAACACAAACTTTGCCCCAGATTTTTTACAGATTTTAACTTGGATTATTTGTTCTCACTCCTTAAGAGACTTGAACTAGTCTCTATAGATTGGACTACATATTCATTCATTCATTTTCTTTTCGGCTTAGTCCCTTTATTAATCCGGGGTTGCCACAGCGGAATGAACTGCCAACTTATCCAGCACGTTTTTACGCAGCGGATGCCGTTCCAGTCACAACCCATCTCTGGGAAACAATCACACACACTCATTCACATTCATACACTACAGACAATTTAGCCTACCCAATTCACCTGTACCACATGTCTTTGGACTGTGGGGGAAACCAGAGCACCCGGAAGCAACCTAAGCGAACCCAGGGAGAACATGCAAACTCCTAACTGACCCAGCTGAGGCTCGAACCAGCTACCTTCTTGCTGTGAGGCGACAGCACTACCTCCTGTGCCACTGCGTCACCTAGATTGGACTACATATGTCGTAGTATTATTTAAATCATTACAATACATGCCATCATAACTCTACTTGATGTTTTAGATCTACATTTTACATCAACATCCACTAATGTCTGTTGTTGTTGTTGTGTGGTGTGTGAAGCTGATGTCTTTCTCGAGGAGGGTTTTGGGAAAGCGTTGTTTCTGCATGGTCCTCCGTCCGTCTGTTTACGCTCAGTTTGTGGCTGGAGAAACAGAAGGAGAGATCGCAGACTCCATGCAGAAGATGAGCTCTCTAGGCCTCCATCCAATGCTGGCAGTTCCTATCGAAGAGGACCTGGGGGAGAGCACCGGGTGAGAGTCAAGACTGCTGATTTCAACTTATTATTACAGGATGTGGGGGTGATTTGGATCTGTGTTTACATGCCTAACCTTTATTTTAATGGCCATAACTGACTGGTTTAAATTCCCCCAAAAAGGCTGCTAGGGTATTTTTTTTTTCAACAAATATATTAGTCCACAAGGTGGCAACACTTTGTATTCAGCTGTGCAAATACACTTTGCCAGAGGTTCAGGAACCTGCTGGGGCTAGAACAAAACATTTAGAGATTCCACCAAAACTCATTTTGAAAAATGTTAAATAAGTCAATATTTCAACTGTTTATTTAATAAAATATGGAAAAAAATGAATGTGTAACAATATGAATAAAAATAGTATAAAGAAATAAAAATAAATAAAATTGATAAAAGGTGTAATACTTAATAATATATATATATTTTATTATCTTAATATTCAAAAAATGTATGACATAATAAAGATTTAGATAAATTCACAATTTAATTAAAATGAATAAATACAAATTAAAGTACTAGATGCAAATAATTACATTTTAGATTAAGATTTCAAATAAAAAGAGAAGATTAAAATTTAATATCTGTATAAATAAATAAAAAACACATTTTCCCAATAATATTTTTGATCACTTTTTAATATTAACTTTTATTTATTAAATATTTGATGCACGATCGGCAAGTAAAGAGAATAAAGAGGCATGCCAAAAAACATAAATGTTCATATTTGTCAGAAACATACATGTCCACATATATGCCAGAAACATATATTTTCATATATGTCAGAAACATATATGTCCACATATATGCCAGAAACATATATGTCCACATATATGCCAGAAACATATATGTCCACATATATGCCAGAAACATATATGTCCACATATATGCCAGAAACATATATGTCCACATATATGCCAGAAACATATATGTCCACATATATGCCAGAAACATATATGTCCACATATATGCCAGAAACATATATGTCCACATTTATGCCAGAAACATATATGTCCACATATATGCCAGAAACATATTTATCCATATATGTCAGAAACATATATATCCACATATATGCCAGAAACATATATTTTCATATATGTCAGAAACATATATGTCCACATATATGCCAAAAACATATATGTCCACATATATGCCAGAAACATATATGTCCACATATATGCCAGAAACATATATGTCCACATTTATGCCAGAAACATATATGTCCACATTTATGCCAGAAACATATATGTCCACATTTATGCCAGAAACATATATGTCCACATTTATGCCAGAAACATATATGTCCACATATATGCCAGAAACATATTTATCCATATATGTCAGAAACATATATGTCCACATATATGCCAGAAACATATATGTCCACATATATGCCAGAAACATATATGTCCACATATATGCCAGAAACATATATGTCCACATATATGCCAGAAACATATATGTCCACATATATGCCAGAAACATATATGTCCACATTTATGCCAGAAACATACATGTCCACATATATGCCAGAAACATATATGTCCACATATATGCCAGAAACATATATGTCCACATATATGCCAGAAACATATATGTCCACATATATGCCAGAAACATATATGTCCACATATATGCCAGAAACATATATGTCCACATTTATGCCAGAAACATATATGTCCACATATATGCCAGAAACATATTTATCCATATATGTCAGAAACATATAAATCCACATATATGCCAGAAACATATATTTTCATATATGTCAGAAACATATATGTCCACATATATGCCAGAAACATATATGTCCACATATATGCCAGAAACATATATGTCCACATATATGCCAGAAACATATTTATCCATATATGTCAGAAACATATATGTCCTAATATATGCCAGAAACATATAAGTCCACATACAGTATATGCCACAAACATATATGTCCATATATGTCCATATATGTCAGAAACAAATGTCCACATATATACCAGAAACATTTATGTCCATATATGCCAGAAACATACATGTCCACATATTTGCCAGAAACATACATGTCCACATATATGCCAGAAACATACATGTCCACATATATGCCAGAAACATACATGTCCACATATATGCCAGAAACATACATGTCCACATATATGCCAGAAACATACATGTCCACATATATGCCAGAAACATACATGTCCACATATTTGCCAGAAACATACATGTCCACATATATGCCAGAAACATATATGTCCACATATTTGCCAGAAACATACATGTCCACATATATGCCAGAAACATACATGTCCATATATATGCCAGAAACATACATGTCCACATATATGCCAGAAACATATATGTCCCATGTATGCAAATAAATTTCTCAGACATTGTTTGCTTTTGAGTGCCCATTAATTTCAAACCTTATTGTATAATGCTTTTCCAAGACTCATTACTTGATATTGCCTTATAACAACACATGCTTTGATTTAATTTGCTCTTTTTGCACTATTTTTCTTGTATCAGTTGCTGGAGTTGCAAAACATGCCAAACATTATATCCACAGGGAAAAGCGATATGACGATAACCTGTCGGCCATGCTGGAGTGTGTCTTCATGTCTCACAGTAATGGATGGAGTAACAATCCCATGATGCAGCTGAAGATCACAGCTTTAGTCAGCCCTGAACTGTGTGTGCGTTTCATCTGATACTAACAAATATATATAACGATTAATGTTCTCTCTGATATGCTACCAACTAAAATTTGGGATAATGATAATATTAAGAAGTGAATATAATAAATATGTGTATTAGAATGACTTCTGAAGGACACAAATGACTGGAGTAATGGATATATGAAAATTAATTAATAATGAATGGATTAGATTTTTAAATATATTCAGATAGAAAAAAAAATTTAAAATGTAATATTTCACAAAACTTGTGTTTTTGCTAGAATGAATGCAGCATTTTAAATAATTATAATTACTTTAGAAGAAATTATGCACTGTTTATGCACTTTATTTTTCTTTTTAAAATATGAACTCGCAACATTCATAAATATTTATTGTTGTTTAGGTTAAGCTGACCTCTCTGCTGAAAACAGAACTGTATGATCTGAACTTGCTTGTCAAAGCCATGGATGGAGAGGTACAATATTATCTTTTATTTTCTGTAAAAAAAACATTGACATTTCTGTGTGCGAGTGCAGTCAGTCAGCACTTAAAAACATAATCTGTATCTACAAGTATGTGTATTACCACAAAATATCAGAGAGGATATGGTAAACATTTCGATTTGTCGAAATCTAGCAATTGACTGATTAGTGGATTTGCCATAGAGCACCATGGGTAATGTAGTTTTTCACCTTTAAACAACTATGTTTAAAGTGAGCACATCTGTCTTTAATGGTTCATGGGTTACTGTTAAAATGAAGATTGCTTACAGTGAAAATGAATGTTTTTTTTTTCTTCTGCAACTCTGAGATTTCTTACCTAGAGTTAAAAAAATTGACTATTTTTACATTTTGACTTGTCACTGAGCTAGGCATGGGCCGGTATAAGTTTCTGACGGTATGATAACTTTGGATAAAAATATCACGGTTTCACTGTATTGAGATTACTGCCCTAAAATATATTCTTTTTGAATGTCTGGGTAAAAAACAAAACTTTTTTCTCTTTTGTACACAATATATTTTATTTTGAGAAACATTTAAAATATTTTGGATCAGTAAACATATCAGCTAAATAATTCAAATGAATGATTGATTTCTGCTGCCTTCATTTGTTTCAAAAACTCAGATTTTTTTACAATTTAAAACGGCATCTTTGGCGATCTGTTCTGCTGGGGATACTGCTGTCCTTTAAAAAAAAAAAATTTAAATAAAAAACTTTTACTCATACCTTAGGAACGGTATAGCAGAAAATGTTGACGGTTTTAAAACCTTAACTTCCAAACCGTGGTATACCTTAAACACGATTATCGTCCCATGCCTATACTGAGCTGGAATTTTTTCTTGGACATGGCAACCCTGCCTTAATTTTAATATTCTTTAAATGACGTTCTTTTTAACCAATAGGAAGTCTTGTTTCCCGGTCTAACTGAGAGTGAAAACACACACCTGCTATTTGGCCTTCGGAGGCTCAACAAAATCGGAGAGGTACTAAAATTAAATTGCACAAATTAGCAAAATGTTGTTCAGAATGAATGTTAACGTTGTGAATGTTTTCAGGCGAGTGTTAATAAAGTGCGTGTTCTGGTGGATGCAGAGTACACATACATGAATCCCGCGCTGTCACTCATCACGATGGCCATGATGAAGAAATTTAATCAACAAAGTGCCTGGATCTGGAACACCTACCAGTGCTACCTGAAGGTGGACGAAATCTACATTGCATTATTCAGTGGTGGCATTAGGAACATATAGTGGAAATCAAACCTGTTTTTAAACAATCATGCATTTCAGGAAAAAAAATTTCAGTTCAACATTTGAAGAAATACGGACTCTTCTCAAGCAGTTAGGTCGGTATAGTTGGGTAAACAGAGCGCAGTGAATGGCAGAGTACAACAAATATTTTTTTACAATCCTATTTGCTGAAATTATAAAGGAAAGAAGCCACGATGGTGTTATGCAGACTTTCAGAAAAAGGGAAAAAAAATAAAGAGTGTCTGATAACAGGAGCCAGAGCAGAGAATAGCGTCAAATTTACTCTAAGCCAGTAAGCCCCATAGATGCCGCATTAAAAACACCTCGCATAAGCGGTAATTTATTTATTTATTTTTTTGTAATTTTATGCAAAGATGATATAATACATACATAAATGCATATACCTGTTCATACAATTTTTTTAATCAAAATTTTAACAACTTTTAAGGATTTAGGATTATGATGACCATTAAATGCGTAATAACAGTCTTGTGAAAAGGGTACATTAGTTGCAGTTATTCTTTTCTAATTAGAGAAGACAGTTACTTTGGTTTCACATTTACAGCTCTCCCCCATGTTGAGAAACCACTCTGTAAAAAGCCATTAGTTCACTTAAAAAAAGTGAGTAAACCTCTTAAAAATTACTAAATAAATGAATTATGTGCATACTTATAAATATTAAGTTAAATCAAGTTAACAGTTCCAAGTTACAAAAGGCTTACTTTTTTAAGTATAGTAACTAATTTAGTAAAGTAACTAATTTTAACTAGTTTTTACACTGCAGGAGTAAATGCAGATGAGTATGAAGTGTAAACAGGATAACTACAAGATAAATTACTGGATTTACTTTCGATTACAGTTAACAGTAGGCCAATTTTAACATTTTCCCTCAATTAGATTGAAAAACTTGTACAGATAAGCAAATACTGCATACACTCTAAAGGACTTTGATGTGAATATGAAGTTTATTAATTTAAGTTTGTTTTGAGTCTTCAGAGATGAGTTGTTGTTTTTTTTTATTAAAGAGGTCGATCAAATACAATTACATATATAGAGACAAATAATACAAATAAATAAACAAATGCACAGAAATACACACGAAGACAAATAAACACCAGGGTAACAAAAATAAAACTGATGAAATAAAGTTACACCTTAAAGAGACACAAAAGAAGAATATAAGGATACCGTTTTGTTGCTTTTGGATGAAGAGAATGCTGGATAGTTTCCAAATATTGGTCTAGGTCGATTTTGAACAGATCAAAAAAAAGGTGTAGAGCCACTAAACTTCTGTTTGTGAATATGAAACTTGGCTAATAGAATACACTAATTAACTACATATATTTTTTCTATGTTTTCTTTAGAGCCATCAAACAATCCAAAGAATATAACTTTAAAAGAAAAGGAAAAGTCACTCATAATATAAGATTGAATAAAGATCAACAAATCTGACCAGAATCTCTCTGTGAAGGAGCACTGCCAGAACAAATGAATAGAGTCTTCCTCCGAAGAGTGACAGAATGAGCAGTTTAAATCAATGTCAGGCTTATATTTCTGAAGACAGGCTTTTCTTCAGAGATGAGGTGCTGATCTTTATGAAATTTAAAAGATGGCTGCTGCAGTTTTCATTGCCCTTAGTTCTTGACACCAGTTGACTGGACGGCATTTAGAAATGTTAACTTTAGCATTTAAACTACACTAAATTACACCTTAACAAACTACACAACACAGATGAACAATTAAACTAACTTTATATAAAATATCACTCGCGTATTGTTTGAAAGACTTACCTCAGTCAATTGGCATGATGCCTGCTGTAACGTTAGTGTCATCAAAATGCGTGGTATTTGATGAAACAGGTCCAAATCCCAATAGTATTTGACTCATTCACAGCCAGTACGATATGCAGAGAAATGCAGGTTCACTGAAAAAGCTGGTTGTTTTCTCACACATTTCCAAATAGATATAACGTTAGCTGGGATACAATTTTAAAAGTATTCGCTCGCTGTGCTACCGTGAGCAACCGTTACAGAAACAGCTAAAATAGGCGGCAATTTTGAATTTGTGCGACGTCATCAGGTAAGACATAACCATCATGTATGCGCTAAGTATGATTAGGAAACATAAACATACAATGACTGTATATTATGATTAAAATTAGTATTTGTTTTCAAGACAAGTTTAACAGTGTAGTTCAGAAAACATTGCATAATTTACAGTGCATTTATTTAGCCTTCAAATGCTAGGCTCTTATTTGACATCCTCACTTTGATCTTCACATGATTAACTCTATTCAGTGATGCTAAAAACGCTTTGAACAAATGTATTCCGATTTTGTTTAGCTATTTTTACAGAAATAATTTGTAAATATTAATGTAAAATTATAGCTATATTGTAGTTCCTGCTTAAAAGTGAACATGTATTATCACCTGCATTAAAAGAGATTGTGTATCTCTTTAAATGACTAAAAACTGAAATGTAAATTACATTGCTGAATAGTGTTGAAATTTCATTCATCATTTTTCATGCTGTCCATTTAGTTTGAACTGCTGGGTTGTTCTCAATTCGATCTCAGTATCAATCTGATTTCAGACATGATTTTACATTTCCTTCATCCTGACGTTTATTCATGTTTCATTGATTGGTGTATAAAGGCCTTACATCTGTCAAAAATATGCATTTTCTAATATTGTTACAAATAAGTAAACTCAGCCCAGATAAAACTGCAATGTAAAAAGTAACATAATGCATTGCTTACTTTAAAAAGTAACTAACATCAGTTACTTTTTAAAGAAGTAACCCAAGATTGTAAAGGATTACTTTTAAAAGTTACTTTGTCAACACTGTTAGAATGTTCTCTGATTGTAATTCTGTATAATTGTTGATTGTATAATTGTGTATAACAAAATCACATGGCTAACGGCTTCCATTGTATTTCTTCACCTACAGGAATCGAGAAATCTATTACTTGATGCCGTTCAGACATCCATCAATCAGAGTTTTTGTTTCGGCGTTAAACTCGTCAGAGGAGCTTACATGGACAAAGAAAGAAAACTAGCTGAAAAAGAAGGACGGACAGATCCAATCCACGAATCATGGGAGCATACTAATGACAGGTGATTCTTTCATTGTAAATGACAAATAAATAAGGAGCAAAAAGTAACTAAAATATTACTTTGCTTAACTAAAATATACTTTGAAATATACGCATTTTACTGAAATTGTTTTAGATTATTGTATTTAAACATGAAAAATATTGAAAAATATAAACTTTAAATGCAATAATAATAACACAATAATGCTGGTTTCATTATACTAGAACTTTATTTCTTCAAAACACTGCAGAAGTTGATTAAAATAGTTTCAGATTTAAAATGCATTCAGTTAAAGCAAAAGTAGTTTTAGATGCATTCAGCGATATTATAGGATTATATTATACAGTATAAAATTTGCCACATTTAATACATTTTTTGACAGTTTTTTTATGTAATTTTGTATATGCAATGAAAAAATCCATTATGCAATTTTATTTTCAAAAGACTGAAGAATGCTGAAAGCTTGATCAATGTATATGTGCATACTCTAAACAAAACAAAACACTTAACAAAATAAAAAATACAACCTCGACATCTTGACCAATATATACTATAATATCATAGGTGTAAAAAGAAATTAAATACAATACAAATAATAATAATTATAGTAAAAAAATAAATTAAAAAAACACTATTCAAGATGAAGAATAATAATAATTCCAGATGAGTCCAGATGCTTCCTCTTAAATTAGAGGATGTCAAGTTTAAGAGGTTCCCTTTTATTGTGCGTCTGATTTTTTTCTAGTTTACCAAAACGAGAAATGTCAAATCCATAATTTTTCATTCAAGTCTTGATTTATTTGCAGCTATAACGGATGTCTAGAGCTCATGTTGAAGCTGATTGCAGAGAAACCAGAGCGATACATGATGATTGTTGCCACTCACAATGAAGAATCAGTCAGACGGGCTGTGACGCAGTAAATATTTTCATTTATATTTTATTTATTTACTTATAAATCACAAATAAACAGCAATAGTTGAGCACTAGGCTGAACAAAAAGACAGCGTACAAGGTAAAAAGAGTATATAAGTATTTATATAAGAAGATAAATGTAAAATAATGCATTATATTACATTACATTATTTTATTTTATTAATTAAAAAATAATTATCTGTTGCTTATTCTTCTAGTATAATCATTAGTATAAAGATGAGTGAGGGTTATTTGTGTGTTTCAGTATGGCAGAGCTTGGACTTCACAGAGATGGAAACTCAGTGTGTTTTGGTCAGCTGTTGGGCATGTGTGACCATGTCTCTCTAACTCTAGGTAAGAAATCTCAGAGTTGCAGAACTAAAAAAACATTCATTTGCACCAAAAGCTTACTTCATTTTAACAGTAAACCATGAACCATTAAAGACAGATGTGCTAATTTTAAATGTACTTATTTAAAGCTGAATAACTACATTACATATGGCGCTCTACAGCAAATCCACCAATCAGAGTTGCAGCGAGTAAATCGCACTAACACTGTTTATTTTGTTTTTTAGCTCCACCTACTCCTAGGAGGCAATGTGATTGACATAATCACGAAACTTTAAACATTTAAATACTTCAATATTTTAAACAACTAAAATCTAATATTCTATAAATGTAATGCAACAAACATCAATAGTTTTAGACGTCTCCATAATTTTAATTTAATGAACTCATTCGCAATGCATCATGGGATATTTTGGAAAAATGAAAAAGAAAAAGTTAACGTCATTATTTACTCACTCTTGTCACAAACCTGCAAAGTTACTATTTTAACAGTACTGTGAAGGTTGGGTTTAGAGTTAGGGGTAGACATACTTTAAAATACTTTAATGGGTAATTTAATGAATAATATTAATACTTCTCTTTAATTCTGGACGTAGCTGTATCCCCTTTAGCAACTAAAATAGTCTTAGATGTCTCTCTAATGTTTTATTTAATTAAGTCATTCACAAAGCATCATGGGATTGTAGTTCTTTTCCTCATTAAAGGGATAGTTTGAAAAATGAAATAAAAATGGCGTCATTTACTCACTCTTCCCTCGTCAAAAACCTGTTTGAGTTTCTTTCTTCTGTTTGAAATCAAAAGTAAAAATTTAGAAAAATGTTGAAAACCTGTAACCATTGACTTCCTTAGTATTTGTTTTTCCTACTATGGAAGTCAATGGTTACAGGTTTCCAAAATTTTTCAGAAACAACTTATTTTGTGTTCAACAGAAAAAAAGAAACTTTTGAAACCATGTGAGAGAGAAAATAGAGAGTAAACTTTCATTTTTGGATGAACTATCCCTTTAAATATGCTTAGTTTACAGTATTGCGCCATCTTTGTCTGATTTTTATATATTTTTCAATTTAAATCTAAAAGTTTGTATTTGATTCATCTCGATGGTGTTCAGTTTGATTCATGGCTTACGAATATCTAAGATAGACCTTTTAAAGTCAGCATAAACCAGAAGCTGCAACCTTTTTTTTTTTCCGTATTGTGATGCAGTACCTAGGACAGGGGTCACCAATCCTGGTCCTGGAGGGCCGATATTCGTGCAGGGTTTTGCTCCAACTTGCCTTAACTCACCTGCCTGGGTGTTTCAAGTATACCTAGTAAGACCTTGATTAGCTTGTTCAGGTGTGTTTGATTAGGATTAAGATCCAAACGTGCTTAACGTTGTATTTTCGTGTGAGGATTATCCGGCTGAACAAAACGTGTAAGTGTAATGAACAGTGTTGAACCCAGAGCTTATTATTTGCAATCTTCGAGAAGCCTATGGGAAAATCCTATCGGGATTTTATCGAGGGAACCAGTTTTATGCTAGCAGCTGATTAGCCTACAAGGTGACATCATAGTTCCCCCACTCTATACCTCAAACAGACATGATCTAATTTAACTCAGGAAGTGCATTTTCAGATTTCAGTTTAAGATTTTTTTTTTCTCAGAGTCATGCACAGATAAATTGTTCACCACAAAACTAGCAATGTGAGCTACAAAATCAATTTGATTCATTTTGATTTCATCTGTACTTTAAAATTTTCTAAGGGAAAAATGAACGGATAAAATACTTCTGTAACAACACGAATTATGTATGTTCAGGGCTAAATATATTACTGTTGTGTTCTCAGCTCAGCATGGTTTCTCAGTGTATAAGTCAGTGCCGTACGGATCGGTGGACGACACGCTGCCGTATCTGGTGCGACGAGCTCAGGAGAACCGCACCGTCCTCCAGGGGATCCGGAAGGAGAGAGATCTGCTCAGACAGGAGCTCCACCGCAGACTCAAAGAAAAGATCAGCAGATCCACAAAGAGAAACTGCGCTGGAAATCAAACTAAGGGGCAAGTGGGAAAAGACTTTTAATGCTTGAGCCTGAATGATCATGTATTTGTCGACAGAACAATGGAGAAATGTCCTGTAAGGTCACTGGAAGATGGAAAACAGCGCCTGCTAGTGGACATTCATTGGGAGGATGGGATTATCTCAAATTAACTTTTTTATGCACAGGTCATCAATGCACATTAACAAGTTTGTCCTTGTAAGTTATTAGTGCTGGGCAAAGATTAATCACAAATCATGTAATTTCAAAATAAAAGTTTATTTTGACATTAGAAATGCTTGTGTATTATACAGTTGAAGTCAGAATTATTAGCCCCCTTGAATTATTAGCCCCTTGTTTATTTTTTCCCCAATTTCTGTTTAACGGAGAGCAGATTTTTTTCAGCACATTTCTAAACATAATAGTTTTAATAACTCTTATAACTGATTTATTTTATCTTTGCCATGATGACCGTAAATAATATTTGTCTAGATATTTTTCAAGACACTTCTATACAGCTTAATGTGACATTTAAAGGCTTAACTAGGTTAACTAGGTTAACTGGGCAGGTTAGGGTAATTAGGCAAGTTATTGTATAATGATGGTTTGTTTTGTAGCCTATCAGGAAAAAATATAGCTTCAAGGGGCTAATAATTTTGACCTTAAAATGGATTTTAAAAAATTTAAAACTGCTTTTATTCTAGCCGAAATAAAACAGATAAGACTTTCTCCAGAATAAAAAATATTATCAGACATACTGTGAAAATTTCCTTGCTCTGTTAAACATCATTTGGAAAATATTTTAAAAAGAAGAAAAAAATTTAAAGGGGGCTAATAATTCTGACTTCAACTGTATATAGCTCTAGATTAAAAACAATATTAATGTCACTGTTAGATAACCCATTGGAATGCAGCTTTATTAATAATGAACCTTTATTAATAATAATATTTGAGTACTGAAAATAACTGAGCACCAAATCAGCATATTAGACTGCTTTCTGAAGGAGTAACTGAAGTAATGAAGCTGAAAATTCTGCTTTGGATCACAGGAATACATGACGTTTCAAAATATATATCTAATCTGTGGTCATTCATTTAAAGTGGCTTTAATTTTACTTCTCACAACTACTGTAGAAGATGAAAATAAAATATATTCAACCAATGTTCCATCATGTGGAGTGTCTTTTCTCAGCACTCTTTTTCTGTGCTGCTGTTTTTCTAACCTTATTTTAAACCCGCTCTTTGTCCAGCACCAAATGGAAAAGGAGGAAAGAGAAATGAATGGAGGTGGGGAAATGGGTCCGTGGTAATTATCACCTGCACTTTAATGACTGTTCCTCTAACACACCCACTGTCAACACCTGACCATGAGCAAATGTCATTCAAACCTGAAATCACCTCATATGTTCAGAGCTGGTGGTTTTTGAGTCAGAAAAGATATTACTTTTTTTTTTTCATCGTCACTGTCATGTTAAATGTTTTATCATTATGATTTGGAGATACATGTATTGTAAGAAAGCCATTGGTTGTGGTTGCCTGACAAAGTGTTTTTTCCTAGATGTTAAAAAATTAAGCATCTGCAAAAGCAATTGAACCTGCAATTGAACTATTACCCAAGTACTTGACAACCCTGCTGAAAAATCCAGCTTAAACCAGCCTAGGCTGGTTTAAGCTGGATTTTTTAGCAGGGAAACAATACTAGATTTACTAATATCTGACTTTATTTTATGAGCACTGGTATATAAGAGGCGTGACGGTGGCTCAGTGGTTAGCACTGTCGCCTCACAGCAAGAAGGTCGCTGGTTCGAGTCCCCGCCTTGGTCAGTTTTATGTTTGCATGTTCTCCCTGTGTCGGTGTGGATTTCCTCCGGGTGCTCCCGTTTCCACAACAGTCCAAACACAAGCGCAATAGGTGAATTGAATAAACTAATTTGGCTGTAGTGTATATGTGTGTGTGACTGTGAGAGTGTATGGGTGTTTCCCAGTACTTGGTTGCAGCTTGAAGGGCGTCCGCTAAGCCAAAGGAAAATGAATGAATGAATGACTAGTATGCAAGGTATGTTTGCACTTTCTGGTTAAGGCCCGTGTACACGAGACATTTTTTGCTTACGTTTTCTGTTGACGTTTAACGCCTCGTGACTATATAAAGGGCGTCAATGTGATCGCACACACCAAAACGCAAAACGCCAGGCGCAAAAGCGTCATTTTTAAAAAACGCCTCATGCTCGTTGTTTTGGTTTGACGCACCGCCTTAAAACCTTCTCCACCAATCAGATTGGCACTTTTGTTTACGTGCACGGAGCTGCTGAAGTTACAGTAAACGGCACTTGGAGGCGCTCAAGCACAAAACTGTCAATGCGAGTGCACGTTGAAGAAGATGCCAAGAGGCGATATCAACGTGGAGCTGCTTATTGCTCTGTGAACAATAATCATTTCTTCATCGCTAGAGCTGCTACTTGAACCATCCATAACAACAAGCGTTAACATTGTCTTCTTCTTCTGTGTTACAAGCGGGTGTCAGAAACTTAAAGTTGTGTAGCACCATCTAACGTCAAGAAGTGATTTGTCATACTCTTCTGTTTGACGGCAGTGAAAATCGCTTGGGTTTGAATGCGGAAAAACGTCCCGTAAAACGCTGACGATAAACGCTAACGAAAAGCATCCCGGTGTGTACGAGCCTTTAGTGTTAAGCTAATGTAGCTAATGTGATACATCTATGCCCACATAGAAATCTGATATATGGCAATATATGCAAAGTACATAAATGACATACAATGACATATAAAATATGTTTTAATATTTTTTCCAAACATTGTAATTACATGTTCAAATATACAGTAGTCAGCATTTCAAGTGAATTTAAAAAGGTTTTTCAAAATTGTTCTAGTTTTAGGACAAATTTGATAAAAGTTTTTGAACCACTTCAAATGTTGGCGTGGGTTTCCTCTGGGTGTTTCCCCCACTGTCCAAAGACGTGGTATAAGTGAATTGAATTAGGGTTGGGTCAATAGACAATGCCATCGTCCATCGCCAATAGACAAGATGCTGAGCCGGCATCGCGATCCCCCGCCCCCGTCGCAAATCCGCTTGCGAAAAATACACACTGAGGCCCTGTTTACACTAATATGTCTTAGTTTTAAAATGCCATTTTAGAATGAAAATGATTCATATACCCTCTGACGTTTCACCTAGCGTTTCTGAACAGCATTCCCTCAACACTATACTGCTGAAAACGCACATCACGTGACCACAGACACACACACACACTCTGTCATGAGCTCCAGACAGTGTATACAGGCAGTCAGCGAGTCTCTACACTGCTTCAATCTTTCACACTCGTACTTAGTAATTTTAGAGAAAACCTCAGATACTGTTGGTTTGTTCCAGAACTCAGAACTGGTTGGATCCAGTTGGTTGTGCACCTTTTTACCAAGTTTGTTAATGCCATTATAATGACACAGATAACTTATCTTTATTTATTTAGGATTTGGTTGTGGGTAAAACAAAGACTGTGCGGGTCAGGTAGTTGAAACAGTAGGCCACAAATAATTAATTCGTTATTAATTAGTTATACATAATTAATTTACCACTGCCTACGACGACGATGACATCGTCCATCATCATCTTTATTCACCACCGCCATTAGACATCTTACAATGCCAAATTGTTAGACGTTGCCCATTCATAAACTGAATTGAGCTAAATTAACCGTAGTGTATGAGTGTGTGTGCGCATGTGAGAGTGTATGGATGTTTCCCAGTACTGGGTTGCGGCTGGAAAGGCATCCGCAAAAACGCATAAAACACATGCTGGATGAGATGGCAGTTCTTTCTGCTGTGGCGACCCTTGATTAATAAAGGCACTGAGTCGAATGAATATATATGTTCATATATCTAATATTTTCCATATTTTTATTATACAGTAATTCCAATGGTTGAAAACAACATAAAAAGCCATTTTTCTAAAATTTCTAAATATATGTTGCATATATGAAATTTTATACATGTAAAATTCAAATATAAACTTGTCTGTCATGTACATAAATGGCACATTTTCCATGTATCAGATTTCTTTATTGGTGGTCACACAGCCAAGAATTGTACATTATGTTATCCTTAGCATCCAAATACTTTTTTTTGGCATAAAAAAAAGTTTTTGGCAACATAGATTGTGTATTTTGTATATTTAGACATTCACACAAACACACAAGATTAAAAAATAGCAATATTAAAATAATCAATTAAACTCATTAAAATTTTATTTGGTAATTCAAGGGTATGAAGAGAAATACGAAAAAAATATACATCATTATTCAACTTCATCAAGCATTACTCTGAATAAAACCACACAAAAGCATTGAAACTATTTCAAGAACAGCAGAATCAGGGTTTACTTTAAAATTTTACACTTTAAACTACAGTGTTTTGGTTCATCTCTTGTTGTCTCACAGGTCCTCCGATGCAGTGCTTCCATCACCAGACATGTCACTTGCCAGCTCTTGACTTGCTTGTCATGTTTCTGTTTCTCTTCAGAACACTGTTCGTCCTCCAAGGTCAAAGTAAGAGCCCTGACCATGAGCATGTTGTGGCTGTCTATAAATATGCCTGAGGGGTAAATGCAGGGAGGACCGAGGATCCTGGCAAAGACGTAGTGAGTAGGAAGGAAATGGGTTATAAAGGGATGGCGGAGCAGAGGAGGAGAGTGAGGGGTCGAGAGAAGGAAGTATGGAAGGGTGCAGTACCACATCTGGTAGATAGGGGGCGGCAGAGTTGAGTTGTGGGAAGGTGCCTATCTCAGTTGGAGCTACGGCAGGGTATGCGTTTGAAGGAGGAGGACATTGGGGGTGAGTTGAGGATTGAGATAGTAACTGGGGGGCACTTGAGGTTTGGAGAGGGGGAAAGGACTGGGAAGTGATTTGAGAGTGGTTTGCCATTTGGGGTGGAATGTGAGAGAAGGATGGATTATGGTATGACTGGGGAAAGGTGGATTGAATTTGGGATGTATTCGGGATTGAGCAGGATGAGGGGAGGGTCAAACTCTGGAGAGGATGTGGACCTGGTGGGATTGGAGTTGGGAAGGGGTAAGAAGTTGGTGCAGGGTTTGGGAGAGGACCAGTGTGTTTGGGCAGAGATGAAGGGAATGTGTATGCTGTGCTAGGGTGCAATGTGTTGGGAACAGACTGCATTGGGCCTTGATGGATAGCACTGGTGGAAGGGAAGGAAAATGATCCAGTTGTTGGATGTACTGGATTTGGAATTGCGTTTAACCCAGAGGACTGGGAAACTGGAAAAGAACTAGGTCCAGAGGTACTCAAGTTGAGTTGCTGCTGAACAGGGGGAAAGGGGAAGGCTGTTGTGTTTGGATTGGAAGATACCATAATAGAGTTAGGGGTGGACTGTTCTGATGGAGGGAAGGGAAATGCGGTTGGAGTTGTATTTGGATCAGAGGGGGTGGGAATTTGGTTGCATTGTGACACTTGCTGATATGGTAAGGCAGACTGGGGTAGACTTTGACATGAAGGGGATGTTGGATCAGGGTCATTGTTGGGTTGCACCGGAGGGAAAGGAAAGGCTGTTTGGGTTGGGTTTGGGACTGCAGGAGTTGTCGCATTGGCTGAGCTCAAACCTCCATCATCCACCTGATTTTGGCCAGAGTCAATAGTCAACCTGGTACCTTGACAAGCAGGGATTGATTGGAAAGGTGGATTTGTAGGTGTATGGGGGCTTAGGTTGTCTTGGGATTGGTCTGTTGGAAGAAGAGAATGGTAGGATGAAGATTGGAGAAGGTGTGAAGAGGTGGAGTGTGAGATAGAAGGGTATGAGTCTGAGAGAGAGGTTGTAGATGCAGGCATAGCTGTAGAGGAATTTACGCCAGGATACTCTGCTGAAGGTATAGAGGAATATGCAGGCATAGAGTGTGGAGATGAAATACTTGAGGCCTGTGGAAGCTCAAGGTCTGAGCTCTGCGTTGAGGACACCACAGAATACATTGAAGAAGACTGAGGCACTGATGTATGCGAGCTGAGCTGAGGAGTTGGGAAAGATGATGTGTATCCAGAAAGGTCCATCATTTGACCGGTTCTATAATAGAAAGACAGATAAAAATCATTGATAATGTTGTCTCAAAGTGTACTCTTAATTTAGCTATGAGGTTATAGCACTTACTCATCCATCAGTGCGTTGTTTACGTTAGTTTCAGAGGTTGTCTGTTGTTGACTCTCCATTGAAGAGGGCATCTCAGAGGTCAAGAAGGCTTGTTCAAGGACAAGAGTTTGGTCAGAGTCTGTCTGATCTGGGTGAGATGACACTTCTGTATGAAAACCAGAGTCTGTAATTGGAAGGGCGGTGTTCATAATGGTGAGGGCGGAGCTTGGGAGATCCACAGATTGTGGGAGGAGCTCCGTGGAATCACATGGGTCACATGACTCTGAGAGAGGGAAGCAAGAAAAATTGTTTCGTAAGAAAGAATGGAAAATTAGCAAGCCCATATTTACTAAAGTACTCTTTTGTGAAGACTAGAACAAATATCAGTAAAGTCTTTGCATTTACTTTTTAATTGGATTTGAATTTATGAGATTGTACATTCTGAAGTAAATAATTATAATCCTCACCAATATCCAAACATTCCTCTTGGCTGGATGTAATTTTCCTCTTCAGCCTTGCCTCTCTTTGCCTAGGGTAAACAACAGAAAAATTATGTTATGTTCTCAGTCTAGCTGTCTTAAAAAGTTTTGTGTTTAAATAATAAATGCGCTATTAGTTGAAACTGGTGTGTGTGCGTGCAACTTACTTCTTGCAGTTCATGCCATTCTCTCTAAAGCCTTTCGCAAAAGGATTTGAGTTTATTTTCAGTTCGGTGATCTTTGATCAATAAAAACAAGAGAATAGTCATGATTAGTTTATTGTCGTAATAGAGAACAATATATAAAACAGACAATAATTTAATATATTAATCAGATTAATGTATTTTTCTTTCACCTTGTTGTTCTGGTATGCAGTGACCGTAATGAACTGTGTTTCAGGAAAAGTGAAAGAGTGCTGAGTTCTTCCCCACATCAGCACATCACGGGCCTCGATCACATGCACCCGTGGCTGGTATCGATGCAAGGAGTGAAGAATGATCTTTACCAGAAAAGAGTTTGGAAATCAATGTTAGAAATGGGGTATAGGTGAGATGTAAAGAATATTGCTTCACATAAAGACATAATGGCCATAAAATAAATGCTACTTCATAATAACTTTCACAAGTTATTCAAAACTCAAAACTATTTGGGCACTTAAATGACATTTAATTAAATAGTAAAAATTGATATACAGTTCAGTAATTAAAACAAAAAGCACAAGAACACTAACTAGTTTTCAGGTTTAATAATTTTATGTTTATGCAATTTCAAGGGTCCAAATAAAAAAAAAAACTTTTTAACTAGACATTAAAAGGGTGACACATTGCACTTCTGATCAAACCTTAACCCAACCATCATCGCTATTACCCTCTACACCTTCCCCAACCATCATCGTTATTGATGTCTACACCTTCCCCAAACCTAAACCCAACCATCATCGTTATTAATGTCTACACCTTCCCCAAACCTAAACCCAACCATCATCGTTATTAATGTCTACACCTTCCCCAAACCTAAACCCAACCATCATCGTTATTAATGTCTACACCTTCCCCAAATCTAAACCCAACCATCATTGTTATTAACATCTACACCTTCCCCAAACCTAAACCTAACCATCACAGTTATTAACGTCTACACCTTCCCCAAACCTAAACCCAACCATCATCATTATTAATGTCTAAACCTTCCCCAAACCTAAACCCAACTATCATCGTTATAATGTCTACACCTTCCCCAAACCTACCCCCGACCATCATCGTTATTAATGTCTACACCTTCCCCAAACCTACACCCAACCATCACGGCTATTAACAACAGCCACGAGTTGCGGAGGCTTTCATACTTGATGCGTTCACCATTGTACTGATATTTGCAACCACAGGGGGCGACGCCAAGAAGACTAACATGTCACAACATATCAAATAAATCGCTTGTGGATATATTTGGAGAAAACTAAGGAAAACATTTGGTGAAAACGCTCTCTTATCTAACCAACAACATCTTGTTGTGACATCTCGCATGGTTCAATGGGATCTCAATAACTGCAAGATACGCCTCTAACTTACTAAATGTTATGCCCCCTTCATGTTATGCTTAGGTTAAAATTTAACCCAACAGCTAGCAAAACGAGTAAGAAATAGACGTCTTTCTCTGAGCAAAAAGGCCCAGTGAAGAGAAAGAAGACCCTATGACCTCCAAGAAAAAAAAAGCTTTGAACAGACTATACTAGGAGACAATACCGGAGTGACAGGTGATTTCCACACACCAAAGGTTGGGGACCACTGATTTAGATAACAGGATTAAACATTTTCGACTTTAACAGCAAATGTAAACACGGGTATTGTTTTACTCACATATCCTTGTGCGTCCAGCGTGTTGTTGGTGAGTTTGGCCCGGTGGAAGGATATGGTGCGGTTCTGCCAGTGTTCTCCAGTCGCCGGTGAGTCCGGATGGATGAACACACGGTCCGGCAGTCGAGCCTCTGCTCCTCCGACCACCTGCCAGCTGTTATCTTGAAAACGATAGCGGGAGGAATCGACAGGTACGATGTCTAGAAGAAGAATGTAGCGCAGAGATGGGTTCAGCCCTGATAGCTTCACCCGCAGCTGAGGAAACATTCGCCTGAGGAACAGAAGAGACGGATTAGACGTGGTCCAACTAGGGTTTCTAAAAAGAGGAGTTTACGTCGGCAGCTAGCTCTCTGCAACTCTCACATGGTCGCCCACTGAAGCTAAGCAGGGCTGCGCCCGGTCAGTACCTGGATGGGAGGCAACATGGGAAAGCTAGGTTGCTGCCGGGAGTGTTGTTAATGAGACCAGCAGGGGTTGCCCAATCTGCAGTCTGTGTGGGTCCTAATGTCCCAGTATAGTGAAGGGGACTCTATGCTGCTCAGTAAGCGCCGTCTTTTGGATGAGAAGTTAAACCGAGGTCCTGACTCTCTGTGGTCATTAAAAATTCCAGGACGTCTTTCTAAAAAGAGTAGGGACTTAACCCCGGCATCCTGGCCAAATCTGCCCACTGACCTCTGCCTAACAATCCCCATACCATGATTGGCTTCATCACTCTGTCTCCTCTCCACCAATCAGCTAGTGTGCGGTCTGGCGCAAAATGGCTGCCGTCGCGACATCCAGGTAGATGCTGCACACTGGTGGTGGATGAGGAGATCGCCCCAATGTGTAAAGCACTTTGAGTGCCCAGAGAAGCGCTATATAGATGTAAGGAATTATTATTATTACCCAAAACTGAAAATTACCCCCTGATTTATTCACCCTCAAACCATTCTCGATGTACAGTTAAAGTCAGAATTATTAGCCCTCCTGAATTATTAGCCCCCCTGTATATCTTTCTTTCCCCAATTTATGTTTAACAGAAAGAAGATTTTTCTCTCAACATGGTTGAGAAACACTGTTTTAATGCACCTACGCTCATCATGTGCTCACCTGCCCTTCTTAGTGACGATCATCTCAGTCCCGACTGTGCTGAACTGCTTCCACAGACCCGCGTTCTCCAGCTCCATCCTCACGCTGTCCTGTGGAGTGGCAGGAGAGTCTGTGTTTGCATGAGGCTTTAGCAGTGCAGGAGGAAGAGCGCGAGCTGCCATCTCACATGTGGACGGGTACAACGGCACATCTCGATCTGCAGGACAGACAGACACTTCTGGATGATACACAGTTTTCAAAAAGTGAATTTAAATGGAAGCTTTAAATGGGAGCCATTATGCAAAAATCCCTTTTATGAAGGTGTTTAAACACAGTTGTGTTTCATCAGTGTGTGAATATAACCAGCTACTGATTGTAAAAAAGTATTAATGTTATTTCATATAATCACACTAGATAAAAACAGTCTGCAGAACACTTTGATTGACATTCTCTCTTCATATGTGTCATCAGAGGGGGAAAGATCCGCCCACTAGTGACCATCTCTCCCTCATAGAGTGGAGGAACTATGACGTCAATTTGTATGCAAAAACCCGGAAGCGAGTTAGCATTTTAGCACTTCCGGTTCCCTCGTCCCAAAGTCAATGGCTTTTTTGAATGGGGTTTTCAGTAAAATTGCTTAGATAAGGTCCGTGGCGAACACAAATTCAAGATATTTTCACGTTTTGTTCTACGACTTAAAACACAACAGTTACAGCACACTTTTGAATTTTTAATTCGGCCATGCTTCTTTAAAAAGACGGGTGTTATCAAGTTGCTAAATGGGACTACAGGCGGTGTCGGAGACATTATACGTCATCGAGCTGATCTAGTCTGGAGCGCAGCACGCTTGTGTTGGGCGTTTGGATTTGTCTGTTATTTAGGTATTTTCATGAATAGTATTTTATAGTTTTTTGTGTTTTTCTAATTAAGAGTTCAGATTGTGTATAGATAATGCCTTCACATGTAAAGGCTGTCGAGACAGATTCATTTGTTGATCATTTATTTTAATAAAGATACTGTTCACCAGTGCAGCCTGTCTCTCTCCTGCTCTCAGTAATGCAAACGTGTGAATAAATGTGTAAAAATACAGACATATTAACTGTCATTTTAACGTGATCAAGTGATTTTTCGTCTTTTTTTATTCATCTGAACACATTTTACTCAGTCATAACTGCAATATTTACACTCCTCCATAAAACGTTCAGCAGATGTGACTGTATGGGCTGCTTTTCGCTGTACGTTGTGACATAAAAGGAATATTGAATGTTGCTCTGTGTCCATGATGATGGAACTTGCTGGCATTTGATAGACTTGTTCCTCCTCACGCCTTATTTCTGTCGTCTGTTAAGGTAAGCAGGCTGTGTGCGCGAGCGATACACTTATTTAGATATGTCTGATGAAAATACTATATAGGCAGATTTATACACGCAGTTTTAAAACTTTAAAAACAACCGCAAAGCAAAACAGACGTATTTCCCACGTAAAAACGATCCAAAAGGCACATAGGTCTATATATTTTTGCGTATTTATTTGTTTATAATATATAGCGTGGATTATAATATAATAAACATAGAGATTAGCTCTTTGTCATGGACATTATTTCTAAAAATAAGCTTGATAAGTTGTCTGTAGCAGGGTGGGGCTGACGTCACAGACGAGCACCCCGAGGGCTCTGTAGTCCGTTTATAGCCTAATGTTAGCTTTTTAACTCTTGCGTTTGCATTTAAGATCCAAAAGTGCCCCAAGTTGTATTTTCGTGTGAGGATTATCCGGCTGGACAAAACGTGTAAGTGTAATGAACTGTGTTTGAACACAGAGCTTATTATTTGCAATCTTCGAAAAGCCTATGGGAAAATCCTATCGGGATTTTCACGAGGGAACCAGTTTTATGCTAGCAGCCGATTAGCCTACAAAGTGACGTCATAGTTCCTCCACTCTATTAGCATAGAAAGTTAGTCTTGTTTTTGAATCTGCCACTATGCTGACACACAGGCATTTGTAGCCCGGCCCTCTTTTGAAATGAGCACAATCTCATTTGAATTTAAAGTGACAGTCACTAAAATGAGACTATTTGGAATAAATCCTCAAGGGGGCAGCTTTGAGGAGTTATAAAACATTATTTGTGGAGTATTTTGAGTTGAAACTTCCCACACACACACTCAAAGGACATCAGAGAATTATTTAAATCTTGTACAAAGCGTCCACAATAGGTCCTCTTTTTGTTGCATAAACGTTTACTTCGATTATTATTATTATTCATTCATTCATTTTATTTTCGGCTTAGTCCCTTTATTAATCTGGGGTCGCCACAGCGGAATGAACCGCCAATTTATCCTGCATATGTTTTATGCAGCTGATACCCTTCCAGCTGCAACCCATTACTGGGGAAACACCCATACACACTCATTCACACACATACACTACGGACAATTTAGCTTATTCAATTCACCTATAGCGCATGTGTTTGACTGTGGGGGAACATTTTTTTGCCCCTTTAGGCTATTATTTTTTTAAATAGTCTACAGAACAAACCATCATTATACAATAACTTGCCTAATTACCCTAACCTGTCTAGTTAACCTAATTAACCTAGTTAAGCCTTTAAATGTCACTTTAAGCTGTATAGAAGTGTCTTGAAGAATATCAAGTTGAATATTATTTACTGTCATCATGGCAAAGATAAAATAAATCAGTTATTAGAGATGAGTTATTAAAATTATTATGATAAGAAATGTATTGAAAAAAAATCTCTCCGTTAAACAGAAATTGGGGGGGGGGGAATAAACAAAATAAACTGTATGTGTACTTACCTCAGAATGTACTTGGTTCTATTAGCTAACCAACTACTAAACTAGGTTAAGAGACAACAACCAGTTATGATAAGTAGACAGCACATGCGAAAAATAACTGTGAACAGTCTGAGTGAAATAAATATTAAGCAACAATTAAAAAATAATGATAATTAAACCTAAAATAGAAAATTATTACAAACAACAAAATCACTAAGATATAAATCAGTTTAGAAAACCAAAATATTAAAATCACTTGAATTACTAACACTGCTTTGAGGAACATACAAATGGTCTATGGGGTCGAAATAATTGATGATCAAAATGTTGTTCATACCAAGTGAAAAAAAAAAAGTGTCAGCTCAAAAAACGTAATAAAAATCAGTAATAATTTTCAATTTTCTCACTCATCACTTGATTATCTTTCATCAACACTAAAGAAGATATTTTGAAGAATGGTGGCACCAATTGACTTCAGTAGTAATTTTCTTCCTACTATGAAAGTCATTCATTTTTCGGCTTGTTCATTCCACGGTGGGCGACCCCGGATTAATAAAGGGACTAAGCCGATAAGAGAATGAATGAATAAATTACTAACACTGCTTTGAGAACCATAAAAATGATGACTTAACATGTTGTTATTACCAAGATAAACTCAATCATTCCTAAAGGGACAGGTCACCCCTATTTATAGAAGCATTATATACAGTACACTCTCAGAAATAAAGGTACAGGAGCTGTCACTGGGGCAGTACCTTTTGAAAAAGTACATACTTGTACCTGAAGGGTCCAAAATGGTGAGAGAGAGAGAGAGAGTTTTAATTTTATTGCCATTTCAGCGTCTATGGCTATGTCATGGCAAAAAGAAAATAGATCAAGTAAAAATATTCTAACAATTAAAAGTCATCAACAGCAATAAATAATGTACAAGGTAAAATATATAAATAATAATAATAATGATAATATATAAGATAAAAATCTAAAAAAGTTTTTTAAGATTTCCTTTTGATAAAAATTCTACAACTTTAGATGGATTCACGTTTAAAAATATTTCCTTTAAAGTCTCTCCAGATAAATATTGTTGTCTGATAACATTAAAAATGGGGCATTCCACAAGAATACGTTTAACTGTTTGGTGTCTGTTGTCCAAAATGGTGCCTCAGAGGTGCTTTTTAGTAACATTTGGGTACGAATATGCACTTTTTAGGTACCACTGTGGACTATTTGGGTACAAATATGTATTTTTTAAAAAGGTACTACCCTAGTGACAGCTCCTGTACCTTTATTTCTGAGAGTGTACACATGATTTTACTTAAGAGAGTGTACATTACCCACTGCTAAACATGTTCTTTTTTTACAAAAGTTTCATAAAATAAAATATTTGAAAATAACAGTAACAATAAAATGGTGACATAATATCAATAACTAAATATGCATAGCTAAGAGCGAGTCGAATCTTTATTTATTCGCTCAGCTTTAGTTATTATCAGCTGTAAATTCCTAATCTAAAGACAGCGTTAAGAAGGGGAGTGCGATGGGTCGTAAATTGAAAAATGTTTGTGTTGTGGATGGGAATTAGGTAGTAATATTTTTATATTTCTACAAAGATTGGATGGAGCGAGCTAATCACTTGAGTTTCTAAAGAAGATACTTTGAAGAATGCTGGCACCAATTGACTTCCATAGTGATTTTCTTCCTATTATGAAAGTCAATGAGTGCCATCAATCTGCATTCTTCAAAATATCTTCTTTAATTGTCAACATAAATGAGGTAATTTTCATTTTTGAGTGAACTATCCCTTTAAATGACTCTTAAAAGGGCCTAAAATAATTGTCATCGCTATGAAAAACCTCATTTTGCAAACTCTAAATTTTTCGAGTGATAACTTGAGCTGGTCTCATTATTCATTCATTCATTTTCTTTTTGGCTTAGTCCCTTTATTAATCTGGGGTCGCCACAGCGGAATGAACCGCCAACTTATCCAGCATATGTTTTATGCAGCGGATGCCCTTCCGGCGGCAACCCATCACTAGGAAACACCCATACACACTCATTCACACACATACACTATGGAAAATTTAGCCTACCCAATTCACCTCTAGCGCATGTCTTTGAACTTGTGGGGGAAACCCACGCCAACACGGGGAGAACATGCAAACTCCACACAGAAATGCTAGTCTCATTAAACCTCTGCAAACCCTCACACACACATCTATGCTGCTTTCTTACCTCTGTAATAGCAGTCGCTCAATCTCTGAGGTCCCAGAGCCAAACCAGGGTACATTTCCACACCCAGCATGTCTCGGTCTGCTCTTTCTTCACGTTTGTCTTTATCGAATATTAAATCAAAGCTTCACTGAGCTTCTATAATGGAGGAGATCTCTTTCAAAGTCTTCTTTTCCCCTTCTCTCTCTGTGTGTTTCTTGTCTTCTAATGCCCGCGCTGGTCTTCTCGTGTGTTATATAGGTGAGCGCTCCTTCACACTTCAGCAAATGGTGGAGTCTTCACACGTTCCTCTTCTTCTGTTTTCTTCAGGGTCCATCTTTTGGGGCCTGCTCTTCACACACCGGCTAAATAAACACAGCTCTGTTTTCTCATAAACACATCAAACTTAAAACATCACTGCTGCGTTTATTCTTCATCCACTTGGAGTTAGGTTGCTCAAATGGGAAGAAATAGATTTCGTTTGTAGAGGCTGGTTTGTATTCGCTGGAGTCTCAGTTTGATCTTATTATATTGTGTTTTACTACTGTAATGGGGTTAAAGGGAGACTCTGCAAGTCATCTGGTAAGGTGTTTCTCCTGAGTAAATGACCTTCATAATCTCGTCTATTTGCAGTTGGCAAAATTAACCTAAAATGCGATATTAATAGTCTTCAGTTTATGATATCAAAATGGCGCTTTTTACAAAATTGGTTGTAAACATATCAGCAAGAACAGAGATATTTAAAAAAAAAAAAAGTCATAGTGGATATTTTGTACTTTTTTTGGTACACACGGGATGAAAACAAAATAAATAATAATAATAAATAAATAAATATATATATTATATATATGTATATAATATATATATAAACAAGAACAATATAATATTGAAAACAAAAATAGAAATAAATAATAATAAAAATAAAATTTGGAGATATTTTAATTTATTCCACTTGATAAAATTAATGAAACAAATAATTGACAAATAATTTTCTAAATAGTTTACATGTATTATTAGTCAATGCTCATTTATGAGTTAACATTATTTTTCTTTTTTTTTCTTTTTTTTTTGTTAATACACATTGGGCTAAAATGTATACTTTAAATTATTATTATTATTATTATTATTATTATTATTATTATTATTATTATTCCATGTTAGATATTACAATATTTTAGCAAACTGAATATTTATTGAAACAAATTTTATATTATTTCTATAATATGCATTTTGTAAATGTATTATGTGATATTATATTATATTATATTATATTATATTATATTATATTATATTATATTATATTATATTATATTATATTATATTATATTATATTATATTATAAAATTTAAACGTATGACAAACAAATTCTGTAAAAAAAATCACATTAATACCAGAAAATTGAACCTTCAATAATATATACATATACATATACAGTATATGTTTAAATTTCTTCAATTTGATGATTCATAATTTATTATTAGCCAATGTTCATTTATGAATTGATTTTATTTTTATTTATTCATTTTTTGCTCAAACACAATGTACTATAAATATTTATGTTGAAATTAACAAATTATTTAAATTATTTTTATTTCATCTTAGATATTAAAATTTTTTTAGCAAACTGATAATTTATTAAAACAAATATATTATATTATATTATGTTATGTTATGTTATGTTATGTTATATTATGTTATATTATGTTATGTTATATTATATTATATTATGTTATGTTATATTATATTATATTATGTTATGTTATATTATATTATATTATATTATATTATATTATATTATATTATGTTATGTTATGTTATGTTATATTATGTTATATTATGTTATGTTATGTTATATTATGTTATGTTATGTTATGTTATATTATATTATATTATATTATATTATATTATATTATATTATATTATATTATATTACAGTGCTCAGCATATATAAGTACACCCCTCAGAAATCTATGTTTAAATTCATATTTTTAATAGAGAAATAGATATTTGTGCATATACATTAGATTAGTCAGTACTGAAGCCAAATCTAAAGCTTATCTAACAAAATAACTTACGATAAGGGTCAAATACAGTACAGCCAAATTTAAATAGTATAGAGAAATATTAAATACAAATGTTAAAAATAGGAAAAATCAAGAAAAGCAAAAATATAGAAAAGTTTAGTTGAAATTTTTTAGGTTGTAATTTATTTTTGCAATATTTTGCTCGAGTTTAATTGTATTATCTTTCAATTTCCAAATATGTTTGGTGACTAAAATATTGTTTTAATAAATATATCTGTTTAATAAATCCGTTTTGTTTAAATGCACTAAAATACGCGCCCTATATTCACTGAGAAATGGACAAAAATATTAATTTTCAAAATGGGGTGTGCTCAATTTTGCTGAGCACTGTACATTATATTATATTATATTATATCATATCATATCATATCATATCATATCATATCATATTATATTATATTATATTATATTATATTATATTATATTATATTATATTATATTATATTATAATATTTAAATAAATAACAATAAACTATTCCTGTTCATTTTATTTTACATTAATATTATTAATATATAATTATTAAATAAACTCCCTTAAAATGATTTGTTAACGTTACATAACAAATAAATACAATGTTTGTAATTTATTTGTGGTTATGATTTGGAAGGGCATGTGAATGATGTGCTCAAGAGCGAATGATGTGTGTTTTTTTTCCCGTGGATCAGACTGCTGATGTCGGGTGGATTCCCTTCCCGCAGTGGAAGAGGAAGGTCAGAATGAAAACAGTCTGTTACTCAATGCCAAGTGTTGTATGATGTAATCGCACCACCGCACACGGACTGTCCGTACCACAACTGCTGTCCAAATATGGACTGAGGTTTGGCCGGATGAAGGATATTACAGTGAGTTAATACTGACGGGATTTGACGTGTAGTGTAGATTCAAAAAAAGATGTTTGGTTTGGTTTGTTCAAAGTACCTATTCAAATGAGCTGAAACGACACAATTCTTGAGTTTTTTAGGACACCTTAATTGTTTTAAGTTCAATCCACTTATATTTGTAAAAACTAACAAGTTAACTTAAATCCCTCATGTTGTCCAAATGCGAACCCAGCATTTTTTAAAAGGTAGTGTATGACTGGCCTGAGATCAGCTGCTGGTGAAGGTGGAGGTCTGGACACACAGTTTGTTCTTACTGCTGCAGTTTGGTCTGTAAGGTAAACACAGCACGTCAGACGCTGCATCCAAATGACTTTTAACAAGCACACACGGCTTAACAGATGCTTCAGGTGGACGCTCTTTAAATAAATAGTAAGATTAAGTAGACTTCACTAAAAATTATGACTCTTTATAGCCTCTGTAATCTAAAAAAATGATTAGTTCACTTTACCTAAATTAATTGAGTAAACCTGTTGCTTTTAAAATGATTCGTTGACTTTATTTTGAAAAAGTAAGTAAATCTGTTTCCTTATTTCTTTAAAAACAGTGAATAAATTCATCGTAACTTGGAATTGATGTAACTTAATTTGTATAATTATGCACACACACTCAAAAAATGACGTTTGATGTTGGTTCCAATTACTTATTTTAAATGAAACAACACAATTCTTGAGGTTTTTGCAGCGAATACAAACTACTATGTCAACTTAATTCCTTCATGTTGTCTCAATGCAAATCGACTGTGTGGAACTCAATATAAAGAAATGGAGGGTTCCACGCAATTCATTCATGTTGTCACACATTCATTTGTCCCAACACAAATTAATTTTACTTGTTATGACAAATTTAGGTGTATTAAACATAAAACAAATATGTTGTCTCAAATGTTTTTTTCCAAAAGTTGATTCAGCTCATTTTAAATAAGTAGATTTTGTATTTAAGTGTAGGATATTACAAAATAATAATAATAATGATAATAATAATTTTAATAACAACATCAATAATAATAATAATAATAATAATAATAACGATAATAATGATAATAATAATAATAATAACAGCAACAACAACAACAGCAATAATAATAATAATGATGATGATGATGATGATAATAATATTAATGATAATAATAATAATGATAATAATGAGAATAATAATAATAATAGTAATAACAAAATAATAATAATAATAATGCTACTAATAATAATAATAATGATGACGATGATGATGATATTAATAATAACGATAATAATAATAACAGCAATAATAATAATGATGATAATAATAATAATAATAATAATAATAATAACAGCAATAATAATAATAATAATAATAACAACAGCAATAATAATAATAATAATAATAATAACAGCAATAATAATAACAATAATAATGATAATAAAAATAATAATAACCACAAAAACAACAACAACAATAATACGAATAATAATAATGATAATAATAATAATAATCATCATCATAATAATAATGATAATAATGATGATGATATTAATAATAAAAAATAATAATAATATAAATAGAATGTTTAGGTAAACTATTTCTTTAAATTGTATTTTTTTATGGGCATTTTTGTTTTTACAGTGGAAATAAATAAATCATTCACAAAGGCATGAGTTTTTCTTATAAGTTCCAGAAGCTATTAGTTGAAAAGGTGAGTAAACTCATTGCCTTAAAATTATTAATTAAATGTACTATGTGGGTAAATTGAACTGTTTAGGCATGGGCCGGTAAGATTCTGACGGTAGGATAACCTTGGATAAAAATATCACTGTTTCACAGTATCGTGATGACTGCTCTAAAATAAGTTCTTTTGAAATGTCTGGGTAAAAACTAAAACTTTTCCCCTCTTTGAACACAATATATTTTATTTTTTGAAACATTTAAAATATTTTGGAACAGTAAACATGTCCAGCGAAATCATTTAAATGAATCATTGACCACGGCTGTCTTCATTATTAAAAAACTCCCTTGAAATGGGCTGTCTTCATTAGTTTCAAAAACACAGATTTCTTTACAATTTAAAACGGCATCTTTGGAATTTTTTTCTACTGAAGATGCTGTTGTCCTATTTTTATAATTTTTATAAGTCACAACAGAAATACTTACATTTTTTAAGCAAAACCAACTTGCCATTTTTAAGGCAATGGGTTTACTTATTAGTTTAATTAATCACTTTTTACAGTGTATACTCGCTAAAATTTAATTGTTTAAAATCAGTTGTAACAACACAATAATTACGTTTTTTTGGGGGGACAACTTCATTGTTTTAAGTTCAATCAGTAAAAAATGAAACCCAAGTGTGTTTAATTTTCAATTTTGAATGACACGAGTGAGAGAAAATGTTAATATTATGCACAATTATCCATTTAAAATCACTTTACGGCAACCAAATCTGTCAACCTGACCTGTGCGTTGAACTCTTGCAGTCTGCTATAATAAACAAGCCTTCAGACCCATATTAAAAACACAGCACATTTCATTCAATTGCTCTGATTGCAGTATGAATTGAGGCTGTAGTGCTACTGTTGCTTAAAGAGGCACACCTGGGCCCTCATAAACACATTAGCTGCCATTAGGCCTTACAGCGCCTGTAAACTCTGCACAGTAATGACATCCACCTCCCTCCGAGAGCAACACCTCCACTTCCCCTCTCTCTTTATCACCTCCCTGCGAATCAACAACACAAACAACAACTACAACAACAGTGTTCAGAGCTCCAAATCAGCCTCAAACCAGTTGCTAGAAGAAACCACACTGCAAAAAAATAATAAAAATCAGTAAATTAGCTGCTTTCCATATTTTGTGAATCATGTTTTTATTTTTTCCCATTTATTTATGATTTTAAATTGAATTATGGGACCTTAAACCTTCTTTTTAACAACTTTTAACCTTTAAAAGTTTGGAAAAAAGTGACTTCTATGAACATTTGTAATAGTTTAAAGTGATATATTGTCTGGTTTGGAGTTGCAATGGCCAGTAATATTAGCTCCCATTTCTTCAATTGGCTATACAAAACAAACCACTGTTGTCCAATGACTTGCTTAGTTTACCAGGTTAAGCCTTTAAATTGCACTTTAAACTGAAAACTAGTCTCTTGAAAAATACTAGATATTAAAGAAATGAGTTGTTAAAACTTTTATGTTTAAACTAGTGCTGTCAACTTATTAAAAATTAACTAATTAATCACACTTTTTTTTATTATTAGTCGCGATTAATCGCATGTAAAAGACTGAAACTTGTAATTTTGACTATTCAAATGTAAAATTAATGTAAACGCAAGACAAAAACTATTTAAAATCAAAATATAATTGTTTATTAGAATTTTTGTTTAACTTGTAACACAGATTTCTTCATGTAAACAACAAACCTACAATAAACCATCAAGATCCTGGCTTGACAGCCATATTTATTACAGAAATTAAAACACAGGCATGTTAATGCCATTTGAATTTCAAAACAATCAATGCCAATAAAGAAAACACTGATTTCCAACTTAGATTAGAAGTGGACTGCAAAAAAATGCCAAAATACAGGCATTGCAGATATGAAAAATTACAATAATAATAAATTAAATAAGTAAACTGAAACTCATTGAAATTAGTTATTAAAACTATTATGTTTAGAAATGTGTTGAAAAAAATTGCTCTCCGTTAAACAGAAATTGGGAAATGTAATATGCCTTTTCGCAATATAATATTGTAATTTTTTTGTGTGTGTTTATTATTTTTATTATTATAAGTGTTATTATTATTATTCATTTGTTTATTTAATTACAATTTAATTTTATTTACTACTATTTTTATTTTATTTTTATTTTTCATGTGGGGGTCAGAACTCAAATTACATGTATGACAGATACTATCTTTCTACTCAAGGTAATTTTCTGATGTGTTTTTGCACTAAAAATGTTGGTAACACTTTATAATAACTACACACTATAAATCATTTATTAAGCATTAGCAAATAGTGAACTCATTATCTGTTAAGCATTAACTCTACATTAATAAACATTAGTAAGCAGTTTATAACTGCAGCTACAAATGCTCAATTCTTGACTTATAAGCAGCTATATAATGTGTTTAATGACTGTATTTTCATACTTAGTTAATGATTTATTTTTCATTACTAAATTAAGTATCGCATTATTTACAAACTGTTTGTATTTAAGAGTAGTTGAGGGTTTTTAGCATCATTCAGAATGAGTTAGTAAATGATTAATAAACTGTTGAAATCAACATTTGTATGTCTTATTATTCAGGCATTTACTAATAGTTAACTAATATGTTAATAAATGCTTTATTAACTCAACTTCATGCAGTTTTGTGACCTAATCTAAAGTGAGGACTACTCATGCTTTATAAATCCCTTATAAATGACAAATAAAGGCTCAGTTAAATTCTAAACAGGAAAAAAAGACATTATTCATTTCTCTTTATTTAAAGATACACAAACGAAACTGTACTTCAAATGAAAAATCAATCTTTGCAACCTAATCTAAAATAAAATCAGTGTAGAGTTTAAACATTACATCTTATTATATTGTTAAATTATTATATTGTTGTTTTATCCAGGTTTATGTCGTATTTTGACACTCCTGTTATTTTGCAATGTTTAAACTTTACAGTAATTTTACTTTTTAGAAAGATTGCACAGATTATTGTTCATTTGATACTGAGCCTTTAATAGTCATTTATAAGGCATTTATAAAGCATGAATAGTCCTCACTTTAGAATAGGTCACAAAACTGGATGAAGTTAATAAAGCATTTACTAACATATTAGTTAACTATTAGTATATGCCTGAATAATAAGGCAAATAAATGTTGATTTCAATAGTTTATTAATCATTTACTAACTCATTCTGAATGGAAAACCCTCAACTACTCTTAAATACAAACGGTTTGTAAATAATGTGATACTTAATTTAGTAATGAAAAATAAATCATTAACTAAGTATGAAAATACAGTCATTAAACACATTATATAGCTGCTCATAATTCAAGAATAGAGCGTTTGTAGCTGCAGTTATAAACTGCTTACTAACGTTTATTAATGTAGTTAATGCTTAACAGATAATGAATTCACTATTTGCTAATGCTTAATAAATGATTTATAGTGTGTAGTTATCATAAAGTGTAACCAAAATGTTCAATAAAAATATATATTAAAAAAAAAAAAAAACAGAATTGGGGAAAAATAAACAGTGGGACTAATAATTTGGGGGATGGGGGGGCTAATAATTCTGTACGTATAATAATTTGAATAAAATACTGATCTTGAAAAAATTGCATTGAAAAAGTTGCAAAAAGTTTTTCCAAAAAGGGAACATAATATAACATATGACGAGGGATTTTCCAGCAATCATGACATGCACAAAAATGCATGTCTGCCCATGTTTCTCATGAAGCAACTGTCATGCTTTACTCCGACAGCTCTGGTTATAACCAAGCAGAAGTGACTCAGTCAAGTCAGACCTTTAAGATTCATGTGAACACAATCTGAAACTCCAACTAAAACCACAACAGTTCAGATAAAGGATAATAAAACACCAGCTATTTCTCACTTCACACACTAAACGCACATACAAATGAATAAAAACGGATTGTTTTGTAGTCTCCAATATTCTGCTTTCCCAATTTCAACGGAAGCCCGATAAGCTGCGAGATCTGATTTCTTTCTGTTCTGATATCAGCATTAACCACAGGGCTCTTATGCATGATCACATGTCCGCTCAGACAGAATGAACGCTATAAAAGCAGTGCCTGATAAGACATGTAGAGCAAAGCAGGTGGAGGATTTCAAAGAGCACCTGATATTTGCTTTCTACAAACACTTACTCAAGTATACACTCGACTCTGAGAGTCAAAGTGCAGTTAGTGAAGGATTAAGAGGCTCGTTTTAGAAATGGACACCGTGAGCTGGGTCTTACTTCTCTGCTTGGCTGTTTTATTTTACGTCGTTTGTTCGCTGTTTCTGTTACGCTATCCACTCATACTTCATAAGAGGAAACGACTGGAGTTCTACTGCAGACACATTTCACACAGAGGAGGCAAGTGCTGCTTTTATACTCATACACACTGACAGAATTGATGCATTGGATTTACTACAATTTTTAAGGGAAACTGTTTCAAGAGTTCACACTTAGCTGATGATTGATAGTAAAGCTAGTTTGGCGTGCTGTCCCGGGAGAGAGCCCTGAGCTTTTAAGATCCTCGAGCCCTGGGCTCCCTCCTGTTGCAAGGCGAGAGGGGAGTTTGAGCTCAGGTAGATCTCGATGACTCCCCCTCTTGCTTGTTGTAGCTAAGTGACGGATATGTATGCTGAAAAGGTGTACTCAGAGGTTAGCTAATGTATTTTGATTAATTGTTTAGAGTGCTTGTTTTTGAACTGTGGGAGGAAACCGGAGGACCCGGGGAAAACCCAAGCGACCACGGTGAGAACGAGCAAACTCCGCACAGAAATGCCGTCTGGTTTGGAAAGGAATTAAACCAGGGGCATTCTTGCTGTGAGGCAACAGCGCTAATCGCTGGCCACCGTGACGCCTGTTTGAAAGGAGGGAAAGTAGGGTTGGGTGGGGGGGTTTCTTCAAGACGAAGATATTGAAATGAGAAAAGTCTGGTTATTTATAGTGAGTTAAGGATCGTCTGATAGGATAATCAGTCATTAGCTAAAGTTGGAACAGCTGTGAACAATCATAAGCACGTGATCCTCTCGAAATTTGTTTATGAATAAACTTCACTTATTCAGCACAATCTCACGGCAATTCGTAACTTTTTCATTTAGTGGCTAATTCGTATGAATTTGTACGATCTAATTCGTACAATTTAGTACGATTTGCTCATCACCCAGTGAGGGTTGGGTTTAGGGGTGGGGTTAGGTGCCACGCCTTCTTTTTAAAATCGTACCATTTCGTACGACTGAACTCGTACGAATAAGCCACTAAACTGGCAAAACGTAAAATACTTATGTTTTCTCGTGAGATCAGGCTGGTTTATTTGGGCTGGATTTAAACAAAACAAATTACATTGAGCAATCTTAAACTTAATTTGTTTGTTTAAAATCAGCCCGCATAAATTGTTCGCAACCACTTATCTTTAAAAAATGTAGTTTTTTCAGTGCTGTGCATACTATGTTGCGTTAAAGTGGAGTACTTATAACGTTTCTAGGGGTTTTGTTGTCAAATGAAAATTCTGTCATCATTTAGATTAATTTAACTCATCCCAAACCAGAGTTTTATTTTATTTTATTGAACACACAATATGGCGACGCAGTGGCACAGTAGGTAGTGCTGTCGCCTCACAGCAAGAAGGTTGCTGGTTCGAACCTCGACGCAGTTGGCGTTTCTGAGTGGAGTTTGCATGTTCTCCCTGCGTTCGCGTGGGTTTCCTCCGGGTGCTCCGGTTTCCCCCACAGTCCAAAGACATGCGGTACAGCTGAATTGAGTATAGGCTAAATTGTCCGTAGTGTATGAGTGTCTGTGTGGATGTTAGCAGTTCATTCCGCTGTGGCGACCCCGGATTAATAAATGGACTAAGCCGACAAGAGTATGAATGAACAGCATTTTTGTTTTTGTATTTGGTTTTCCCACTGTGGATCTTAATGTTTACTGGTTTCCAACATTCTTCAAACTATCTTCTTTTGTGTTCAGCAGAAGAAAGAAACTTAAACTGGTTTGGAAAACATCAAGGATGAGTAAATGATGACAGAATTAAAATTTTGGGGTGAACTGTCCCTTTAATGTTAACTGGCTCTGCTAGAACTCATTATAAATCACTGTGAAAAAAGCAAGCTTTAGGATAAAATTTTCACATCTCACTATAAAAAAAACATATATAATTTTATATCTTATAGTCTATGTAAAAAACACACAAATATTGAATATTACATGTTATATACAGCTATTTAAAAAATCAAGAGACCACAAAATGATCAGTTTCTCTACTAGATCTATTAGGTTTTTTACATCTTTTTAATTGTTATTAATAAAAACATTATTAATTAAAAGACTCTATTCAATTAGCACAGTTCCACCTCAAAGTATAATTTTTTATTTAAAATCTTTGTTTTGTCACTCTACGTCAAACCATTACAGGTTTTACCTATATTTGTCTGCAACTTCTGAGTCTTAACAATTATTAATATTTAATATGTAACTTTTAACATCATCTTAATTTGATCTGGTAGATTATTTCAGTGTGTTTTTATCATTTTTATAATTTCCTGTAAACTGCTCTTGTGTTTTGAGTAATTAATAATATCATAATTTTTGTATAATCACCTATTCTTCTATATCAGTGGTTCTCAAACTTTTTTCCACCAAGTACCACCTCAGAAAAGAATCGTCTCTCCATGCACCACCATAATGACCGATACGGAAATACAGTAGCGTAATTAAGCAGCTAAAGCTCTGCACAGTTCAAAAACCAGGCAGATTAATTACTATTATTATGAATATTTATTATTGTCAGCCACTTTAACCATTATAAATAATTTGAACATTAAGCATTGTACGGTGCTTACAGGTCAAAAAAATAAATATATAAACGTCAACATTTAAATTAAAATGTGCTTTTAAAAGTTAATAAAAAATTACACTGTTCTTAAAAAGCAAAAAGAAAACTTCTGTACGTAAATGTAAAGTATTATCATTAAGTAGCCTATTCATCAAAACCTGGAAATGTTCCTTGGACCTCATAAATATACAGTAGGCTATATGTCATCGTATTCATATATAAACTCTTTTTGATGAATTTTGAAATATAAGGTGCATGTAAATATGACTTATTTGTATATCTTTGAAATCTAAACATTAGTGTTTATTTTAAATATACCTTTTGAACTTTTAATATTTAAATTAGAAATTAGACCTGCTTACTGAGCGTTAGAGTAGGCTTTGTGTGCCAGAAAAGCAGGTGATTAAATTATACCCGTCAACAATGGGATTATATATAAATACGGGATATGCCCCCAACAACCGTTACAAATATGGGCAGGAAATTAGCTTCAAATGATAGAATACATTAGAAAAATTCAAATAAAATAAAAGGTTTAGCCTTTTATAATCAATTTACTGATCACATCGGTGTTAGCATATTCGTTAAAAGCGTGTTTATTTTTTACTTTAATTATTCAGTGATTCCTCTGCGTACCACTAGTGGTACACGTACCACAGTTTGAGAACCACTGTTCTATATCATTTCACAAAGCATAGGTCAGAATATTTATTTTTATACAAATACACTTGAAGTCAAATATTAATCCCCCTGCTGTAATTTTTTTCTTATTTATATATTTCCCAAATGATGTTAAACAGAGCAAGGAAATTTTCACAGTATTTCCTATAATATTTTTTCTTCTGGAATTATTTGTTTTATTTAGGCATGAATAAAAGCAGGTTTTCTTTAAAATTAAAAATAAAAACATTTTAAGGTCAACAGTTTTAGCGCCCTTAAGGAATACTTTATCTACTGAACAAACCACTGATATACAATGGCTTGCCTAATTACCCTAACTTGCCTAATTCACCTTTTAATTGCACTTTAAGCTGATTACTAGTCTCTTAAAAAAACTAAATATCTAAATAAAGATCTAAATATCTCATCGTGGCAAAGATAAAACAAATCAGTTAATAGAAATGAGTTATTAAAACTATTGTTTAGAAATGTTAAAAAAAAAAGTTTCTCCCAATTAAACTGAAGTTAATAGAGGCTTATAATTTTGATTTATATCAGTTCCGCTGAATTACAATAGAACATTATTTCACTCATATTTGGACATTTTATTTTCACAAAAAATTGTAAAACATTAAGGGCTCTATTTTGACGGTCCATGCACAGAGCACAAAACGCAGGGCGCAAACGCTTTCAGGGCATGTCAGAAGCATTTTTGCTAATTTAAGGACCGGAAAATCCGCTTTGCGCCATGGCGCATGGTCTAAAAGGGTTGAGTTTATTTTCTTAATGAGTTATAGGTGTGTTTTGAGAATAAACAAATTAGAGCCTCATCTCCCATTCCCTTTAAGAGCCAGCTGCGTCACGCCAAGAGCGCATTTTGACGTAAAGTAAGTTCACTTTCGCTTTTGCTCTCGTGGATAAGGAAACCTTTACGCATAGACATCAATTAGCCTATAAATAATTAATTTTGTTTGTTAAGCACAAATATTTGTTTCAAAACTATTTCTAAATTCAGTTCTAATTTCCAGCAAACGAATAAATGAACAATAATGACCAAGTGTGCTCAAAATACTGAGTTATTTCCAAATACACCTGCCATGCCCCATATGGTCTAAAACCTGACAGGTGGGCAAATCTAAGCTTGTTTTTAATAAAACAAATATAAATATGGATATAATAAATAATACTGCTAATAATAATAACATTATACAAAAGCAAATTGAATGAACTGAAAAAGCCTCCCGAGATGAAGAAAGTAAGGCAGTGGTTTTTAAATCTTCATGTAGGCTAGAAATTAAAATGTTTTGTAATATTTTGATCATTTATATTTATATTCTATATATATCCTTATTATATCCTATATATATATATATCCTTAAGATATTATATATTTTTCATATGTAAAGATATTTGCGTATTGCATCTTGTGTGTAGTGTGTAAGCCAGGCGCACTTTGCTCCAGACAATAGACCGACTTTGTTCTGGTCTAAAGAACAGACAATTTACAGTTTCTCAAAATAGCAACGCGCCAAAACACGCCTGCTTTTTTAGACCAGAACGCCTATGGGCGCACATTTGAGCGCAAATGCATTTGCTAATTAAACAGCATGGTGCAACACCTCAAAATGACCCTTGCGCCGAGCTAAAAGTAGCAAAAGAGTATTGCGCCGCGCCTTGCGCCGGGTGTATGATAGGGCCCTAAATCTAAAAGCATTTATTTGAGTCAAATGTAACCTGTATTGTAATATAAAGCTTAATTAATTTAACTTAATTACTTTAATCAATTTTTTTTTGGCTATAGGCTCTGGAGAGAGGATAGAAAACACAATGGAGGCGTTTACACAGTAAGTTCCTCTATTTCTGCCTCTGTTTCTCCTCTTTTCAAGCGTGTGTGTCTGAATTGTATATTTTACAGCGCTGTATCTGCGGGCACTGATATGCTGGAGATGGACTGTCATCTCACACTCGACGGATATGTTGTAGTTTCGCACGATAACAACCTTTTGAGACAAACAGGCGACGACAAAACCGTGTCGTCTCTGAAATTCCAGGTGCGCATTATTAAAGCGATTTCTCTATTTGTGGCTCACTGATGGCTTTTAAATCCTACGGTGTGTGTTTCAGGATTTGCCTCTCTATGAAGAGAAGCTGGAGGTCACTTTTTATGTCGGTAAGTCAATTGTTATGGTTTGACACTGTCGTACTGTATATTAATATAAGGGTTAGTTCACGCAAAAATCTAAATGATGTTATTAATTGTTCACCATCATCTCTTTCCAATCACGGAAATGAAGGATGAACTGAAGTCTCAGGTGATTGGAATGACATAAGGGTGAATAATTACTCATTTTGGGGTGAACTAAGTGCTCTAAATAGTAAATACTGAATGTTTTCTGCAGGACACTACAGCACAGGGAAGGACAGGAGGTTTGTGTTGCTGGAAAACGTCTTGAAGAATTTCCCCAACATGCCAATGACACTCGAGATCAAAGAAAACAACGACTTGCTTATTAAAAAGGTGAGATCAATATTGCTGTATTAGGTTCAGCTGTATTTCAGCATCACATTAATAATACTTCAATTGACGATACTTGACGAATACTTCAAGCTAATACATTTTAGCCATTTGCTAAAACACAGAATTGTTGCCATTTTTGCATTTTTTTGGAAAGAAAAAATGTAAAATCACATAGTCTTAAGTATTCAGACCCTTTGCTCAGTATTTAGCAGAAGCACCCTCTTGATCTAATACTGCAAGATGCAAAAAGTTTTTCACACTTGGATTTGGGCCAATCCTCCTTGTAGATCCTCTCCAGTTCTGTCAGGTTGGATGGTAAACATTGCTGGATGCCATTTTAGGTCTCAACAGAGAGGCTCAACTGGGTTCAGGTCAGGGCTCTGGCTGGGCCATTCAAGAACAGTCACAGAGTTGTTGTGAAGCTACTCCTTTGCTATTTTAGCTGTGTGCTTGGGGTCATTGTCTTTTTGGAAGGTAAACCTTCAGCCTAGTCTGAGGTCCTGAGCACTCTGGAGAAGGTTTTTGTCCAGGATATCCCTGTACTTGGCTGCATTCAACTTTCACTTGATTGCAACCAGTCCTCCTGCACCTGCAGCTGATATACACCACCACAGCATGATGCTGCCACCACCATGCTTCACTGCTCACTGTATTGGACAGGTGATGAGCAGTGCCTGGTTTACTCCACACATACCACTTACGGCCCATTCACACGGGGCTTCAGCGTCAACGCCTGACTGAAGGCGTGTCTGAAGTTTGGGCTGAAGCGATCGTCATAGAAGCGTCAGCCAATGAAATTCAGACAGCAATATGCCACTGTCTAGCTGGTGTATTTGCATACAGCGATCTGATTGGCTGACGCTTCCGTCGGCGCTTGAAAAGTTGAGCTAATCCCAACTTCAGCAGCAAAAAACGCCTCTGAAGCAGCGCCAACGGATCTACAATGCAGTTTGGCAATGCCTGACGTCACCCATTCAAAGTGAATGGGAAGCGTTGACGCTGACGCCCCGTGTGAATGGGGCGTTAGAATTAAGGCCAAAAGGTTATATCTTAGTATCATCAGACTAAAGAATCTTCAGGTGTTTTTTTAGCAAACTTCAAGCAGGTTTTCATGTGTCGGGCCACGTAAAGCCCTGACTGGTGGAGGGCTGCAGTGATGGTTAATTACTACAACTTTCTCCCATCTCCCGACTGCATCTCTGGAGCTCAGCCACAGTGATCTTTGGGTTCTTTACCTCTCTCACCAAGACTACCCTGATAGCTTAGTTTGGCTGGACGGCTAGCTCTAGGAATGGTTCTGGTAATCCTAAACATCTTCAATTTAAGGATTATGGAGGCCACTGTGCTCTTAGGAACCTTAAATGCAGCAGAATGTTTTTGTAACCTTGGCCAGATCTGTGTCTGGCCACAATTCTGTCTCTGAGCTCTTTGTGCAGTTCCTTTGACCTCATGATTCTCATTTGCTCTGACATGCATTGTGAGCTGTAAGCTCTTATATAGACAGGTGTGTGGCTTTCCTAATCAAGTCCAATCGCTATAATCAAACACAGAAGATCACAAGAAACAGACAGCACCTGGGATAAATATATGAGGGTCATAGCAAAGGGTCTGAATACTTATGACCATGTGTTTTTTCAGTTTTTCTTTTTTATTAAATCTTACATGATTTAAGCAAATGGCTGCAAAATAACAAAGAGGGAAGCATGTAACCCCCTTACATGTTTCCCTTTGTTATTTTGCAGCCACTACTTTCTGTACCAACTGTATATATCAAATACTATCTAAATAACATTGTGAGTTGAGTTTTTTAGCTGCTTCTCCCATTTATCTGTACATTTTCTGTTTTTGTTAGGTCTCTAATCTTGTGCATAAATACGGCAGAGAACACATTACAGTCTGGGCTTCTGAAGAGCATGAAGTCATGGCTAAATGTCTGAAGCAGGTACAGAAGTGTGTTTCTTTATATACAGTTGAAGCCAGAATTATTAACCCCCCTGTTTTTTTTCCCCCAATTTCTGTTTTGTTCTGGGAAGATTGTTTCAGAACATTTCTAAGCATAATAGTTTTAAAAACTTATTTCTAATAACTGATTTATTTTATTTCCATGATGACAGTAAATTATATTTTACTAGATATTTTTAAGACATTTCTATACAGCTTAAAGTGACATTTAAAGGCTTAACTAGGTTAATAAGGTGAACTAGGCAGGTTAGGGTAATTAGGCAAGTTATTGTATAACGATGGTTTGTTCTATAGATTATCAGGAGAAAAAAAATTAGCTTAAAGGGGCTAATAATTTTGTCCCAAAAATGGTTTTTAAAAAATTAAAAACTGCTTTTATTCTAGCCGAAATAAAACAAATAAGACTTTCTCCAGAGGAAAAAATATTATCAGACATACTGTGAAAATTTCCTTGCTCTGTTAAACATCATTTGGAAAATATTTAAAATCAAAATCAAAAGGGGGCTAATGATTCTGACTTCAGCTGTAAATCTGTGATCACTGAGCACTAGCCTTTCTCCTTGGCTTATCATACATGTGTTCTTTCTGTTTCTAGAACCCGTCCATGCCCTATATGTTCACAATGAGGCGTGTAATAATGCTTTTATTGCTCTTCTACACTGGACTCCTTCCCTTTGTCCCTCTGGGTGAAAGTGTGCTGATGTTTTACCTGCCTAGAATCATCAACAGGTCACTGCATTCCCTACTCACATACACTGCAGAAATTCCCCTGCACAAACTGTTAAAAGAAGAGAATTATTTCTTCCAAATGTCTCATTTAATTCAGAGTTAAATTCAAAAGAACTTCAAAAAAAATTCAGAGAAGTAATAAAAGTGTGGAAAAGTATAGAAATATGATAACTGAATACAATTTAGTCATTTAAGACCTACTGGTTTGTCTGTACAATCAAATCTTCATCTTTATAAAGTTTCCATTCGATGTTGCATGTATTATAAATAAGATGTTAATTTGAAAACTAATTCATCTATAAAAGAAATGGAGTAAATGACTGGCTTTCTCCACAACGACAATACAATTATCCATAATTGAACATTTACATACTTCTAAAAGTTATGCATCGTTAAGGGATTATGTTCGGCAACCTTTTATTTTATTTTATATTTATTTAGAGATATACTTACTGGCCACTTTATTAGGTACACCTGTTCAACTGCTCGTTAACACAAATTTCTTATCAGCCAATCACATGGCAGCAACACAATGGGTTTAGCCATGTAGACATGGTCAAGACGATTTGCTGCAGATCAAACCGAGCAACCATGTCCATCTATTTATGACCACAGTGTACCCATCTTCTGATGACTACTTCCAGCAGGATAACGCACCATGTCATAAAGCGCGAATCATCTCAGGCTGGTTTTTTGAACATGATAATGAGTTCACTGCACTTAAATGGCCTCCACAGTCACCAGAGCTCAATCCAATAGAGCACCTTTGGGATGTGGTGGAACGGGAAATTTGCATCCTGGATGTGCAGCCGACAATTCTGCAGCAACTGCGTGATGCTATCATGTCAATATGGAGCAAAATCTCTGAGGAATATTTCCAGTACCTTTTTAAATCTATGCCATGGAGGATTAAGGCAGTTCTAAAGGCAAAAGGGGGTCCAACCCGGTAATAGTAAGGTGTACCTAATAAAGTGGCCAGTGAGTGTGTGTATATATATATATTTATTTATTTTTTTTCCCCCACTGGTTATATGTTTCTAAAAAATCAATAAGAACCAAGTATTTAAAAAAAAAAAGCAATTCATCGAAAATCCAAAGGTATTGCTAAATAGGTCATGTAACAATAAGTTCCCATTAGATAACTAAATTGTGTTAAACTGATGGAATTATTACTATTATTATTATTAGAGAACCTTTTAAAGGTCCACCAACGTTAATGATAAAACGTTTCAATCACGCATTAATAAACGTAAAAATCAACATTCTGATCAATAAATTATTTAAACCTGTATTTATCCCATGACTTCTTAAAATTCAAGATTCCGATTGGTTGGAGGATGTGCATTAAATCTATTCAAGCACACAGCTAGTTATAGTCCGTTTTGATCACAGCACTTCCCCCTAACCATTTGTTGTAACTATGGCAATTGCCATGAGTGACAGTTGAGCCTCAACACTTTACACTTGAGTTAAAGTATGCATGAACTGGAAGCTGTTACCATTTTTGGTTCATATTGTGATGGAGTTCCTAGAGAAGCGGAATATTAAATGAGAAAACAGTGGGCGTGGCTTGTTTTTTCTACCTCGAGCTGATTGGATGTATAAAGTAGGCATTTCATTCAGAAAGATTGGGAAATGGGTTTTAGAAGAGTTATTACAACCTGACAGACTTCTGTTTCAGTTTGTCGACAAAACTGTGAGCTGGAGGGGCGTGGTTAAGTATGTTAGCCACGCCCAATTCCTCAGACAATTCATTGAGAATTTAACTGAAAAACTACAAATGTGAGCTAACAAAATCAATACGGCTAGTTTTGATTTCCAGTGTACTTTAACATGAACTAACAACTAAACTATTTATAAAACATCTATAGATAAAAAAGTCTGAAGTATTAAACTAAAGTATTTAACAATAATATTTCACATTTATTGCATTTCACTAATAGTACTTTCGATCTTTTAGGACGTATATTCCAGAGGAAGCCTATATGAAGAATAGATTTGTTGTGTATCTGCTTCAGAAGTAAGTGGAACTCCTCAACACAAACGTTGACATTTGTTATTCAGTGTGTGATTGTGTTTATTGTTGACACTCAGGTTGATCACGTGGAAATCTTTGTTTGAACACTTGATCAAACGGGGCCTGCAGGTGAATATGTGACACTTCTTGGCTCTGTGAAGCTGAATAAATGCTCTTAATTTAAAGTAACAGATTTAATTGAGTGTCATTTCGCCATCTCAGGTGCAGCTGTTTGTGTGCAATGAGGAGACCGATATGGCTGCTGCGTTTGCAATGGGAGCGACAGGAGTAATGACCGACTATCCGACTGTCCTGTCTGACTACATCCGAAAACACCCTCCACCTCCTGCAGTTTACTAGAGATTACAAGGGCCACAGTGAACACTGCCTTACTAGTAGATAAATAAATGCATCTTTAAAGGGATAGTTCACACAAACATACACAAAAAAATTACTCAGGTTTTTTTTTTTGGTAAACCAAAAAAAGATATTGTGAAGAATGTTCGGTATCAACTGACTTCCATAGTAAGAAAATCAAGGTTACAATACAAGTCAATGACTATCAGTTTTCTAACATTAATCAAAATATCTTCCTAATGAACCGAAAGGAAAACATTTAGAAGAATGTTGCAAATCGGTAGCCACTGACTTCCACAGTATATTTTTTCATACTGTGGAAGTCAATGGCTACTAGTTTCCGATTTTCTTCAAAATATCTTCCTGTTAAACCCAAAAATAAGATATTTTGAAGAATGTCGTAAACCGGTACCTATTAACTTCCATAGTAAGAAAATAAAGGTTACAATGAAACTCAATGGCTATCAGTTTCTGACATTCTTCAAAATATCTTTGTTAAACCAAAAAGAAGACATTTTGAAGAATGTTGCAAACCGGTAGCCATTGTCATCCATAGTAAGAAAATAAAGGTTACAATAGAAGTCAATGGCTATCAGTTTTTGACATTCTTCAAAATATCTTCCTTTTAAACCCAAAAATAAAATATTTTGAAGAATGTTGCAAACCAGTAGCCATTGACTTCCATAGTCAAAAAAAAAGATACTATGGAAGTCAATGAGTATCAGTTTTTGACATTCTTCAAAATACCTTCCTGTTGAACTTGAAAGGAAGATATTTTGAAGAATGTTGCAAACCGATAGCCATTGATTTCCATAGTAGGGAAAAAAAAAGCTAGTATGGAAGTCAATGGCAATCGGTTTCTGACATTCTTCAAAATATCTTCCTGTTTAATCAAAAGGAAGATACTTCGAAGAATGTTACAAACGGGTACCTATTGACTTCTATATTAGGACAAAAAGATACTATGGAAGTCATTGGCAATCGGTTTCTGACATTCTTCAAAACATCTTACTGTTGAATAAAAAAAGAAGATATTTTGAAGAATGTTGCAAACCAGTAGCCATTAACTTCCATAGTAAGAAAATAAAGGTTACAATAGAAGTCAATGTCTATCAGTTTCCAACATTAATCAAAATATCTTCCTTTTGACACAGTTCATTGTTCATCAACAATTCAATATTGCAAACCGGTAGCCATTGACTTCCATAGTAAAAAAAAAAAAAAAAGATACTATGGTTAGTCAAGGAGTATCAGTTTCTGACATCCTTCAAAATATCTTCCTGTTAAACCAAAAGTAAGATATTTAGAAAAATTATGTAAATCGGTACCCATTGACATCCATAGTAGGGAAAAAAAGATACTATGGAAGTCAATGGCAATCAGTTTCTGACATTCTTCAAAATATCTTCCTGTTAAGCCCAAAGACAAGATATTTTTAAATAATTTGGCAAACCAGTAACCATTGAATTCCATAGTATGAAAAAACACTGTGAAAGTCAATGGTTATCAGTTTCCAACATTCTGTGGAAGTGGCTTCCGGTTTACAACATTCTTCAAAATATCTTCCTGTTAAAGCAAAAGTAAGATATTATAAAGAATGTTGCAAACATGTAGCCACTGACTTCCACAGATGAAAAAAAAAAAGATTTGACGGAAGTCAATGGGTATCAGTTTCTGACATTCTTCAAAATATCTTCCTGCTGAACCAAAAGAAAGATATTTTGAAGAATGTTATAAACCGGTAGCACTGACTGAAAAAAAAGTAGTATAGAAGTCAATGTCGATCGGTTTTCAACATTCTTCAAAATATCTTCCCGTTCAACCAAAAGCAAGATATTTTAAAGAATGATGCAAATGGTAGACTTTGACTTCCATAGTAGGAAAAAAGACACTATAAAAGTCGAGTGCAATCAGTTTCTGACATTCTTCAAAATATCTTCCTGACTGTTAAACCAAAAGTAACATATTTTGAAAAATGTTGTAAATGGGAGATAGTCAAACCGATAGGCATTGGCTTCCACAGCATCTTTTTTTTTCCTAATATGGAAGTCAGTGGCTACCGGTTTGCAACATTCTTCAAAATATTTCCCTTTTTGTTCAACAAGAAGATATTTTAAGGAATGTCGCAAACCAATAGCCATTGACTTCTATAGTGTTTTTTCCTACTATTGAAGTCAATGGCTACCAGTTTGCAACATTCTTTGAAATATCTTGCTTTTGGTTCAACAGGAAGTTATTTTGAAGAATGTCCAAAACTGATAGCTATTGACTTCCATAGTATCTTTTTTTTTTTGGTTCAACAGGAAGATATTTTGAAGAATGTCCAAAGCTGATAGCTATTGACTTCCATAGTATCTTTTTTTTTGGTTCAACAGGAAGATATTTTGAAGAATGTCCAAAACTGATAGCTATTGACTTCCATAGTATCTTTTTTTTCTTTGGTTCAACAGGAAGATATTTTGAAGAATGTCCAAAACTGATAGCTATTGACTTCCATAGTATCTTTTTTTTTGGTTCAACAGGAAGATATTTTGAAGAATGTCACAAATCGATAGCCACTGACTTCCATAGTATCTTTTTTTCTTTGGTTCAACAGGAAGATATTTTGAAGAATGTCCAAAACTGATAGTTATTGACTTCCATTCCTTTTTTCCTTCTATGGAAGTATCTTCCCCTCGGTTCAACAGGTACATTGTATACAACAGATTTACGAGCAAAGTTTTGATCATGTAGATCAATCAGTGGCCTTAAAGACTTGTGTATTAAATATGATGTAGTAAGTTTCATGGGGTTAAAATGCAGTAAACTCAATTGCGTAAAAAAAAAAGCTAGATGATATGGTTTATTTCACTTGTTTATAGGACAATGTTACTGTCGCACTTACAAACTCCAGGTCACACATTGAATATTCTTTGTGATATGCATATATGCAGTCCAGTATGGCTGAATTACACAGTAAACGGCTGTGAGAGTGAGATCAGACCACCTGTAGTGGATCTCGGTCAGTCTGAGAGATCACTATGCTAACCGTGTGGTCCAGTCGAGCGCTTAGTCTCTCTCTGAAAACACCCAGAAAGCCTCTCTCGCTGTTGCTGTGCTCGCTGAGGATCACGCTGGTGCCTTTAGAAACCGCATCCAGCACCTCATGATGGGACATCTCACCTGAATGACAAACAGATGACGCATTTGTGATTGCACTTTACTTTAATGGGCTCCTATTTTACCCCTTTTACAAGACGTAAGATTAGTGAATGGTATCTCCAGAATGTGTCTATAAAGTTTCAGGTCAACACACACACATACACAATTAACTTTGCACTGTTTTTGCACGTCTACTTGCAGCAAAGGTGACAAGTTAATATACACTGCTGTATGGATTTCCATTGTGCTACTGTACAAAATAAACCTGATTTAACAGTATCAAACTGGGACTCCTGGTGAAGCACTCCCTATACAGTTGTACTGACACTATTGGCTCGTTTCCACTGACTGGTACAGTACGGTACGGTTCGGATCGGTACGGGTCACCTTTATCAGGCTTGAGTTTCCACTACCAAGGGTCCCCTTTTGGTGGGCGTGGTGTATGACAAAGTTTCAGTCGACGTCATTTTCGCTCGAGAAAAAGTCTACAATAAAGCTGTACGGGTCGTTCACATATCATATGAAAAGCACTTCTCACAAAACAGATGCTTTATACACATAAATACTTGTGTATAAATGTTTATTACTAACTTTTCTATAAACAGGACTTGATTATAACTGCAGATCAATGACGGTGTGAAATAGCCTACTGTAACGTCTGTAATTATATTAAATAAATAAATAAATGAACATATATGAACACATACAGACCCTTACAGTCTCCGATATGTTACCAACTACAGAAGAACTACACAAAGCAGACATTTCGTCGTTAATTAGGTTCAAAACAACACAAAGTATAGCCTACAGCCAGTGCAAACCTTTCATCTGTGTCTGTAATCTTCAGCAGCACATGAAGCCTCTGTTAGAGAGTCATTCCATCATTCCCAGTTCATATTAGTCCAAAAGGTGATAATAAAGATTAAAACAAGGCAGTTTGTTCACGTTTGCTGAAGAAATAACGTGCTCCTTGGCTTCGCCTTTTTTTTCGCGCCCCACTCTCGCGTTTGTCCTTTTCTTTCTGAATGTGTCTCTCGCGTTTGTCAGCTTCTCACAGGATCGGGTTTCCAAAGCTTGTCAATAATCAAGTGCATGTTATTATTATCAGCTCAAGAAGTTTGTTATTTCAGATATAGTCGCGCGGCGAGCGCAAGAAAGAAAAGCGAAACCACTCGGGCTTCAGACTACGCGGCACAGGGTGAATCCGCTCTTCTCCATGGCTTTGTGGCTGTTTATCATGACGACGACAGGGTTTGTTTGCAGGATCGACCATGGCTGCATATCTATTTATAATTCCGCTGTAATCTCTCGCTGTGTATTTCAAACATGGAGGGTCCTTTGTTTACATTCTGGCTTGTTGAGTCTACGAATGACGTATCTCTGTAAACCAATAGCGTTCAGCTGCGCGTGTAGCTCCACCTTTTGGGACCCTTTCTGCAGTTTGGGACCCTTTCGAAAGGGTCCCGGAAAAGTGGTACGGTATGGTTTGGTTCGGTACGCCTTTTGACAGTGGAAACGGCCATAAAAGCGTACCAAACCGAACCGTACCGTACCACTCAGTGGAAACGGGCCATATATGACTTAGACCAGTGGTTCTCAAAAGTTTTTCACAAAGTACCACCTCAGAGAAAAAAGTATCACCACCATAATGTATTGAAATATAGTAGCATAGTAGGCCTAATTAAGCAGCCAAAGCTCTGCACAGTTAAAAAATGAGGCAGATTAATTTCTATTATTATGAATATTGATTATTGTCAGCCATTTTAAACATAATAAATAGCTTGAACGTTAACTCTGTTGTGTGCTTACAGGTAAAACAATAACTAATGTTTAAATTAAAATGTGCTTCTAAAAGTTCATTAGAAATGGCATTGATCTTAAAAATTAAAAAGAAAACTGCTGTATTTACATGTAAAGTATTAACATATACATACTTTCTTATTCATCCTATTCACAAAAAAACATGGAAATCTTCCTTGGACCTCATGAATATAGGCTATTTGAGATCATATTCATTTATAAAATGTTTTTGAAAAAAATTAAATAGATGTTGCACGTGATTTATTTGTATATCTTTGAAATCTAAACATTAACCTTCAATGTATGATTTGGATTTACATATTTAATTTAGAAATTAGATTTGCTTACTGCGTGTTACAGGCTTTGTGTTTCACAAAAGCAAGTCATTAAACCAAACCTGTCAACATTGGGATTTAAAAATACAGGATACACCATTACCCCCAACAACCGTTACAAATATGGGGAGGAGATTAGCTTCAAATGATAAAATACATAACAAACGGAAGAAAATTGAAAATAAAATAAAAGGTTTAGCCTATTAAAATCTATTTACTGATCACATTGGTGTTATTGTAAGTGTCAAAGGGTTAAAAGTGTGTTCATTTTTTTTTTCTTGAATTATTCAGCAATTCCTCCACGTACCACTAGAAGGAAGCCTGCGTACCACTAGTGGTACACGTACCAGTTTGAGAACCAATTACTTTCAGCGGTTATATAATTACATATACAGTTGAAGTCAGAATTATTAGCCCCCCTTAGGGTTGTAACGGTATGAATTTTTTACGGTATGATAATCGTCTAAAACAATACCACGGTTTGACGGTTTCGCGGTATACGGTATTAAATAGTAATTCTCATAGCAAAGACCCTGAAAAGAATAAGAACACGTTTTCTGACTGAACAAAGGTTTTATTTCAACAAACTTTTGAAAGAACCATTTTAATACAACTATAGAAGTCTTTTATAAAAATAAACTGAAAAATCTCCCATTTTAATAAATTAAATTAGAAGGAATAAACAAGCAAGGTCTTTTAAGATTAGACAAAAATAAACTTAAACTGTCCTTCCTTATAAGCAGGATAAATGGGAGACCAAAAGTGCAATACCAAGTTTATGGCTGTAAACATGTATTTAAAGCGTTGTTTTTTTTTCAGTCTAGGTTGTGATGAAGAAATGTAAGCATGTTGAGATTTTCAGGACTTAATCTTGACCGCTGAGGTGAGAGAATGTGTCCACTTGTACAATGAACAAATAAAAAAATAAGAAAATAATAAATAATGTGTCAAAGTCCAAATAAACATGGTGCAAATCCTCAGTAAAAAAATAGATATAAATATTTACTATACTATAAATAGTTACATAACGAAACTAGATTCAATATGGAGCATCCTTAGGGTTTATGTGTCAGCATGGATATGGTTGTCTGTGGATATGGATTTGGATATGGTTGTCTGCAATGCAGACAAACACCTGCACCTTCATTTGCGTCTTTTGAAAACAGCAAGAGCAGCAGTTCGTCTTTGCTGTGTCACTGTTTTGTCATGTTTCTGTGCTGCTGTGCATGCAAAAGTACTTAGTATGAGAATTATTTCATGCAAACCTTTTTTTTTGCGTTTTTTTAGCCGCGCATAAATGTATGCCTATCTCTCATTCCGTGTTGTTCAAAACGCTCATTGATGGTCCACAAACAAAAGCGAAACTTATGCTTATTGGTTGTGATATAGCGAGTTTGAACCAATCTGGGCATGGAGGAGGGACAATGCATCAATGTATCATGTCTGGTTTGTCCGGAGACACAGTGACGAGCGTTTCTTTGTCAAATCAGCGTTGTCAAATTTTGATGACGTAATCGCACTGATTCCGGAGCCTCTGAAAGTCCGCGAATGTTATGTGATACAGCACTTATTAAACATTTAAGAGCAATACTTATTTTTAGCCGCGGGTGGCTGTCTCGGTCTTTAAGGGTTAAAACCGTTGATATGCAATTGTTCATGGTATGATAATCGTGCACGTTCAAATCGTGGTAGACCGTCATACCGGTATATTGTTACAACCCTAGCCCCCCTTTAATTTTTTTTTTTTTCTATTTAAATATTTCCCAAATGATGTTTAACAGAGCAAGGAAATTTTTACAGTATGTCTGATAATATTTTTTCTTTTGAAGAAAGTCTTATTTGTTTTATTTCGGCTAGAACAAAAGCAGTTTTTAATTTTTTAAAACACATTTTAAGGTCAAAATTATTTTTGATAGTCTACAGAACAAACCATCGTTATACAGTAACTTGCCTAATTATCCTAACCTGCCTAGTTAACCTAATTAACCTAGTTAAGCCTTTAAATGTCACTTTAAGCTGTATAGAAGTGTCTTGAAAAATATCTAGTCAAATATTATTTACTGTCATCATGACAAAGATAAAATAAATCAGTTATTAGAAATGAGATATTAAAACTATTATGTTTAGAAATGTGTTGAAAAAAAAATCTTCCCTCCGTTAAACAGAAATTGGGGAAAAAATAATTCAAGGGGGCTAATAATTCTGACTTTAACTGTATATATAGACCTTTCCGGAAAATTGCCAGTAATTTTCCGGAAAGGTCTATATATGTGAAAGAGGCTACTGACACCTTAAAATATCACCTAGTTTGTTTGCATTAGGAACTGTTGTTATTTGTTGTTCTATCACTTATAAATTGATAATAAATTCCTTTTTTGATGTCTGTGACGTACCAGTGATGTAGAGGTCTGCTGTTACTCCTTGTATGACAGAAGCTCCAGAACCGGCACACACTGCAACCGTCTTCACCATCGAGTCTACAACATCACATAAATAATGCGCTTATTGAGGATTATGTAACTCTGGACTATTATTCAATACGCAAAGCCATGAAAATAATGGAAATTACAAAGATAGACTTTTAAAAATCACTCTAAATGCAATACAATACAATTATTTATTCGTTAATTACTTCAGTTTCTGAATAAATAAAATTGTAGCTTTATTTCTTTCTAACTTTTAAAACATACAAGAGGGAATAAAAAAGCTAACTGTTTTTTGTAAGAAATAAACATCTAATACACATACCTATGTGCATTTAACATGCAATTATTATTCTATCACCTAAAAACTGCAGAGTGTGCATTTCATAAACAGTTATCATCCTACGGTTATTGGTGCTGTGTGCTTAATCTTGGTTTGAATTGGCCCTAAAGGGATAGTTCACCCAAAACTGAAAATTCCATGATTTATTCACCCGTCACTTGATCCAAAACTGAAAACTTGAATAATAGTGTTTCTTTTGTATTTAACAGAAAAAAAAGAAACTCATAAACATTTGGAAATACTAAATCGGGTAAATAGTGAGGTCTTTGTGTTTGGGGTGAACTATCCCTTGAAATAAGCTATTTCCAGTAGATGTATGAACATTTTGATTCATTTGCCATTATAGGTAAATGACTAAAAGACTAACTACAGTGAGTGCAATAAATTAAAAGCTATTTGTGATAGTTTATGAATACAATAACACATTTAAATAATGTAGCAACAAATGGCTGACCACAATGTCGCCATTTACTTAGGGCTGCTCGATTATGGAAAAAATCATAATCACGATTATTCAAAATCAGTTGAAAATCAGTTGAAGTTAAAATTTTTCATCCTACTGTGAATTTATTTTTATATATAAATATTTCCCAAATTATGTTTAACAGAGGTTTTTTTTTTTTTTTTTTTAACAGTATTTCCTATAATATTTTTTTCTTCTGGAGAAAGGCTTATTTGTTTTGTTTCAGCTAGAATAATAGCAGGTTTGAATATTTTTAAAGCTATTTTAATAGCTCGATATTATTAGCCCCTTTAAGCAATATATATGTTTGATTGTCTGCAGTAGAAACTACTTTTATACAATGACTTGTCTATTTACCCTAATTAAGCCTTTGAATGTCAATGTAAGCTGAATACTAGTATCTTGAAAAACATCTAGTAAATTATAATGTGCTGTCATCATAGCAAAGATAAAAGAAATCAGTTATTAGAAATGAGTTATTAAATCTGTTGTTTAAACTGCGCTTTAAGCATCTTCACTGTATTTTTGATTTTATTATTGATTAATAATAAAAACAGTCGGCAGCAGCAGGAATATCGCACGCTGTCACTTTAAGAATAGTGCGGCTCTGATATGGTTTTTCTTTCACGTGTCTTTTGATTCTCTACTTGTTTGTTTATTACACAAATGAGGGTTAATATGAATAATCACTAAACACCGCGCTCTGATACAAATGTGCATGTCTTGACCATTAAAGCGCTCACATTAAGATTCCGTTAGATGTGTGTGTGCTCTGCATTCCGAGGCTAAGCGCGGCGCACGCTAACACACACACACACACGCTACCTGTCCGAGGCTATGCATGGCGCGCACACACACAACAGCACGTGCTCTTTTGCGCTTTAAAAACATGAATAATGCGCATCCCGTGCTGCAAAAGTTACATTTCAGCTCATGCTTTTAGTCATTTTCACGTGGAACTGAGCTTTGCAGAGGCAAAGCGTTTTCACATGTGAACAACTGGAAAGGGGGCGGTACGTGGTGAAATAATCGTTTATCTCGATTAATGCTTTTTCATAATCGTTAGAAGCCGAAATCGTAATCGGATTTTTCGATTAATTGCACAGCCCTACATTTACTCAAACTAAAGTGTGTCCCGAATCTTTGCGACTCTGTTTTTCAGTTAAACACAAAAGAAGATATTTTGAAGAATGTTGGAAACCAGAAGCCGTTAACATCAATATTAGCAAAAATAAACATCAACAGCTATTTTTTTCTCAACATTCTAAAGTATATCTTATTTTGTGTTCAACGAAAGAAAGAAACTCAAACAGGTTTGGATCAAGTAGACGGGGAGTGCATTTTCGAGGCAACTGTCTATGTACAGTGAAAGTACAGTAATTGTAAAAATGGCCATGTTAAAATATGAATATTTCGGCTGTTTCACCTAATGTCTGCTGGTCCCCCAAGGCCAGTCTCAAATGAGGCAAACCCAAGTGTGTTTTCATCTTCTGCACTGCTGTAGAAACAGACACTGGTTCCTCCAGAACACTGAGTCGACCCTGACCACAGCCCAACAGAGGAGGCTGCAGTGGAGGAACAAACAGAAGAAACAGCCAATCAAATGCACTGCCACCATTTTGTACTCAAAGTGAATATATTTAGCTTCTGAAAGTATCTTATGCTCACCAAATCTACATTTTTAAAAACATTTTTATTTAATTAAATACAATAAAGTCAGTAATACTGTAACTATTTTAAATGATACTGAAATCATAACATTTTAACATTTAAAATAACGTTTTTCTAATTGAAATTATATTAAGGTGTAATTAATTCCTCTTTTGCAAAGCTGCATTTCAGCATCAGTCCAGTCTTTGGTGTCACATGCTTTGCATTTTGCACAACACAACGGTAAATTAAAACCAGAAAACCTTTTATGCATGTATTTGCATCATGAATATGACTAAAACAGAGTATTGTGCATGGATCCATGTGTTAACCAGTTAAACTCCAGTGCTATTTTGGGATTTCCGCCTGGATTTTGCCTACCCAAATTTAAAGCTTCCCAAATCCACATGCAGAGGTGTAAATATTTGGTATAATTTTAAAGAAAACCCTTTGAGTTAAACCTTATTTTTGTAGGGTAGCTTGATTTTTAGATTTATTATTATTTCTATTATTTTCATTCATTCATTTTCCTTCGGCTTAGTCTCTAATTTATCAAATGTCGCCACAGCGGAGTGTCACGTCTATTATTATTTTATGTGTTTTTATTCATTCATTTTCTTGTCGGCTTTATTAATCTGGGGTTGCCACAGCGGAATCAACCGCCAACTTATCCACCAAGTTTTTACGCAGCGGATGCCCTTCCAGCTGCAACCCATCTCTAGGAAACATCCACACACACACTCATACACTATTGACATTTTCGCCTACCCAATTCACCTGTACCGCATGTCTTTGGGCTGTGGGGAAAACCGGAGCACACGGAGGAGAACATGCAAACTCCACACAGAAACGCCGACTGAGTCGAGGATCGAACCAGCGACCTTCTTGCTGTGAGGCGACAGCACTACCTACTTCGCCACTGCCTCGCCTATGTGTTTTTAATTATTTTTATTATTGCATTTTATTTGCATTCATTCTTGTATGTATCTTTTACTGCGGCACATTTTATATGTCAGTGCCTTGAGATGGTATTTTTAAAGGTGCTATATAAAAATAAAGTTTATTATGAATCTTGCACACTGACTCTTATCAAAAATGTAAAGAACAAACATTTTAGTACCAACATGCCGATCTGCAGTGCCATAAATGTGTTAATATTACCTACATTCATATTATTTTTCAGTTTTTTTTTTTTAAATGAATAAATAGAAAAATTGTATTTTAGTAAAACAAAAAGTAATGCGTGATTTTAAAATAATTAATTTATATGGTAACTGCCACTTTCACACAGTGATACCGGTAAATATCTGGAAAATTTCCGGAACGACTTTACCGGTATATTCAAAAAAGCGCTGTTCACACAGGCGAGGACGTTACGGAAATTTTCCGGAAAAGAGCATTCACACATCCATTCCAAAATACCGGTAAATTCTGACATCATTCACCACAAATGAGCCTTAAACGGCTGCGCTTGTATTTGTAAACATTTGACTAAATTACAAACTCTGTGGATGATCAATATTGTGAACAACTTTCGCAGGATCACTTTCGCATGTCGAGATGTTCATAATATGTGCGTGTGCGGGCGCTCATAGGCGCACGCAAAGCTTGAAGGTAATCAAACAACGGCTTATCATAAGCATCTCATCGATGATTATTTACACAGTTGGCATTAGGAAAAACATATAAACGAGATCTGACTAACTTCTAGCAGCTAAATGTGTCTGGAAAAATATTCAAAGGCTTTTATTCTCATGAACTGTGCGGACGTAAATGCGTCTGACTGTTGTGATTGGCTAAAGCAGACGTCTCACGTCAGCACGTTCTAGACGTGCACGCGCTTATTACGGTAATCTTCCTTCTGCATTCACACAGCGCAGCATTCCGGCAAATTGCCGGTAATGTTACAACTTCTCTTTCCGGAAAATAGCCAGAACGAATTTACCGGTATTTTCAAAAAGGACCTGTTCACACATACAACCTTTCTGAAAAATTGCCGGCAATTTTCCGGAAAGGTCTGTATGTGTGAAAGGGGCTAACAACTCATTTATTTCAGGTCGCATTTAATTGATATAACGTTTTCTGTCAATTTTCACATCCTTGCTGCATAAAATTATTTCTAAAAAGTCAAATATGACAAATAATAAATAAAAAAACAGTGATGAACGTGGTCATTCCCTCACCTGTTGGACTTGTGTGATGTTCAGGGATTTGCTGGTGTGTGGATGTGAAAGCAGAATCTGCACCGCACCAGTCAACGCTGAGCTCCTACAGGTCAGATTCACCTGCTGTCCTCCACTCTCACTTCTGAACATGAACATATAACAGTGTTAAAATAGATACCAATGCATGCATAGTTGCTTGGGATGTATGATATTGAAAAAAAAGTGCTATATTTAGACTTTCTGCTATTTCTAATGCAACATTTCACCAGCTAACTTGAATATCTCTATCTGGAAAGATTTATTGTTTTATGTTTTATTGCCATATCAGCAGCATTGGCTATGCTCTTGTGTCTAGTACTCTTGAACACCTTGATTAGTTGGGTCAGCAGTGATTGATTAAGATTGAATCAAAACTGTGCAGAGCATCTCTAAAATATACAACTCCTTGCTCACGTCTCATACTTCTACATCTGAAAATTTGCGTTTTATTAGGGCTAGGGATCTTAACATAGACATAGAAGAAGATATTTGGTCAACAATTTTACAAAAGGTCCATACATCGTCTGTATGTGCTCGCCATGGGATTCTACAGTGCAAAGTAGTTCACAGAGTTCACTGGTCTAAGTGTAAACGGGCTCGCATGTTACCTGCCATGGATCCAACCTGTGACAAATGTCATGCTGAACCTGCAAATCTAGTTCACATGTTTTGGACCTGTCCAGCTTTGTTTCCTTTTCGGGAGTCTGTTTTTGATTCATTTTCAGAAATTACATCTATTAATATTGATCCTTCTCCGTTAATTGGCCTGTTTGGAGTTCTTCCCCCTGACTGTGAGTTACCATTTAGTTTTTCTGAATTAATAGCTTTTCTGTCATTATTAGCTAGGCGGTGCATTTTGTTGCAGTGGAAGTCTCTTCAACCCCCATCCCATACTCAGTGGATTAAAGATGCCTTATTTTGTGTTCAATTAGAAAAAAAGTAAACATAGTCTCCGAGGTTCAGTGGTTAAATTTTCTAATATTTGGTTGCCATTTTTGAAACATGTCAAATCTTTGAGACTTGAGGCAATTACTGTGGAGTGAATGGTTGCCATTCTTTCATTTTTGTTTTGATCTGTGCTTCCAATTGAGTATTAGTGCTGCTGATATAGCACAAACATACAACTTTTTCTTGACATAAAACCACAAGTTTTAAGAACGTGCCACCCCCCAGCCTATTTAGTTTAATACATTTTCCCTTTTCTCTTGCTTTTTTTTTATTTCTTTTCTATTTTTTTATTTATTTATTTATTTTATTTTATTATTATTGTTTATTTTACTTAATACACCATGCTGTCAACCTCAACGTATGGTACCGACCTGTTTATATGCTCAATTTGAAAATTGATTTATGCTCATCATATAGTGTTTTTGCATGTCATATACTGTGTGTCACACAATATGAGGGTTATAGTGTGGTTTATTCTTATTTTTTTATTAATGTTGTACTGTTATATATATATATATATATATATATATATATATATTTCTGTTTGTACTGTTATTGTAAAATTATTCAAAAAAAATCTAATAAATAAATCTTTAAAAAAAAACTGTGCAGAGCTGCAGCCCTCCAGAAAGTTTGAAAGCCCTCCAAAGAGTTTGAGACCTGTAGCTTAAACTATTAAAAATGTTAATAAAAGTCACTTTTTAAAACTTTGACTTTTACAACTTCTACTTTTCAAGATTTAAAGTTGTTAGAAGAAAGACAAAGGTCCCATTAGGGTTGTCCCGATACTAGAATTCAGTACCAATCGATGCTGAAACTTTAAAATCGTCCATTTACTGCAAACATTTATGAGCTGTTGAGCACAATCGTAAGCAGTGCTGATTTGCCTGTGTTCACGCTGTCAACAGAAATGACTGTGATTCGCCGTGAAGGTCATCAGTTCACCAAACTCACTGCTGTCCACAAAGTGTAACTACAGATACAGGGACCCTGGAGCGTTTTAAAGCCGCGATTCATCAGTGGATCACTCATATGTCAGCTTCTAGAGAAACCAGCTGATCGACGTGACTTTGAAATGCTTTAAAACCAAATTTCAGTATCGATTAGTACCTAACTCCGGTATCGTGACAACTCTAAGTCCCATAATGCAATTCAAAAACATAAATAATACAAAAAAAAAACATTCATTCATTCATTTTCTTGTCGGCTTAGTCCCTTTATTAATCTGGGGTCGCCACAGCGGAATGAACCGCCAACTTCTCCAGCAAGTTTTTATGCAGCGGATGCTCTTCCAGCCGCAACCCATACCTGGGAAACATCCACACACACATTCATACACTACGGACAATTTAGCCTACCCAATTCACCTGTACCGCATGTCTTTGGACTGTGGGGGAAACCGGAGCACCCGGAGGAAACCCACGCGAACGCAGGGAGAACATGCAAACTCCACACAGAAATGCCAACTGAGCCGAGGCTCGAACCAGCGACCTTCTTGCTGTGAGGCCACAGCACCACTGCTTCGCCCAAAATAAAAACATGAATCTCAAAATATGGAAAACTGCTAATTTACAGATATTTTTTCACAGCGTGTAGCTATAATTCTGTCTTTTGCGCACGCACACACATTGTAATATGAATGCTAAAATAATATATTGTGCATGCTTATGTATATTCACTTTATTCTAGTGCACTGAAAGGTTTCGCTGCCCTCTGTGTGTCTCAGCTGCTCCAAAAGGCTGTTTACTTCTCCATCATCCATGCATGAGAACTCAATCCTGTGTTTCTGTGCACCGCTAGAGACTGCTTGACTTAATACCGACACTTTACCTCTACCTGTGGAAAAAGACACAAGCACAGGGTGACCATGAGTTCTCATTTTAAGGCACATCCTGGCCAGGTTTTCTATATTTCGCTTTATCATCATCCTTCAACAGTGATATTTACGTTAAACTGAACTTAAGTTTTCAAAATAAGCTTTAATTTAACTAGAACTGCAGCAGCATCCTAAACGACTCTCCTGCCTGCTTGATTTGCTGGATTTCCACAATCAAAATTTTTTTTATTTTGAATTTAATTAATTTATTTGTTTTTTATTATTATTTATATAAGAAAGTCTTAATTAAGAAAGTCAAAATTAATAGCCCCTTTAAGCAATATTTTTTTGATAGTCTACAGAACAAACCATCATTACACAATAACTTGCCTGATTACCATAACCTGCCTAGTTTAGCTGTATAGAAGTGTCTTGAAAAATATCTAGTCAAATATTATTTACTGTCATCATGACAAAGATAAAATAAATCAGTTATTAAAACTATTATGTTTAGAAATGTGTTGAATAAATCTCTCTGTTAAACGGGGGCTAATAATTCAGGGGGCTAATAATTATACATACAGTATATTATATATATATATATATATATATATATATATATATAATCATTCATTTATTTTCTTGTCGGCTTAGTCCCTTTATTAATCTGGGGTCGCCACAGCGGAATGAACCGCCAATTTAAATTTAATTTAGAGGATGCCCTTCCAGCTGCAACCCATCTCTGGGAAACATCCACACACGTATTCACATACACACTCATACACTACAGACAATTTAGCCTACCCAATTCTCCTGTACAGCATGTCTTTGGACTGTGGGGGAAACCGGAGCACCCGGAGGAAACCCATGCGAACGCAGGGAGAACATGCAAACTCCACACAGAAAGCCAACTGACCCAGCCGAGGCTCGAACCAGCGACCTTCTTGCTGTGAGGCAACAGCATTACTTACGCCACTGCTTCGCCCACATAGTCAGAATTACAGGGCAATATATATATATATATATATATATATATATATATATATATATATATATATATATATATATATATGGTTTTTGCCCTTTAAATAAGGTTGATAGTACACCTATACACTTCAAAGATCATTAAATTTCACAATTTTTAACACTCAAGCAGTATGGGACAAACTAAAAGTTCTCACAATTATGGAAAGGAAATAAATACGATAAAATAACAATATAATAATGAAACCATTAATCACAATTGTTATTATTCTTTGCCCAGCACTATAAATTTATATATATATATATATATATATATATATATATATATATATATATATATATATATATATATATATATATATATATATATATATATATATATATATTAGCTGTTTTCCCCCCAATTTCTGTATAGTTTTAATAACTCATCTCTAATAACTGATTTATTTTATCTTTGTCATGATGACAGCACATAATATTTGACTAGATATTCTTCAAGACACTTCTATACAGCTTAAAGTGACATTTAAAGGCTTAACTAGGTTAATTAGGCAAGTTAGGGTAATATATATGCAAATATATCAAAAAATATATAGCTTAAAGGGGCTAATAATCTTGACCTTAAAATGGTGTTTAAAAAATTAAAATCTGCTTTTATTCTAGCCAAAATAAAACAAATAAGACTTTTTCCAGAAGAAAAAATATTATCAGACATACTGTGAAAATTTCCTTGCTCTGTTAAACATCATTTGTGAAATGTTTAAAAAAAAGAAGAAAAAAATCTAAGTGGGGCTAATAATTCTGACTTCAACTGTGTGTATACTTTTTATATTATAATTTTTTTGACCGTTAACATTTTTATTCGTACAATGATTTTAATTTTTAAATGGCACATATGGTCACCCTACTCAAGTAAGAAAATGTAACACTGTATTTACCCATTCCTCCAACAAGCCAGTCATTAACGCCTCCCTCAACACTGTCCCATGAAGTGTGTGGGGAGAAAATGCCAATGCCGTTTTCGATTGCTCTGACTGCCAAACGCTGCTTCCAGTCCTTCTGCAGCAAACGCTTGAAAGGCCGAAAGAGTGGCGGATGGTAGGAGACGATCAGATCACACTTCATCCCTACAGCTTCATCCATGACCGCCGCCGTCAGGTCATTAGTGAGCAGGATTGTTTTGATTGGACGAGGTCTACTAGGTTCCACCAATAGGCCAACATTATCCCAGGATTCAGCCAATGATAATGGAGCGAGCTGTTCCAAAACCTCCAGAACTCCCTTTAAATCCATGTGTTCGGCAGGACGAGTGGATGCAGAGAGAAAACGGATCGTTCTGTCAGAGCTCAGTGCAGGATAACAGGATGCTGAGAGATGAGAGTGATGGAGAGAGAAACGTGGGAGAGCTGAATATGCAAAAAAAGAAGTGAAAACAGAACGTGGGGATGAAAAATGACAAGAAGAAAGACTAGAGATAAATGTCCTGGTTTTGGAGATGCTAAAGTTGATTCTGCTCAATCGGAGAAGTTTTCCAGACAATTGCCCACATCGGGCCAACATGAGGGAGAGAAAAGCTGAAAAAGAATGAGAAATATAAAACATGCAAAACAAAACATCATCATTTTATGAAATATAAAATGTGCCACATACAGCTTTTTAACGATAGTTTAGTAGCATACAGACAAATAAATAATATATTTAAAAAAAAACTACAAATTAAAAACCACAAATTAACATAGTAACATTTATCTCATGTCAAATCCACAAAAAAATTTATATATATATATATATATATATATATATATATATTAACAAATCCTATGTGATGAATACTTATTTGCCATTTGCTCCTTAATATTTCGTATTCAGAATGATTTGTAATTTACAATTGTAATTAGTTGTAATTAGCATTCTGTTAGCAAATGCAAAAATAACATTTATTTCATAATGTCACGTGTGTATTATTTATATTTATGCAACGTATGAGTAAATACTGCTTTATTAAAAAATATATATTATTTTCCAACGTTTTTACTTCAGTACCTTGTGAAAAATTATATCCTATTGTATGTAAATAATACTATTAATGTATGTAATATAAACTGTAAAAAAAATGATTGTAAGTTAGTTACGAATGAACGGATTTTGTAAAAAAAAATTAAAGGAGCAAGGGACAAACAAGTAACTAATATTGATTATTAATAATATTGATATTCTCATGTTAAATAATTGTATTTATAAATGCAGCATCTGCATTATATAGTTTCTAAAAATGTATCTTTTAAGTGAATTTACTAATTTAATTATAAATCATAAAACCCTGCTTGGATAAAAAAAAACATTTAAGATATTGTTATAATTCATTACACTTGTTATAAATCATAATATTAAAATTATCAATTATGGTACTGTTAGAATGTATAATAAATTAATAAAATACACACATTTAATTGCTTTGATATTTTCTCTTATATTTTTGATTTTTATAACTGCAATGAAAATTAACTGCAAAATTAATGCGAAATTAAACTAGAAAAAGAAATTTGTTTTCACCAGGTACTAAAGTCACAAGCATGTTTAAACATAAAAATCAAATAATATATAATGATTTTCCATCTAAAACTAATCGTAATTGATTATTGTATAGAAATATATAATATTGTTCAAATTATGATTAAATAATAAACTAATAAATACGTACTTTTATCAAAATTAAATGAAAAGAACGAGACACGTTTTGCATTTGCTTGTTGCAAACATCCTTATCATGAATTGTAATAATATATATATATATATATATATATATATATATGTGTGTGTGTGTGTGTGTGTGTGTGTGTGTGTATGTATACATACAAGTAATTAAATTAGTAAATTCACTTAAAAGATACATTTTTAGAAACTATATGATGCAGATGCTGCATTTATAAATACAATTATTTAACATGAGAAAATCAATATTATTAATAATCAATATTAGTTACTTGTTTGTCCCTTGCTCCTTTAATTTTTTTTTTACAAAATCCGTTCATCTGTAACTAACCTACAATCATTTTTTACTGAAAGTTTGCATTATATACAATAAAAGTATTAATTATATACAATATAATATAATTTGTATAGGGTACTGAAGTAAAAACGTTGAAAAATAATATAGTTTTTTAATAAAGCAGTATTTACTCATCCGTTGCATAAATATAAATAATATACATGTGACATTATGAAATAAATGTTATTTTTGCATTTGTTAACTGAATGCTTTGTATTTATAATGATTATTAAGCTAAAAGGCTGATTTCTAGAGTGGTAGTCTGGACTGCCATCCTCAGGTAAAACTCAACTTACAGTGAATGACAGGGAAAAGCCTGTCAGTTAAACTGCGCTATATTAAACTGGATAAAACTTATGGAAGCATACCAGTAGCATAATTCAATTCAAAATGTAATATGCAAAATGGCAATGCAATATGTTAAATGGCAATGTATTTCTGTATTTGAATTTGCATTTTCCAAGACATATGAGCAATGTTTGGTGCAAAATGAAAATGTAAATTAAATTACATTGTTTGCATTTCTCATTTCAAACACTGTTTTAATTTGTAAATTGTATCCACATTTTAAAGCTTTATAAGTAGCAAAATTAAATTGAAAATGCTATACACAAACTGAATTTGATGTGAATAAAGTACAAGCAGAAACTGTGGCAAAATGATCATTTAAATGTTATTTGTCCTAAATGCATTTACACTCGCGTCTAGGAAATGCAGGATTACATTTTCAGCATAACAGCATGGGATGTGTGTAGCAAAATTAATTTTGAAATGTAATACGCAAAACAATAATGCAATATGTAAAAGGCAGTGTATTTCTGTATTTCAGTTAGCATTTTCCAAGACATATGTGCAATGTTTGCTGCAGAATGAAAATGAAAAAAACATAATGCATTTTCATTTAACACATCGCGACGAATGAAAGCCGATTTGATATTGAAAATGCATTCTGGCCTGGCCACGCCCACAGACGGCCACCGTTGCTGCAAGGCAGGTTTTAGGTTATGTCGTCACAGCTGCCGCGAGGACTATTTGGGACATTTGGCAGCATAAACATGGCGAAGTCTGTTCCTCAGCGGCTTCGTGAAGCTGCACGAGCCCTCGAGCGTGAACTGGGAAATACTTTAGAAAAGCAATCACCTCCTAGCTCAGTAAACTTGGCTTAAGGTTTGATATTCGCGCGCGCAGTTTTAGGGATCATCTGCAAATTACATCAACATAACCAAAATGCACAGTAACGCAAAGCAGAAAAAATTCAGGAGATTCCAATAAATGGTTAGAGGCCAGACTGATTTAATACAGGTAGCAAAGCTACTATACCTCTAACTATATGGTACATACAATGCAGAAATAGGCAATAGCTCTTGTCATAAGCACACAGTACACATCAGCTAAAGCCCCTTTAGGTTCTGTCGATGTAATTTGCAGATGATCCCTAAAACTGCGTGCGCGAATATCAAACCTTAAGCCAAGTTTACTGAGCTAGGAGGTGATTGCTTTTCTAAAGTATTTCCCAGTTCACGCTCGAGGGCTCGTGCAGCTTCACGAAGCCGCTGAGGAACAGACTTCGCCATGTTTATGCCGCCAAATGTCCCAAATAGTCCTCGCGGCAGCTGTGACGACATAACCTAAAACCTGCCTTGCAGCAACGGTGGCCGTCTGTGGGCGTGGCCAGGCCAGAATGCATTTTCAATTTCAAATCGGCTTTCATTCGTCGCGATGTGTTAAATGAAAATGCATTATGTTTTTTTCATTTTCATTCTGCAGCAAACATTGCACATATGTCTTGGAAAATGCTAACTGAAATACAGAAATACACTGCCTTTTACATATTGCATTATTGTTTTGCGTATTACATTTCAAAATTAATTTTGCTACACACATCCCATGCTGTTATGCTGAAAATGTAATCCTGCATTTCCTAGACGCGAGTGTAAATGCATTTAGGACAAATAACATTTAAATGATCATTTTGCCACAGTTTCTGCTTGTACTTTATTCACATCAAATTCAGTTTGTGTATAGCATTTTCAATTTAATTTTGCTACTTATAAAGCTTTAAAATGTGGATACAATTTACAAATTAAAACAGTGTTTGAAATGAGAAATGCAAACAATGTAATTTAATTTACATTTTCATTTTGCACCAAACATTGCTCATATGTCTTGGAAAATGCAAATTCAAATACAGAAATACATTGCCATTTAACATATTGCATTGCCATTTTGCATATTACATTTTGAATTGAATTATGCTACTCGTATGCTTCCATAAAAACTTGACAGCAGTCTGTATTCATCCAGATCACTCTAAACAAACTAAAAACTCATTATATCACATAAATTACATTTAATAACTCACTGAATATGTCGCTTCCACGAGCTAATGAAAGCAGCGGCTGTCAGTCTTCTTCTTCTTCTTCTTCTTCTTCTTCTTGGTTTAAACCAGCTTAAGGTGCATTTCCGCCACCTACTGTGTTGGAGGGTGAGACAATAAAATAAAATAAAATAAAATAAAATAAAATAAAATAAAATAAAATAAAATAAAATAAAATAAAAATTAAATTAAATTAAATTAAATTAAATTAAATTAAATTAAATTAAATTAAATTAAATTAAATTAAATTAAATTATAAAAAAATAAAAACTTTTTCCCATTAACTCCTGTTACTTTCCTAAAAAATTTTAAAGAACGCAGCTGTCAGTCCATACTCAGTGGTTAGCACTGTCGCCTCACAGCAAAAAGGTCGCTGGTTCGAGTCCCAGCTGGGTCAGTTGGCATTTCTGTGTAGAGTTTGCATGTTCTCCCCATGTTGGCGTGGGTTTCCTCTGGGTGCTCTGGTTTCCCCCACAAATCCAAAGACATACACTATAGTATTGATGAATTAGGTAAGCTAAATTGTTCGTAGAGTAAGTTTGTGAATAGGACTGTATGGGTGTTTCCCGGTGATGGGTTGCAGCTGGAAGGGCAGCTGCTGCTGGATAAGTTGTTGGTTGATCCTGCTGTGGCGGCCCATGATTAATAAAGGGACTAAGCCGAAAATAAATTAAATTAAATTAAATTAAATTAAATTAAATTAAATTAAATTAAATTAAATTAAATTAAATAAAATTAAATTAAATTAAATTAAATTAAATTAAATTAAATTAAATTAAATTAAATTAAATTAAATTAAATTAATTAAATAAATAAAATAAATTAAATTAAATTAAATTAAATTAAATTAAATTAAATTAAATTAAATTAAATTAAATTGAATTGAATTGAATTAAATTAAATTAAATTAAATTAAATTAAATTAAATTAAATTAAATTTAATTTAATTTAATTTAATTTAATTTAATTTAATTAGCAGATTAGTTAAAAATAATTGCAGTTTTAGAACTCAATATAATAATGCACTAAAAAATATAGTCTAAACATCCTGTTTCAAGTTTTAAACATCTCTAAACCATCAAAAATAAATAAATAAATCATAAATATCCAAATCCAGTTTGGGGTTTAATCAGGAACTCTTCAAAGATGCTTCTACTGGTACTGGTTTACAATGTATTTAACACCCTTTGGGTCATATAGGTCTGTGGCATTTTGCTAAAGTGCTTATTTTCAACTACAATGCTGCATAATTACTGTAATGTATGTGTCATTTGCTGAATTGTGGCGAAACATGGCATTATGAAAAGCTGATCTGCAGTCAGAGGTCATGATCCTGATCAACCAATAATGCTGGCGTCTGACCCGCTGTGCAATATGAATATGAGAGATTAAAGGGGATAAAACATCCTGTCGTGCATGTTTGAGGGATAAAAGCTGAACTGGTGGGCCAGAAGCCACAATCATTACATCATTTGTCGACATGTTTGGCTCTTAAACGGCTCTATTTTTCCTGAAATATATATATCGTCATCTCCTCCTCCAGCTGGTTATATATTATCTCATGTTCTCCGCCGTTTCAACATTTCATTTAGAGTTTTTAGTATTTTCATTAAGTACTTGTAGGATACTAGTATATATCAGGAGAACCAGTAAGAAATGAAACAAATAATCAAGTTAGCAAAAAAGCATAAAAATTTTTTATAAATACACTCACTGGCCACTTTATTAGGTACACTTTTCCAACTGCTCGTTAACACAAATTTCTAATCAGCCAATCACATGGCAGCATCTCAATGCATTTAGGCATGTAGACATAGTCAAGACGATCTGCTGCAGTTCAAACCGAGCATCAGAATGGGGAAGAAAGAGGATTTAAGTGACTTTGAACGTGGCATGGTTGTTGGTGCCAGACGGGCTGGTCTGAGTATTTCAGAAACTGCTGATCTACTGGGATTTCACGCACAACCATCTCTAGAGTTTACAGAAAATGGTCTGAAAAATATCAAATATCCAGTAAGCTGCAGTTCTGGCAAATTCCTCGTTGATGCCAGAGGGCAGAGGAGAATGGCCAGACTGGTTCCAGCTGATAAAAAGAAAGGCAACAGTAACTCAAATAAGCACTCGATACAACTGAGGTCTGCAGAGGAGCATCTCTGAACACACAACACGTCCAACCTTGAGGCGGATGGGCTACAGCAGCTGAAGACCACACCGGGTGCCGCTCCTGGGTTGTTTAGTCTTTGGTTAGTGTTGTAGGTTGTTGGAGAACGTGAGTTGTTGATTCTTTATTCATTCTTATTTAGTTGTGACACATGATTTGTTGGATTGTTTTGGTTGTAATAAATTTATTAATTTAGACAACTTAGTTCATGTGTACTCTTCATGTTGCGTTCCCTTCATGACTTAATTATTTTGATTTGATTGAAAAAGGGTTTGTAACATAAATTGGCTAATGACTAAGGTGTAGAGCAGTTTTACAATTTAGAAGATAAATAAATAGGGCAAAAGGTTTACCTGTAATCTTCTGAACTAATTTGTGGATTTTTTTCCAGTGTGTCTTAATCATGTCACAGTCCCAGAATACATGCATCACAGAACCAACATTGGATTTGCACTTAAAACAAAATTGAGAAACATCTTATTTAGACAAACTGGTGTTAAATAAGCTCTGTAAAGGAATTAAACATTTTGCTCATGCATGGTTTGATATTGTGGCACCTTCATCTACTCATTTATGATGTGAATCTCCCGTTCCACCCCATCCCAAAGGTGCTCTATTGGATTGGGTTCTGCTGACTTTGGAGGCCATTTGAGTACAGTGAACTCATTGTCATGTTCAAGAAACCAGCCTGAGATGATTTGCGCTTTATGACATGGTGCGTTATCCTGCTGGAAGTAGCCATCAGAAGATGAGTATACTGTGGTCATAAAGGGATGGACATGATCAGCAACATTATTGCAACCGATACAGCAAGCAATTGCTACTAATTGGCCCAAAGTGTGCCAAGAAAATATCCCCCACACCATTACAGCACCACCACTAGCCTGAACTGTTGATACAAGACAGGATGGATCCATGCTTTCGTGTTTCACGTCAAATTCTGACCCGAACATCTGAATGTGGCAGCAGAAATGGAGACTCATCAGAGCAGGCAACGTTTCTCCAATCTTCTATTGTCCAGTTTTGGTGAGCCTGTGTGAATTGTAGCCTCAGTTTCCTGTTCTTAGCTGACAGGAGCGGCACCCGGTGTGGTCTTCTGCTGCAGTAACATACTGCGTAACTGTCCTACAGTAAAATACAGTTGATGTTACATATATATGACAGTAAATTTCATAATACAGTGTCATTGAAACTTTCTCGAAAACATCTTGCATAAATTCCAACCACAAAGATATTTCACTATGGATGTTTGTTCCAGACGCTGCAGAATCTCACAGATTTGCTTTAATTTCACAATCTGCAAGGTTACTAAGCATGTTGGATTTTTGATGAGACGGCAAAACCAGTGTGTGTGTGTGTGTGTGTGTGTGTGTGTGTGTGTGTTATATAAGTTTTTAATCAAGCGCTTTTGGGGCATGAATCTGACCTTGGCACCAGACACGAGCAGCGCGCATTGTGCAGGACAGATGTGTCCTCTAAAGTCATGTTCAAGGGAAAAAGGGGTGTTAGTTGATTTTGGGTAATTTGTGGCTTATAAGCTCTCCAATCCCAGCTGTCAGGCAAATACCGCAAGCACTGGCAACCGAGACAGGGAGGATTTTGGATGTGTGTGTGTGTGTGTGTGTGTGTGTGTGTGTGTGTGTGTGTGTGTGTGTGTGTGTGTGTGTGTGTGTTTGGTCAAATCGCTCTGTTCTGGGACAAAACTGAGGAGGACATGTTCCCAAATAGTACAAATAGAGCTGTGCGATATGACAGTATATATTGTATGTGTGATTTGGGATGTGTGTGTGTGTGTGTGTGTTTGATCAAATCGCACTGTTCTGGCTGGGACAAAACTGAGGAGGAAATGTGCCTATATAGTATAATGCTGCAGATTAGCCCAGGTGGGCCCAGGGGTGTAACTACACATTTACTGAGGGGTATGCAGGTTCAAGTTTTGCGCCCATGTAAAAAGTTTAATTACACTAAACATTTTAAGTCACAAAGAATTACATCTCATCCCACCCCAAATTTCTTTTCAATCTCAGTTTCCTCACTAATTAATTATAGCACCTTGACATGCTTTGCTTCTGTACTTTTTGCACATATGTGAAAACAAAAGGATAGATATGGGAGTCCTAATGGGCAAAATGACTTAAAATGTAATCACTTCTCATATTCAAGGTATGAGCTTTGCATGAACAATTGACTGAAACTGCTAATACACCTCACACAAAGTGAAATAAGAAAGAAAAACTAAAATGTTTAGTGTAAAAAAATAAACAAACTGAAATGTTCTATTTTATCAAAATTTCATGGGCAAACTTTTATTGTAACTAAATTTAAAAAGTTTTGAGCAAAAAAGTTACCAAAAGGCCCTGATGCATCAATATGATACATCATACATTTATAAAAACATGTGTATGGTATGAAAATTGATCTTGAAAGAAGGATTAACAAACATCTCAGTTCCAAATAATGTGATTATTTGTTCATGTGTTAGTTTTAACAGGGTTTAAAATCATTATAATCAAATTCATATGGGAGAATTTTTAATTCAAATATTATTTTAGATTTTATCTGAAATATATTGAGGTCTGTCCTTACAAAATCACACATTTTGCGCGATCCCCTTATTTTGGCAAAATAATTAATTATTTAATAAAAATATATATATATATATTTTTCAGTTTATCTTATAACTTTTGACCTCAACTGTATTGTATGTATGATTTGACATTTTATTTTGACAGAAATTTAAAAAATGTAAACAGTTACAGTACATCTACATAACACTTTACACTGTCTGACCGCATGTTATTGTTTTAAAGGATTTTGAATTAAAACGTGTCTGCCAACGTATGCAACTCATGGTATATTTTTTATTTATTAAAATACAATATTTTACTCGTCTAAAATGCAAAATAAAGATGTTATTTTCTACATGCAACCGAACCCATGCGCTCACACGCCATAATAGCCTTTTATGCGGAGGTGTCGGCGGCACATAATGAGTTTTGCAAGTTGACAAAAAAGTTTAAATAATATGATGGTGATCCTATATAGACTAAACATGCCTCCTGGAATATATATATATATATATATATATATATATATATATATTTGCATGAAGCTAAATAGAGGGATGATGAGTCGTGGAGGACAGACTTAATAAACGGGTCTAAGACAACATGCACACAACAGATAATTCTACAAAACATGTTTGTTTGTTTTTTATTTTATTTTATTTTATTTTATTTTATAGAATTGTCTATAGCAGTGTTTCTCAGACTCTTTTCACCAAGTACCACCTCAGAAAACATTTCTGAAATACATACTAGGTCTAATTAAGCGGCTTCAGCTCTGCACAGTTCACACGTGGCAGATTATTAATGAATATTTATTATTGTCAGTCACTTTAAACATAATAAATAGTTTGAACAATAACACACTTACAGGTAAAAAAAAAAAGATAGGCTAAATAAAACGTCAACGTTTAAATTAAAATGTGATTTGCGAACTGAGGACTGAGGGGCTTGGGTGAAATTCCAGGAGACAGACCAAAACGGGGGATGGGTCTAAAATACGGGAGACTCCCTTCAAAAACGGGAGTGTTTGCAGGTATGTAGCCTAGACTATCTTCTGGGTTTGTGCTTCAGGGTCACATATACCATTTAGACTTTTCCCCTTTCAATTCTGAAGAACAAAAGTCGAAATTCTGAGATCATTTCTAGCCAGTAGAGGAGCGGGAATTCTGCGAAAATGGCGATAGAGATGACATCCTGGGCCTAATCAGCTCTACCTAGCAAGCGAGCAGAGAGGGAGACTTATTGTCTGCGTTATTTTAGGTCTGTTTATTTGCGGCACAGTCGGGATTGTATTATTTTATTCTTAACCCCCTTTCTATTTTCCTAAATCTGCGATTTGAGGCTGTACATCTGCCGTTTAGCTTTCTTACGCAACAGCGTCAAAGTTGGATCATATCTGTTGCGTCGAAGAATCAGCAGCCATTTTCTTCTTAAAGGGACAGTTCACCCCCAAAACCAACATTTACTCACTCTTTACTTTCCCTCAAGTGGTTACAATCTTTTATAAGTTTCTTTCTTCTGTTAGGATATATTTTGAAGAAAGCTGAAAACTTTCAACAATTAGTAGGAAAAGCTATGGAAGTCAGTGGTTCCAACATTTGTCAAAATATCTTCTTTTGTGTTCAACAGCAGGAACAAATACGCCTGAAACAAGTGAAGGGTGAGTAAATGATGACTTTAAAAGGATGAATTTTAACCTTTAAGTCATCAAGTCCTCTTCTGTTGAGTCTCTCTGTCCCTTTGTTCAGTTATTAAAGCTCAAACATAATCCGGGATGTTTTGGGGATTTGGGGATTTGCTGTCTGATGTTCATGAGCTCATTCTGGCCTTTTTTCTCTGTTGAGTTGTTATATTTCCTGTCACCTTGTTTTTGTTTGCTGCATTCATTACCCTGGTAAGAATTAGTGATAGTGATTAGCGAGTCGCTCAGGCAGATTAATCTTAATGTTTAGCCATTTTCAGATTATTGTGTTGAATATCTGTGCCCATTGAGTTAGTTATAACAGCTCCAAAGAGTCAGATAATAAGCATTTTACATTGTTGTTTTTTATTCTTTTATTGAATAAATATGAGTCTGTGTTTATGTTATTGTTATGTTTTTTTTTTAATTTATGATTTTAATTAAAATGATAAGTTTAATGTTTTAGGTTTGATTTACAGAATTTCCATTATTGGATTTCAAATAATATCTTGGACAGTTTGATTAAGTTTAATTGGCCAGTCTATTTTTTGTAATAAAAACAAAACAAAACAAAATACCCAGTTTGTTTTGCTTTGAAGACCTTTTTATAAAAAGAAATTAGAGAAATTGCCAAAAAAAAAAAAACAGTGTTAAAATAAGTTTTAATAATAAAATAAAATAAAATAGGCAGTTTATTCTGCTTTAGAGACCCCTGATAAAAAAAGAGAAATGGCCAAAAATGTTTAAATTAAATTAAATTAAATTAAATTAAAGTTGAGTCATCCATTCATTCATTCATTTTTTTCAGCTTAATCCCTTTATTAATCCGGGGTTGCCACAGCAGAATGAACCGCCAACTTATCCAGCAAGTTTTTACGCAGTGGATGCCCTTCCAGCTGCAACCCATCACTGGGAAACAAGTTGAGTCCATTTTTAAAAAACTCTGCTGCAAGTTCCCTTACATATTAAGTTGACTCAACTCAAAAAGCATTGCAGCAAGTTCCCTGACAATTTTCAGTTGTCAACTAAAAAAGCCCAGCAGCAAATTCCCTTACAATTTTAAGTTGTGTCAACTCAGAAAGCTCTTCAGCAAATTCCCCTACAATTTTAAGTTGAGTCAACTCAAGAAGCTCTACAGCAAGTTCCCTTACAACTAATGCTGAGTTCACACTGCATGACTCTCTGGGCTCGCATTTTGTTGCTGCTTTGTTTACACTGCAAGATGGATTGGCGACAGGGGCTTTCACATTGCATGACTTTACTATAGGAAGAATCGTTGACAACTAGGTCGTCCAAACTACGTCTCACAGCCAAAAACCCGTAGCATGTCTTTTGTTATTAACTACATAATGAGAAAGAAGCCTTTAATGGGGTGGAAAATGTACATATTTGCTCACCTGGATTTGAAGGGAATTAGCCATTTCGCCTCAACTTTCTTTTTTAACTTTCTGTATGAACCGTCAAACAGACACAGGTGCTCCTGTCAAACCTCCACTAGTTTTTCCTCCATTTCTTGGGTCCAAAAAAAAACGAAAATGAGCGCTTTTAATTTCTCCCTGAACCTCCCGGTGGCCTGCAGGTACACACACACACAAGTGAATGCTGCTGTCTCATTGGCTGTAGGCGATGGCTGATGTTATTTTCAGTCAAAACTCAATTCACACAGCATGATTTGAATTGCCGACAGCTCCAGATATTTAGCACACCAAATATCTCACAGGCATCGGCGACTCAACGGCGATTCTCTCAGATCGCGTCTTTGATAGTTCACACTGTGTGCTTGTCACTTATGCCTAGTTCAGACTGCGTGATTTTAGCCCCGATTTTGGCTCGCCGACAGGTTTTGAGAAATCGCCGACAAATGCCTGAAATCACAGGCAAATCGCTGCTCGTGCACGTGAGTGACAATCACACAGGATGAACTATTAAAGACGCGATCTGAGAGAATCGCCGATGAGTCGCCGATGCCTGCAAGATATTTGGCGTGCTGAATATCTGGAGCTGTCGGCGATTCAAATCATGCCGTGTGAAATGAGTTTTGACTGAAAATAACATCGGCGATCGCCTACAGCCAATGAGAGAGCAGCATTCACTTGTGTGTGTGTGCGTGTGTGTATACCTGCTGCAGGCCAGCGGGAGGCTGGGGGAGATGTTAAAAGTGCTCTTTTTTGGTTTATTTGGACCCACGAAACGGAGGAAAAACTAGCGGAGGTTTGACAGGACTCAGGAGCAACAATGTCTGTTTGACGTTTCATACTGAAAGAAATTAGTTTATTATCAACGTTGAGGAGAAATGGCTAATTCCCTTTAAACCCAGGTGAGCAAACATGTACATGTTCAACCCCATTAAAGGCTTCTTTCTCATTATGTAGTTAATAACAAAAGACATACTGCGTGTTTTTGGCTGTGAGACGTAGTTTGGACAAAGTTGTCGGCGATTCTTCCTATAGTAAAGTCATGCAATGTGAAAGTCCCTGTCGCCGATCCATCTTGCAGTGTAAATAAAAAGCAGCAACGAAACGCAAGCCAGATAGACATGCAGTGTGAAAACATCTGTGACACGACTACTTTGAAAATCATGCAGTCTGAAGTCGGTATTACTTGCACGAGCACGGATTTGCCTGTGATTTCAGGCTTTTGTCTGCGATTTCTCCAAACCTGTCGATGACTTAAAATTGGGGCTAAAATCACGCAGTCTGAACTCAGCATAAGTTGAGTCAACTCTAAAAGCTCTGCAGCAAGTTAACCTTGCAACTTAGTTGAGCCAACTCAAACTCTGCAGCAAGTTTCATTACAATTTTAGGTTGAGTCAACTAAAAAATCCCTGCAGCAAGCTCCCTTACAATCTTAAGTTGAGTCAACTCAAAAAGCTCTGCAGCAAATCTTACAATTTTAAGTTGTGTCAACTTTTGCTCCAAGCATACTGACGTGGCTCAATTGTATCCGTCTCCTGCAGGGTTTTTGCAGTCTGTCCGCTTCACTTTGCTCATAAACCGTCCAAAATGATTTAGAGTTTTTTCAGCCTATCATCCTTCCATTATCCTGCCGTTAATCTTCCACAGAAAGTTTGTCTTCTTCCCCATCTGCTCGCCGCAGCAGCTCAGCACAAAGATTACACTGCTTTTATTTCTCAGAAACCACAGATTAATGCAGAGCTGTGCTTACTGGAAGTCCACAGGGCGCAAAAAAACATTCATAAAAACCATTTCACCGAGGGTGAAGAGCAGAGTTCAGCATACCTCTGATGCTCGCATACAGACTGAACCCAGATTAGAAAACACAGACAGACACACACACACACACAGGAACAAAAAAGACAAGCATCTCGCCATGTCATTTATTCACTCCTTCTGCACTTTATTGAGCAAATGTTGTTTGAATATCCCACATCTCAGATCAGGAGCTCTGTACAGGACTAAAAGCCAAACAATTTTGCATAGTTTGAGGGTAATGTTTCTGCACACTACTGTTTTTAAATATTTATATATTTATATATTTATTTATTTATATATGTATATATTTGTGCAATATATATATAAATGTAAAACTTTTCCATTTTAATAGCTTTTTAATTTAATACATATTTCATTTCATTTAACACTTTCAAATATAAAAAAACAGAAAACGCATTGCATCATTAATTTCATTTTACAAAGCAAATATTGTTTCCCAGAGATGGGTTGCGGCTGGAAGGGCATCCGCTGCGTAAAAACTTGCTGGATAAGTTGGCGGTTCATTCCGCTGTGGCGACCCCGGATTAATAAAGGGACTAAGCCGACAAGAAAATGAATGAATGAATGAAAAAGCAAATATTGTTTAAAAAGAAGAAAATACAGAGGGGAGTGTTATGATATTAGACTTGTTTATAATTTCACTAGTAAATTGATACTGAAAGCAATTTGTTCTGTGATAAAAGTAAAAAAGAATTGCATATATTTATTCTAATTAATATATGTATTAATTAAATGGTTTTTTAATTTTTGTCAAAATAAACACGTTCACAAAAAACGTAGATAAAAGCTTCATGCTATTAAACTTAAAATTAGAAAAAAATGTTGCATATTCAGATCTCAGATCAATATCTGCATTGCATAAAATCCAGATTTATTTATTTATTTATCTTTTGCATAGTTGTCAGGATTTTTTTCCATGTGGATTTTAAAAAAAAAATGTGCATATATGCATATCTTTTGCACTGGCTTGGCATTAGACGCTTTGCTTTATATCTTGTGAATCTCCAGCACCCAAGGTGACGTTCTCACACACTCGACAACATCTTCACAAATTCTGAAAAAGGAAAAAAAAAGATTATTATAGGGATGATTAAGGAGTCGATATGCTTTATTTGTGACATTGAAATCCGACATCCTTTCTTACCTTCAAAATCTACAGTTCCGTCACCGTTATTATCGGCCTCTCGGACGACGGCGTCGATCTCTCTGCGGTTCATGTGTTCACCCAGTAATTTCGTCATCGCACAGCGCAGTTCTTCAGTGGTGATCGCACCGTCACCGTCCATATCAAACTGCAGACCACAAACAAAGAAACACTGAAAACATGAACTGCACATGTTTCTCTGCATTAATTACAGTACCTGCAGCAGCAAAAAAATAAATAAAAATACTAAATAAATCAATGAAAAAAATATTTGTTTTTAAATTTCTTTGAATCTTGACATGTTGTCGAGTTTTGAGGCTCTTTTGGTCTACTTCACTTTGTCAGACAGCTACTATTTAATTGATTTTTAAATCAATCAATCAATCAATTATTAAATAAATACAAATTCTTTCTGATTTGTATTTGAACTTCTTTGGATCTCAGCATGATGTCTTGCTTTTGAGGCTCTTTTGGTCTACTTCACAGACAGATCCTATTTAAGTGATTTCTAACTTACTCAGGCAATCGATCAATTAATTATTAAATAAATAAATAGCATTTCTTTCTCATTTGTTTTTGAATTTCTTTGGATCTCAGCATGATGTCAAGCTTTTGAGGCTCTTTTGGTCTACATCGCTTTGTCAGGCAGGTCCTATTTAAGTGACTTCTTGATTGTGATTGTTGATGTGGCGGTAATCAGGTCTGGATGTGGCTACAGAAATTGAACTCGGGTGTAGTAAACCAGAGCTCAGTAAGGTTTTAACAGGGGAGGCAAACACTTTTTCACACAGCACAATGTTGTTAAATATTATTTAATTATAAAAAAATAAAATAAATGTCAAAAAAAAACTATGAAAAATCTTAAAAATCAAAACGCACAAAAAAAGAGAAATGTGAACATTGTATAATAGTGGCATGAAATATAAATATATAAATTATATAATAAATAAACAAATATCAACAAAATACCATAAATTTACCATAAATAAACTTTAAATTAAATCACTAATTATTAACAAAAATAAAAACTAATTCAAAATATGAACAAGCAATATAAATAGTGGCATAAAATATAAATATATAAATTATATAATAGAAAGAAAAAAAACAAATACCTAAAACCATAATTAAAACATTAATTATTAACAAAAATAAAAGCGAATTCAAAATATAAATATAATATAAAAAGTACAAATGTGACAAATTTAAATATAACAATTATATAATAAAAAGATAAAAAATAAATATAAAAAAATAGCTAAAACCATAAATAAACTTAACATGAACACAAATAAAACAATTAAATCAAAATAACTCAAAAATTTTGAAAATTAATTCAAAATATGAACATATAGTATAAAAGTGGCTTAAAATATAAATATATTATTATATAATAGCTAAATAAGTAATTAAATAAATAAATAAATAAACAAAATTTCTCATTTGCTTTTGAATTTCTTTGGATCTCAGCATGATGTCAAGCTTTTGAGGCTCTTTTGGTCTACTTCACTTTGTCAGGCAGGTCCTATATAAGTGATTTCTAACTAACTCAGTCAATCTCAGTCCTATTTTCATTTAGTTTAACTTGATGAACTAAAATTACATTATAAAAATAAAACAAATATTATGAAATTAACTAAAATCATAAAATAACTTAAAATCAATACACTAATGAAAAAAAACGAACTCGAAATATGAACATAATAATATGATAGTGGCATAAATTATATAATAGATAAATAAATAAATATAAATATCAGCAAAATACCTATGAATATATTATAAATATATGGATTATAATTATAATTAATTATATTATAAATGAATATATTGTATAATAGATACATAAATAAATGAATAAATGAATGAATGAATGAATGAATGAATGAATAAATAAATAAATATCAACTAAATAACTAAAACCGTAACTTAAAATTAAAGAACTGATAATTAATAAAAATAAAATGTAATTAAAAATATGAACAAACAGTTTTCACAGTGACTTAAAATAGAGCTGTTTTTCTTTATTGTTGTTCTCCTCTCTCCATGACCTGCTCCATATATTTCTGTCACAGTGGTCCAGCTGAGAGCCACTGATCATCTCTCCATCCACAGCAAACTGACTTCATTAGCTAACAGATAACACTGCAGATAACGCCTCAGAGCTTTGATGAACGCAGGTGAGACTTTCAGCACCTTCTGTTCAGACTAATCCACAAAATCAGCACCATCAGACACTCGTTTTCCTTCTCACCTCTTTGAAAGCGTCTCTGAGCTCCTTCACGCCGATCATTCCTGCGGTTTCTGCCAAAAGCTTCGGGGTCATGAGCTCCACAAAGTCCTCGAAGTCCACACGGCCTCCCACTGAGAAACAAAATACTCAATACTTCAGTTTTAATACGCAAGGAATAATGTAGCCTACGTCTATATGCAGTTGTTAACGTAAAGCACTGTTGTAAAGAGGTTACATTGCTGAAAAAAACAGCATTTGCTGGTAAGGTATGTTTGTATACTGGTATGCTGGTTTTAATGAAGGTCTTGCTGAATTCAATGCTGGTTTAGCTGGTCCCAGTGGTCTTGCTGGTTTGAATGCTGGTCTCAACACTAGTCTTGCTGGTACTGACCAGCATTGAGTCCAGCAATTTACCAGCAAATCCAGTTTACCAGCATCTAACATACCTTACCAGCATATGCAGGCTTTTTTCAGCAGGTTTTACAGTTTTTAGTGATAGATAAATAGCCTACATGCTGGAGATTGAGGTAAAGTTGGTTTTATATTTGCACATTTGTTCATTTTTTAATAGGGACAGCTTGTAAGTCCCTATATTGAGTTTACCACGCTACTTTGAATAGCCAATTCGGTCTGAAATCGCATGTAAGCTTGCCTTCATTATAAAATTAGTACTATCCCTACAGAATAATCCAGTTTAAACCAGCCTAGGCTGGTTGGCTGGTTTTAGCTGGTTGACCAGCCTGGTTTTAGGGGGCTTTTGGCCATTTCCAGCCTAATTTTAGCTGGACAGGCTGGGAGATGACCAGCTAAAACCAGCTTGACCAGCCTAGCCAGGCTGGGAGTCCTGCCAAAACCAGCTATGTCCTGGTCAAGCTGGTTTTAGCTGGATTTAGCTGGTCATTTTCCAGCAAGACCAGGCTGGAAATGGCTGGAAACCAGCCTGGAAATGGCCAAAACCCCTCTAAAACCAAGCTGGTCAACCAGCTAAAACCAGCCAACCAGCCTAGGCTGGTTTAAGCTGGATTTTTCAGCAGTTGACCATAAACAGTGTTGTACTTTGGTAGTCATTAGCTGCTGCAATTTGCAAGGAATGCTTTTCTGAAGTTTTAATGTTAAAGAGAGCTGAACGTGTGAATGTAGACCATTTCAATGTGGCAATGCCATTGGCCCATGAACATTTCCTGCTTGTTATTAAACGATTTCATGACTGTAACAAGAGGCATTCATGTTAAAACTGCTGTCATAACATGATTTATCAATATGAGGCTCTTTTTGGATTCTCCGAAGCTCTAGAAATTAACAATGCAAAACAGAAAAATACACTGGGACCATTGTTTTTGTTTACATCCCTCAAAATGGTCTATAACAGTGGTTCTCAAACTGTGGTACGTGTACCACTAGTGGTACGCAGGCTTCCTTCTAGGTGTACACGGAGGAATGAAATATGTCATGTACATGCTACACAGATTTCGAAATGTATCAAAAATAATGTATATAATATGTCATATATGACACATAGCCTATATTTTCAAGGTAATCTGCCACTTTTTTTTAACTGTGCAGAGGTATAGTTGCTTTACTAGGCCTACTACGCTACTGTATTTCAATACTGCTCATTTTAGTGGTACTTGGCGTGACAATTTTTTTCTGAGGTGGTACTTGATGAAAAAAGTTTGAGAACCACTGGTCTATAAAACCAATTTTACCCCAATATCCAGGAGGAAGTTATCGAAGAACATCTTTGTCTGCTGAGAAACCCGTAACTGCGAAAAGGTATTAAGTTATGTATAAAGCACATTCAGTGGATTGTTATCACAGAATAAAGCCTGACGGGTTTATCAGCAGCTGTTAGGCCTAGACTGAAGTGCTTTATTCTGCAAAAACAACCGAGCAGGATGTACTTTATCCCGCTTATTATATAGCTACTTGTCACAAAATATAAAATTAAAAGAAAACATTGTTCTGAGCTGTATTATTTATTTATGCTCTAATTAAACGCAAAGCCGACTGACATGAAAACAGCTGATGAACGCCCTGCGGAAAAATCCAGCTTAAACCAGCCTAGGCTGGTTGACCAGGCTGGTTTTAGAGGGTTTTTGGCCATTTCCAGGCTGGTTTTCAGCCATTTCCAGCCTGGTCTTAGCTGGTCAGGCCAGAAAATTAGTTATTGTCATTAACAAATTTATGTTGTGTTACTACAATGTCTTCATTTAATCCAGTCAGAGGTAATACATTATACAGAATTAACACTAATTGTATTATTTTTGTTTTAAGCTGGACATAGCTGGTTTTGGCTGGGCTCCCAGCCTGGCTAGGCTGGTCAAGCTGGTTTTAGCTGGTCATCTCCCAGCCTGACCAGCTAAGACCAGGCTGGGAATGGCTGGAAACCAGCCTGGGAATGGCCAAAACCCCTCTAATACGACCAGCTAAAACCAGCCAACCAGCCTAGGCTGGTTTAAGCTGTTTTTTCAGTTGGGCGTGCCAATATAAAACCAATTTTACCCCAATATCCAGGAGAAGGTTATCATATAAAACAGGGGTCACCAACCCTGTTCCTGGAGAGCTACCTTCCTGCAGATTTTAGTTGCAACCCTGACCAAAGACACCTGTTTGTAATTATCAAGAGCTGCTTTAGGTACTATTAATTGGTTCAGGTGTGTTTGATCAGAGTTGGGACTGAATTCTGCAGGAAGGTAGCTAGCTCTCCAGGAACAGGGTTGGTGATCCCTGATATAGAATAATCGCAGGTTAACGAAAACAGCTGATGTACGTTAACTAACCAGTGCATTGTTCAGTCTCAAATAGCGTCAAACAGTCAAAAACGCAAAGCTGACAAACTAAACTTGCTGAAAAAAGCATAGATGGGCCTACATATTAATCATTCACAAGATGGCGCCATAAACAGTCCAAAAAAGTCAAGAACGGTAGCGTGACAGACAAGCACATGCATGAATGTAGTAGCCCATGAATTTAAACGAACGGTCAAGGTGATTTAAGCCTGTTATTTAGAGTTTTTTACTGAGAATAACATACCTCAAATAAAAATTCATAAGTTATTTATTAAACAATATATTAAAACTCAAGGATTTAAGAGGATGATGACTAATGAATCGAACTTAAACTTGTCATATCTGACTTGTAAGAAGGCTTCATTTCAATTTTAGGATTTGAGTTGAAACTACTACAAATGACTATAATATTTGTTCATGTTTGACAATATTAATATGTTATGAGAGTTATAAGTGTCTTACGGTTCATGTTGATGTTCTGGCCCAGCTCGATCAGCTCCATCTCGGTGGGCATGTAGCCCATCGTCCTCATCAGGTTCCCCAGATCCTTACAGCTGATCAGACCATCCTTATCTTTGTCAAACTCATTAAAGGCCTCACGCAACTCTAACCACACACACAGAGAGAAAGAGTGAGAGACATTTAATCAAACAGCACACTGTAAAAATATTAGTAAATTATTAGTTTTCCATATATTGTGTGGATCATGTTTTTATTCCTTCCAACAATTTGTAACCTTGGAAATTTAAAAAAAGGGACTTTTATGAACATTTTTATCGTGTGAAGTGATGTATTGTGTGGGTTTGGTGTTGAATATTATGCTACAAAAACCTTGTAATAAGCTACCAGTATTTCTGTTATTTTACAGAATTTATACTTTCTTTATATAATATAATTTCTTACACATTATATTATTTCAAACTACTAAAATGTCAATAAAATGTATGTATATATTGCGACAGAATGTAAAACAGATTAAAAATAGGCATAACATATTGTTTATAAATGGTGCTGTGGGGTGGGGGGGCTCTGTTGGAGCAAAGATCATTTGTCTCTGTTTTTCAAATACTTTTGAAATTGATGTTTTATTGACCAAAATGTTAATAAAAAGATTTGAACAACAAAAAAAAAAATGTCAATAAAAGTCACTGTTAAACTGTAGAGCTGAATTTTTAATTTCAAAAGTCTCATAACGCAATTCACAACCGTAAATAAACAGTTGTGAAAATACGGAAACTGTTCATTAGCAGATATGTTTTACAGTGCATTATAGAGACACAGTCAGGATTATTTTGCTAACCAGAATTAGAACTAAAACTACTGTGCAAGCAGTTTTGTTACTTGTAATAAAATAAATATAAACTGGAGTATAAAAAATGTATAATAAATTGCACTATTAAACTTTTAAACTGTCGCTTTGATTTTAAATGAGATTGCGCTGTTTTCAAAAGAGGGCGGAGCTACAAATGCCTGTGTGTCAGCATAGTGGCAGATTCAAAAACAAGACTTAAGTCCTATGCTAATGAGGGAGAGATTGTCACTAGTGGGCGGGGCTTTCCCCCTCTGATGGAGAATGTCAGTGTTTCTGCAGACTGTTTTGATCATGTGTGATTATAAAAATATCATTATAAAATACATTTTACTATTAGAAGCTGGTCATATTGACAGTTACAACACATCTGTGTTTAAACCCCTTATGAAAGTGATTTTTGCATAACAACACAGCTTTAAACTGTTAGTAAATAACTAGTAAATTCATCATGATAAAGTCAGAAAGAAATTTGTTATTACAAATTAATTATTAAAAATATTTAAAAAAATGTTTTTAAATGTGAAAACAAACCAATAATTTGATAAAGACTTTCAACTGTGTATTGTAAAAAATTAGAATTATTATAATCAATCAATAGAAGTATCCCTACTCATAATTTATAATATCTGTAACAGCTTATTTCGGATTTGATAAATATTTTATTCATTCATAACAATGACAGTCATTAAAAATAATTATTATTACCTACAAAACATTACCTAGTAAATGTTAGTCTAAAATAAAATAACCTACACTCCCTAAAATCCCTTTTGCTGCTTGTTCAAGCTACTTGTTTAAAATGAGCTGAAGCAACACAATTCTTTTGGGGGGGGTCAACTTTATTGCTTCAATACATTTAAATTAGCGATAACATAATCTATTTGTGTTGAGGCAACATGAAGGAATTGTGTGGAATATTATTATATTATAAAGCTGTGTTACGTCTCTGTCTAATGTGTTGTCTGTGTTCTGAATGTCCACAATGTGACAGATGTTTACCTTCAATCTCATCATCCGCCAGCTCTCGGTCCTGCAAAAGCACAAATACAGGTAGGTTAAGCCTCTCAAACGTGCCTCATGTCTGGACGTCTCGATCTCTATTTGGAGCTTTCAGATTAATCTAAAAAAGCCCACTTTAATAACGGAGGGGAAATGCTTTAAAAGCAGCGACGCTGGATTGTAATTTATCCCATTAGGAAGGAAACGCTGAGCGTCACGCTCCTGCATTTGCAGATGAGCTGCAGGTTTGAGGTTTAGTGTGATGATGATGACAGATTAATGAGCGTTATCTGTCTGACAAACACACACAATACAACAAATACATTCAGCACACTCTCTTGACACCACAACATTAAGGTGTGGTCGTCATATTTATATATTTGTTTCATGTAAAAAAAGAAAAAATTCACACACACCGGACCGGCCACTTTATTAGGTACACCTGTCCAACCTGTCCAAATTTCTAATCAGCCAATCCCATGGCAGCAACTCAATGCATTTAGGCATGTAGACAGGGTCAAGACGATCTGCTGGAGTTCAAACTGAGCCTCAGAATGGTGAAGAAAGGGGATTTAAGTGACTTTGGATGTGGCATGGTTGTTAGTGCCAAACGGGCTGGTCTGAGTATTTCAGAAACTGCTGATCTACTGGGATTTTCATGCACAACCATCTCTAGGGTTAACAGAGATCGGTCTGAAAAAGAGAAAATATTCAGTAAGCTGCAGTTCTGTGCATTTGCTGATGCTAGAGGTCAGAGGAGAATGGCCAGACTGGTTCCAGCTCATAGAAAGGCAACAGTGTACTCATCTTCTGATGGCTACTTCCAGCAGGATAACGCACCATGTCATAAAGCATGAATCATCTCAGACTGGTTTCTAGAACATGACAATGAGTTCACTGTGCTCAAATGGCCTCCACGATCACCAGATCTCAATCCAATAGAGCACTTTTGGGATGTGGTGAAACGGGAGATCGGCATCATGTGCAGCCGACAAATCTGCAGCAACTGCGTGATGCTATCATGTCAATATAGACCAAAATCTCTGAGGAATATTTGCAGTACCTTGTTGAATCTATGCCACGAAGGACTAAGGCAGATCTGAAGGCAAAAGAGGGTCCAACCCGCTAGTAAGGTGTACCTAATAAAGTGGCCGGTGTTAGTGTGTGTGTGTGTGTGTGTGTGTGTGTGTGTATGTATGTAGCAACACAACATAAATTCGTTAATGAAAATAACTAAATATTTTTTCTATAACCAAATAGTTTGTTGGCCATGTTCAAAAATAATTCAGTCAAAATAATAATCGTTAATTCTATAAAAAAGTAATGGACAGAGCTAACAGCAGGAGTCATGAAACATATCATTAAATTTAATAAATGTATAATTTTACATTTATATTGAATATAATCAAATTTAAGGCTCCGGCTATTACTGTGAACGGTCATATACTAATAATTTTATTTTTGTCATATTTCAAAGTAAAATGTATTACATTTTTTAATTATTTTAACTTAAAAAATGACATTTATATTTACATTTATATAAAATGTATTTCATAAATGGCAAGGCGTTTTAGTAGTATGTAGATTTAATAATATAACACAAATTCTTTAATGACAATTTTATAATAACACAGCATTTCTTTTATTTTTAGATATGTTTTTCATAATTAAAGTAAACTTAACAGAAAATACTCAAAAGCATAATAGTAACCTAAAAGTAAAATTATGAAGTAAACACAACCTGTGTGTTAAAAACCCCACAAAAAATATAAATGTTTAGAAATACAACATGATTCCCTCTAATATTTCATATAATTAGATAAATAAAAATTCCTCCAAATGTGATGACTAATAAACAGTAAATAAATATAATAAGAATAATAAATATAAGCATTCATAAATTCAATTAAACTACTAAAACATTACAAAACTATGAAGACTTCAAATATGAATATAAAGTATGAAGATTAAAATTAAACTGATGGAGAAAACAGCGTACGTGATCTTAAATATATTGATTTAAACCTATAAGATGAATTCCTATAAATATATTTTTTGACTGTATTAATGAAAGGTTATAATGCACAATATTCTAAAACAAATCTGATCTATTTACTAAAAAAGACACCAAATATTTTGCATATACTTACAATTTTGGCTCCGCGTAGAAATATGCATGCAGTCATGTCTGTGTGTTTGGGGAGTCTACGTCTCTTCTTTAAGCTGGATATTCAACACCCTGCAACATTAATGCGAAATAACTGTGTAAGAATATCAGTATCAATAATGACGGATAAGCTTTTGCAAGGTTTAAGCAAATGAATAGTGTAAAAGAAAATCAACTAATATTTTTCACAGCACTTTCGCAGTTGATTGCTTACATTAAAAATAGCAAAAAAAAAATTATTTAATTAAATTGTATTGCAAGTTTTTTTTAAATGTTCAATTTTGCATGTTTAAATATCCAAATGAGGCATTATCTAATTACATATGGACTCATTTGCATACATTCCTAGCACATTAATATTTATTTATTTATTAGAGGGAATTTTGGGAGTCTCTTATTTTAATTCCTCCATAATAATAAAAGTAAAATAAACAGTAAACGAAAAAAACATGTATTGCTAGTTTTCTAATATGTTCAATTTTGCATATGTTTAAATATGCAAATGATGCATTATTTATTTAAATATAAACTCATTCGCATGCATTTCTAGCACATAAAGTATTATATATTTTTGACGGAATATGGTGAATTCCTTAATCCCTCTATAATAATAAATGTAATGTAAAACAGTAGACAGTAAAAACGGAAACGATAAAGAAATTGAATGGCAGTTTTGCCATTGAAATGTTCAATTTTGCATAAATTTAAATATCCAAATGAGGCATTATTTAAATACATGTGGACTCATTTGCATACATTTCTAGCACATAAATGTTAATTTATTAATAGAGAGGGAATTTTGGGAGTGTTTTTATCCCTCTATAATAACAAATGCAAGAAAAAAAAAGAAAGAAAGAAAAAAAAAAATATATATATATATATATATATATATATATATATATATATATATATATATAAAGTAATTTTAAAAATAAAGTAGACAGTAAAAGAAATAAGTTGTATTGCAAGTTTTCGCAAATGTTCAATTTTGCTCATGTTTTAATATCCAAATGAGGCATTATTTAATTACATATGGACTCATTTGCATACAAGTCTAGCACATAAAGGTTTATTTATTTATTAATTAATTTTTTTTTTAAGTAGACAATAAAAAGTAGACAATAAAAGGAAAATATTGTATTGCAAGTTTTTTTTTTCAATTTAAAGTATGTTAAAAAGTAATAGTATAATAGTATAATATAAAGTAATATCCAAATGATGCATTATTTAAATAAATATGAACTCATTTGTATACATATCTAGCCCATTAATATTTTAAGAGGGAATTTTGGGAGTCATTTTTATCCATTCATAATAATAAAAGTAAAAACTAATAAAGTAGACAATAAACAAAAAATAGTATTGCAAGTTTTTTAAAAAATGTTAAATTTTGCATATGAGGCATTGAGGCATTATTTAATTACATGTTGACTTATTTGCACATAAATCTTTATTTATTTATTAGAGGGTATTTTGGGAGTCTCTTTTTATCCCTCCATAATAATAAAAATAAAGTAAAAATAAATATTATGATAGTTGTAATTACAATATTATGTAAGTTGTTACTAATAGTAACTAAAAACTAAGTTTTTCTTTACTTATTACAGTATTTAATAGTAAATAAAATTTATGTTATTATATTTATATATCATGTTCATCAGAAAATAAGCATAAATGAATTAAAAACATTTTAGAAAAAATAAATAAAATAAAAAAATCCTACAAGCAAATATCTTTCCTTGCCTGTATCTATAAAACAGAAAAAATATAGATTTTATATAGATTTTTTTCATCAAAATAATATAATGTTTGTTTGTTTGTTTGTTTGTTTGTATACTTTATTGTCCCTCAAGAAGAAATTTTCTGTGGACTCACACAGCACTTCAGCAGGTTATGACACAATGCCAATTAAAAATAAGCCAACATGCAAAAGAATTACATACATTATCTATCAGTGTTCAACAGTCTGATTGACACTGGAAAAAAAGAGTTCTTAAGTCTGTTTCGCTTCCGGCGGAAAGTTCTGTATCTTCTACTAAAAGGTAAAAGATCATAAAATGGAAATATTAGCAATAATAGTTAATAATGACTTATAATAGTAACCAATAAAAGTTTTTTTTAACCTATTGCAGTATTTAATAGTTAATTAAATGTATATTAATATATTTACATGTCATGTTTATCAGAAAACAAGCATAAATGAATCAAAAACATTTTAGAATTTTTTTTTTAAAAATCCTACAAGCAAATATATTTCATTGCCTGTATGGATAAAATAGAAAAGGTTATAATACTCAATTTTATAACTAAAACTTTTGGTTCAAGAGTAGATTTATGGCTCAGTGATGAAAAAAAAAGCTCATTTAGAGAAAACTCCCCGTTGTTAACATCTACAGACACACATTGAAAAAGTACACACTCAGAAATAAAGGTACAGAAGTCTGGCCCTGGGGTGGTACATTTTCAAAAATAGACGTTTGTACTGTACAAGATGACATTATGATGCACCTTTGAACCTTTTAGGTACTATGAGAACCACATTTGTACTTTTTAGTTATTATTATATACCTTAAAGACCTGTTAAGAACAAAAATACACCTTTTAAAAAGGTACCACCCCAGTGACAAAAGTTTGTACCTTTATTTCTGACAGCATATGATAAAAGAAACACCTAAACATGTATTTCGAATGTTTTCTGTATATTAAGTACTTAATATAAAAGCTGAAACATCTGATAATTGACATGCCGGTGCATTAAAGACACTGAAAAAAATTATTCAAATATGATTCCTTTAATTTACTCAATTTTTATTAAGTTAGGGGTTGTAAACAATTTGTTTATGTTGAATTTAAACAAATAAATGAAGTTAGATAATACTAAATTAATTTGTTTGTTTAAATTCAACACAAATAAATTGTTTGCAACAATTTTGCAGACAACATTTTTTTTCAGTGTAGGTGTATTGCATGCAGTGTGTGTCACCTTAAACATTAAAGGTTAAATGTCAATATAAACGTGTGTAAAATGAGCTCACCCTGTTGTGCGGTCAGTGTGTTTTATCCAGGAGCAGAAGAGCTGATGGTCCTGTCCCTCCGTCAGTCTGTGCCCTCTGATCCGCTGCTGCTGTGTGTGTGTTTGTGTTTTATACACAGTGGAGGAGGAGGAGCCATCACACACTGACACCAATCTGACCAACAATCACATTCACACAGCAAATCAACAGATGAATCCACTGCTCCATTTACCTGCATATCTCAGACAAACACTAATCCTGTTCAATTACGCTGATCATGCTTAAAATACCCAGGATTTGACAGACATTTACTGTAAAAAATATAATCTGTCAAATTGAGGGTAAAAAAACGGCAGCTGCGGCCAGAATTTAACCTTTAAAAACAAGGTTAAAATACAGTGTTAAATTTCTACATTTTATGCTAAATTTACCGTATTTTGTACTTTTTTTTGATACATCAATGCTTTGAACTTTGTTACACAGACAAAAAGATAAAAAACCACCACAAACAAGTTTTCCCACAATCAGAGAAATAAATTAATGTACAGAAGATGCTCAAACACTATTAACACACATAAAATGGATGCAGTAAACACTATTTATCAACATTAGATGTAACTAAAAAAGTAAAAAGAACCACAGTAATGTCAACAAAAAAAAGCATAAAAAGTGAAGTGTCATGGCAGGGAATTCTGTGAATGTACATTTACAGTTATTTACTGTATATTAAGAAAATGCACTGTTAAACAGGTTACAGATTTTTATCGTTGGGTTTTTACCATTGAAATCATGACATTTCTTACAGTGTACCATTTAAAAGGGTAGCAATAATTTAGCAGAGATTGAATATGTTGACATATTTTGCATTGAGAATCATGATATAATAGTTGAAGTATGTGTGAAATCAAAATTGAAAATGTTTAGTTTTGCTAGCGCACATTGTTAATTAATCCAATGATAACAAAAACTGTATTTTGGTCATCTTTAGTCAAAATCTGATCATCTGCCTCCACTATGGAACAACAGTCTTCTTTGATGATGTCAGTTTGACGGGATGCGGGGAAATCTGCTTAGCAAAACCCCTTCAACTGTTAGTTTGCCATGAGTGTGAGACTAAAGTCTTCTACAGTCTTTAATCCCAAATACAATTATGAAATTATGAATATATAGTTTTATTTGCCCAAACAGAATCAACAATCTTTCAGTTAATAAAGGATTTTTAGGTGTCTAATTAGTCAATCAATCAATCAATCAATCAATCAATCAATCAATCAATCAATTAACGAATAAACCAACCACCCAAGCAACCAAGCAGGCAGGCAACCAACCACCCACCCAATCTACCAACCAACTAACCACCCAACCACGCAACTAACCAGCCAACCAATCATCCCAACTACCCACCCAACCAATCAACCCAACCAACCACCCAAACAAACAAACAAACAAACAAACAAACAAACAAACAAACAAACAAACAAACAACAAACCAACCTATTAACCAACCATCCAACCAACCACCCTACCATGCAACTAACCACCCAACCAATCATCCCAACCAACCACCCAACTAACCACGCAACCAATCAACCCAACCAACCACCCAACCAAACAAACAACAAACCAACCTACCAACCTAACAACCAACCAACCAACTAACCAACCTACCAACCAACCATCCATCCATCCATCCATCCAACCAACCAACCAACCAACCAACCAACCAACCAACCAACCAACCAACCAACCACCCAACCACGCAGTTAACCACCCAACCAATCATCCCAAACACCCACCCAACCAACCAAACAAACAAACAAACAACAAACCAACCAACCTACCAACCAACCATCCATCCAACCAACCACCCTTACAAGCAACTAACTACCCAACCAATCATCCCAACCAACCACCCAACTAACCACGCAACCAATCAACCCACAACAACCAACCAAACAAACAAACAAACAACAAACCAACCTACCTACCTACCAACCAACCATCCATCCAACCAACCAACCAACCAACCAACCAACCAACCAACCAACCAACCAACTAACCACCCAACCACGCAGTTAACCACCCAACCAATCATCCCAAACACCCACCCAACCAACCAACCAAACAAACAAACAAACAAACAAACAAACAAACAAACAACAAACCAACCAACCTACCAACCAACCATCCATCCAACCAACCACCCTACCAAGCAACTAACTACCCAACCAATCATCCCAACCAACCACCCAACTAACCACGCAACCAATCAACCCAACCAACCACCCAACCAAACAAACAACAAACCAACCTACCAACCTAACAACCAACCATCCATCCAACCAACCAACCTACCAACCAACCATCCAACCAACCAACCAACCAACCAACCAACCAACCAACCAACCAACCAACCAACCAACCAACCAACCAACCAACCAACTAACCACCCAACCACGCAGTTAACCACCCAACCAATCATCCCAACCACCCACCCAACCAATCATCCCAACCAACCAAACAAACAAAACAAACAAACAAACAAACAAACAAACAAACAAACAAACAAACAAACAAACAAACAAACAAACCAACCAACCAACCAACCAACCAACCAACCATCCATCCAACCAACCAACCAACCCCCAACCATGCAACTAACCACCCAACCAACCAACCAACTACACAAACAAACCAACCAAACAAACAATCAATCAATCAATCAATCAACCAACCACACAGCCAACAAACCAATCAATCAATCACACAACCAACAAACAAACAAACAAACAAACAAACAAACAAACAAACAAACAAACAAACAAACACCCAACCATTCAACCAATCAATCACTCGAAAATTGTACATGATACCAAACGAAAGCTTGCTTCTGAAAATAAAAGCAATCATAAATATATTATGTAATGTAAAATTGAAAATATGACTATGAAAATACACTGGGATTTCCAAACCAAAACAAGAATCCCTAAAGTCATTTTTACGATATTGTATAGCATAACTGCACATCATTCAATTGAATAGAACCATTCAATAAACTGCACATCATCCTATTCCAATAAAATCAATTTCCTAAAGCTATTATTTTGCATAATCTGTGTCTCGCACAGAAATGATGCGACTGAAAAATGTGTGCTACTTATTTTTATATAGCAATCACAATTTTATGACTGTCAAACTCGTCTTTTTTTTCTTGTAACTCTGCTTAGTGGTATTTAACTTGCGTCTTCCACATTAATATTACATCACATTCAATATTTCCGCCACAAGCGTGCGAATACGGGAATAGGGATTAAAGAAAGCACCCCTGCTGCTTCTACAAGGGCGTTAATTCGTGTCATGATGTGGTGGCATATGGTCAATCCTTTCTATGAACCCTTCACAGCAAATGTTTCCCTGAAAAGTCACTTTTCATCACATTTATCAACATATGCCGCTCATCCAGCGCTAATATCAGCCATAAAAGAACACCATAGAGTACAAATGTTATTAACCGTCTGTATTGCGCTCCATCGACCACACCGTCATTGTTTTTCCACAAATTGGTGACCTTTATCTCTTTACCTTGTGGCTGTTACATAAATCTGTGGTTTCATCCTACAAATCATCCTCAAATTTCGCAAATCTGTTTGCATAAGAGGTTTAAAATCTGAAGCTTCGGCCTTTGGCAACTTAATACTGGGTTTAATATTATTTATTTTCCTCAGTATGGTTTTTTCCTTCTTTTTCAGTGCCAGGAAAGCTTATGTAAGGCTAGAGGAGAGACAGGCGGAGGTTTGGGTGAACTGGTGAACCGGTGACCGGCTTCAAACAGAAACTGAGGAGATGAGCATATCAGGAGAACAAAATTAAGAAGAACAACCGGCAGGTCAGATTTCATAAGTGGATCTGAAACTAATGGGATGATCTGTGTGAAGGTCTGAATTTAATGGCATTTAAAATTAGACGGTGTTTAATGAATCATATAGATATGATAATAAAGCTGTGATAAATAGAATTATATGGTATTTTTTTATATTTATTATTTTTTTGAAAAGCATTTTATATATAATGTTATGACATGGATTAGGTTAAAGAAATTTGCATACCAATGGGAAAAACAAACAATGAACTGTGTTTCTTGTCATTTTTAACCTATTGCAGTCACTTAGACTTTTATTGTTATTATTATTATGGCTAATAATAATAATAATAATAATAATAATAATAATAATAATAATAATACAAGTCTGAGTAACTGCTACAGTTTTTTTGGTGTTATTTTTATTATTGTTCTTAATAATAATAATAATAATAATAATAATAATAATAATAATAATAATGATGATGATGATAATGATAATAATGGCCAAAATATATTGCAGTTGCTTAGACTTTTATTATTATTATTATTATTATTATTATTATTATTATCATCATCATCATTATTATTAATGCCCAGAAAATTGTATATTAAAGTTACTCAGATTTATTATTATTATTATTATTATTATTATTATTAATTTATTATTATTGTTATTATTATTATTATTATTATTAATGCCCAAAAAAATTATATTGAAGTTACTCAGAAATTATTATTATTATTATTATTATTAATGCCCAAAAAATGTATATTAAAGCTACTCATAAATTATTATTATTATTATTATTATTATTAGTAATGCCCAAAATAGGTATATTGAAGTTACTCATAAATTACTATTATTATTATTATTATTATTATTATTATTATTAATGCCCAACAATGTATATTGAAGTTGCTCACAAATGATTGCTATTATTAATAACAAAAGTAATAACATCAATATAATATTAAAAATGCCCAAAATATATTGCAGTTACTTAGACTTTTATTATTATTATTATTATTATTATTATTATTATTATTATTATTATTATCATCATCAGCAGCAGCAGCATTATTAATGCTCAAAAAAGCTGAACATTGAAGTTACCCAGATTTATTATTATTATTATTATTTAATTATTATTAAATAATTGACATTAACAACAATGTAAATTTAATAATGAGGTGAAAAAAACAAAACAAGAGAAACAAGAATGTCATTAATATACCACACATTGAAAAACTGAATGATGACTTATATGAATTATAGCTTTTCGAGCTGTTTTATCAGACTTTGATATCATTATTTTCAGTAGCTCTCTGACAGTCCATAAAAAATCATAACACTTTTAAAACATATGCTGGATAATTTGGCGGTTCATTCCCCTGTGGCGACTCCAGATTAATAAAGGGACTAAGCCGAAAAGAAAATGAATGAATGAACTCATGACATTAATTTGATTCATGTTCATGTTAGGCAACCAGGACTTTTTACAGAGTGTGAATGTGAGAGTGTTTTGGTGTTGGCCAGTACTGGGTTGCAGCTGGAAGGGCATTAGCTGCATAAAACATATGCTGGAATAGTTGGCAGTTTATTCCGCTGTGGTGACCCCCTGATAAATAAGGGACTAAGCCGAAAAAAATTAGTAAAGGAATGAGTATTTTAAAACAGACTTCATTTGAGCCAATGGAAAGGATATTTACACCGTCTGAATGGTTTATCCCCTATATAGTGCACGTTATGTGCTTTCAGCCGCAGCTTTAGCATCTATTAATAGTGTAAATATACAGATTCTAGAGAGCATTTCATTGGACAGAAGATCTGATGAGATTAAGCTGAAGTGCAGAGATGATCCATGTTCGTGGAAGCGAGAGACTGAAAGATTTGAGTGCATTTATCATTTCATCTATATGGGTCCTAAATATGCATTTTCTTTTATGAATGTTTCATTAAATCATTTCCTTTGGACCCCCTGTTGCCTTCAGAACTGCCTTAATCCTTCGTGGCATAGATTCAACAAGGCACTGGAAGTATTCCTCAGAGATTTTGCTCCATATTGACATGATAGCATCCTGTTCCACCACATCCCAAAGGTGCTCTATTGGATTCAGATATGTTGGCTGTGAAGGCCATTTGAGTAGTGAACTCATTGTCATGTTCCAAGAAACCAGTCTGAGATGATTCACGTTTTATTACATGGAGCGTTATCCTGCTGGAAGTAGCCATCAGAAGATGGAGACACTGTGGTCATTAAGGGATGGACATGGTCAGCAACAATACTCAGGTAGGCTGTGGCGTTGACACGATGCTCAATTGGTACTAATGGGCCCAAAGTGTGCCAAGAAAATATCCCCCACACCATTACACCACCACCACCACCAGCCTGAACCATTGATACAAGGCAGGATGGATCCATACTTTCATGTTGTTGACGCCAAATTCTGACCCGACCATCCGAATGTGGCAGCAGAAATGTAGACTCATCAGACCAGGCAACGTTTCTCCAATCTTCTATTGTTCAGTTTTGGTGAGTCTGTGTGAATTGTAGCCTCAGTTTCCTGTTCTTAGCTGACAGGAGTGGCACCCGGTGTGGTCTTCTGCTGCTGTAGCCCATCTGCCTCAAGGTTGGATGTGTTGTGTGTTCAGAGATGCTCTTCTGCAGACCTCGGTTGTAACGAGTGCCTATTTGAGTTACTGTTGCCTTTCTATCAACTTGAACCAGTCTGGCCATTCTCCTCTGACATCAACAAGGCATTTGCGCCCACAGAACTGCCGCTCTCTGGATATTTTTTTCTTTTTCAGACCATTCTCTGAAAACCCTAGAGATTGTGTGAGACAATCCCAGTAGATCAGCAGTTTCTGAAATACTCAGACCAGCCTGTTTAGCACCAACAACCATGCCATGTACAAAGTCATTTAAATCACCTTGCTTACCTATTCTGATGCTCGGTTTGAACTGCAGCAGATCGTCTTGACCATGTCTACATGCCTAAATGCATTGAGTTGCTGCCATGTGATTGGCTGGTTAGAAACTTGTGTTAACCAGCAGTTGGACAGGTGTACCTAATAAAGTGACCGGTGAGTGTAAGTCTTACAGATATATACTGTTGTTTCCAAGCCATTACTTTTTATATTATAATATTACAAAACTGGCATACATTTGAATCATCAATATTGAATCTTAACCTAACAAATTTATTTGCAGGATAAATATGATTCATAATTTTAAAGGGCACTTCTTTGCATTTAGAATTAACAGGATATGAAAGAAGTTTTGTTCCTACTGAAATACACATTTTCTTATGATAATAAGACAAAATATGAGATATAAGCTCTTTTAACAGGTCCTGGAAAACACTATTGTGTTAGACAATCTTTCAAAAACTAGCTTTCTATCTGTACAATTTACATTATCTTAAGATCAATTGTTTTGGGAGTCATCGTTGAATATGTCATTTGTTTCTTCACTAAGTTAACCATTTGCTAATGTATATTCTTAATAATTGTATCATACCTTTTAGGGGAACAACTTATTTGGTATTTTCTACAGAAAGCATCATAACTCAAGATATTTACTATAACATAAGGTCCACACTGTAATGAAAAACTAATTAAGATAATATTAGAAAACCCTTAATTTGCGCTTCATCCGCACTTCCGGTTTCCGGTCGGCACCCGCCCCGCTCCGCCATCATTAAGTCCTGAACAAAAAGCGAATGAGACAGGAAAAGAAAAACAGGGATGGACCCGTCGATGACAGAAAGAGGCGAACCGAGCGCACGACACCGACGGCATGACAAGAAAATGATGAAAACACGCGCGGCGGAGGCGGAATTTCGGACCGTGATTTAAAAGTGTTCGTTGTGCTTGACAGTCAGCTGATCCGAGTCCGTTAACGGTTAACGGCAGTATTATTCCTACGTTTCATCAGCACATTATCGGACCCAATACGTTAGAAATAGATGGATCGCTATCCGGATCGATCGCTTTTTGTGAAGTGAAACGGCGGAGAAGAGGCCAGATTTTCCTCTGCAGGCCAGGAGCTAGCTGACTCAAGCTAGCTACAGTGGATCCCATAAACCACGGTAGGACTGGCTCGTATAAATCATTTAATGCAGAGCTGGATGACATGCATGGCGTGAAATATCGCTGAACTGCCGTTTCTGTGCTTAAAACCATTATTTCAGCTGTTTTTGCAGAACATTTAATGTATTTTGGGTGTTTAATTTCAGATTATTGCACAACGCAAGCTGATACATTCTCCGAGCTGCATCGCTTTATCTTTTTTAATGCTCCATAATGTATTATTTATCCCTCTAATGCTTGCAATATGTACTATAATCATTTAATTCGTTCAAGTATCGGACAAAATCTGTAACTCTGAATGCGTGTTTTGTATTGTCATATTAAATATATAGCTCATAAACATTAATATAGCAAATATGGAGCGTATATTTGAGGAGAACGCATACATTTTGTCCTCACCAAAGCTCAAACTATTAACTTAAATTTCATGTAGTTTTTGTTTATAGGATATTCTAATATCTTGTAACGTTTATCATTGAATTTTTATATTACAGTACAGCAGACTCATAATATCTGATGGCATTCTGTGTCTTTCAGAAATGTATATTGAGGTAAAGTGGGTTTTATATTCGCACATTCATTCATTTAACTGCCTTTGTAATATATACCATGCTACTTTAAATATTCGGTCTGAAATGGCATGCAAGTATGACCTCAAAACAACATTAGCACTATTTATTTGACTGTGAACAATGTTGTACTTTAATAGTCATTGGCTGCTAATATGACTTCCCTGTTTAGCATGAACAAAGAATACTAGGCTGAAATTACATTATTAAGGAGAATGTCTGAATATCCGAATATAAAACCAACTTTACCTCATTTTTCCTTGCCGAGGCTCAAACTAAGAAATAAATTAAATTTGATGTAGTTTTTGTTTATAGGAAATTTTTATATCTCTAACGTCTATCATTGAATTTTTATCTAACAGTACAACAGACTCGTATTACAAAATACTTAATAATATCTGACGGCATTCTGTGTCTTTCAAAAATGCATTACTGTTAACAATTGTTTAAATGCATTCATTTAATGCTATACAGTGATCATGGAGAGAATAACTTTGTTTTATATGTTAATCAATGGATTTATGAATGTACCAAAAGGCTTGACTTGCTATAAAAAGGTAGCCATAAACCATCAATGCGACAACAGATAGTTTGTATAACTACAAGAGGTTTTCCTGCAACATTTTGATAATAATTTTTTTTGTACGATCATGTGTGTGATTTGTAAAGTTCATTTAAGAAAATAAAATGCTGTTATTTATAGGGATGTAACAAGTATAGATTTTGGTTGTACGATTATTATGCATTCGTTACTTTCAAAACACTACTAGTTTAGAAAATCGCATGAAAACTCCTTATTTATCAAAATATATAATTAATTATTTATTTTATGTTTAATTATTATTATTATTATTATTATTATGGGGTCACAGTAGGTAGTACTGTCGCCTCACAGCAAGAAGGTTGCTGGTTCGAGCCCTGGCTGGGTCAGTTTCTGTGTGGAGTTTGCATGTTCTCCTCGTGTTCGCGTGAGTTTCCTCCGAGTGCTCCGGTTTCCCCCACAAGTCCAAAGACATGTTTTATAGGTGAATTGGGTAAGCTAAATTGTCCGTAGTGTCTGTGTGAATGAGTGTGTATGGATGTTTCCCAGTCATGGGTTGCAGCTAGAAAGGCATTTGCTGCGTAAAACATACGTTGTGGTGACCCCTGAATAATTAAGGGGCTAAGCTGAAAAAAATTAGTAAAGGAAGGCACAATAATAATAAAAACAATCAGTAGTCCATTTCTCTTTTGACTTAAAAATAAGTGAAAAAGTTTTTTGCATTGTGCGCACAAGTAATAATTTTACACTGAAAATTAATAACAGAACATTGAATAAATAAATTAAAATAGAAAAAAAAAAAAATAGTATTTGTTTAATTTATTTTGTTTTTCTATTTAAAGAGAATGGTGTGTAGTCAAAGGCTAAGGCAGATTTGGTCAACTATATTATGAACTTATTTGGTATTTTCATTCAGATTTTTTTTCTCTTTGGATTAAAAATGTGAATATTCAATACAAAGTATGAAGCTGAACGGTCAGTTCTTGTCACGTGACTCGCAGGGTGCTCACGTCATTTTTTTCAACTAGGCGCGCCTGGAAAGCAGGAGCGCACCACTTGCACATCACTCCCAATATGTGCGCAGGAAAGGAAATAACGAACTTGCACGATTACGCAAACTTGTGATTACTGCTCTAAAATATGTTCTTTTTAAATGTCTGGGTAAAAAAAATCCACTTTGAACACAATATGTTTTAATTTGGGAAAAATGTAAGATATTTGCAGCAGTAAATAATAGCAGGCTAAATAATTCAAATCAATTATTGACTTCATTTGTTTCAAAAACACAGATTTCTTTGCAATTTAATATCTTTGAATATCTTTTCTGCTGGAGATACTATTGTCCTAAAAAAAACATAAAAAAAAACATTTAATAAAATCTTTCATATACCATACGAATAGCAGAAATGTTGGCCGTTTTAAAACCTTGACTTTTCCTAACTGTAGTATACCTTGTAAAGTTTTTCGTCCTATGTCTAAGTTGCAGCAGCTTTGTTCCGTGCAGAAATGTGGTGTTAGGAAGCCTTTACAATTAATTAATGCTGGGAAAATCACACGTGACCTGAGCTGCTGAATGTGCAGGCGCGCACCCTAATGATAGCACGCATCTACTTTAGTGAACAGAACCTGCATATGCTGTGAGTAAAAGGTAATAAAGGTTTAAACAATATTCAGTTTGTGGCACAGAGGGATCGTTTGAGAGCCGCGCGCGAAGTATGAACGGCACTTAGCAGTGAAAATGAAACCAAAAGCATGCACATCATTTAAATGATCATCGCATTTTATAGTTATGAATGCGACAAGCATTTGATATGTTTTTTCTTTCATAGCGAACACACAGTTGTGCATGAAAATAAATGTTTACAGTGTCAGTATAGCTACTCTAGCCTATAATGTTGATTTCAGTGAATTAAATGGTCTAATAATGTTGTCAATGACAGATTGCAAGCATAGGCCTATATCTCAAACATAATTCAACAACAGAATTATTATAAGTAGAATATAATTATTTATAGAAGTAGACCTACACATAATATTATTGTTGTTTTACCATATGTTTGAGAAAAAACAATAATAATTGCCGACTCATATTAAGCTTTATTTTACATCTACAGAATCGTAAGAAAATCGTGATCTTTATTTTAATCAAAAAAATAATAATAAATCGCGATTCTCATTTTAGCCAGAATCATGCAGCTCTATTATCAGGGTTCTTACGGGTGCTGGAAATCCTGGAAAATGCTTGATTTTTAATAGAGTGTTTTCAAGGTTGGTGCTTGGATTTTGGACAAAGTGCTTGAACCTGCTTGAATTTGCAGGGCTTGAAATTGTGACTGTTTTGGTTGCATATGCATACAATTTTGTCTATGTGACCTCAAAATATATTAGGGAGCATTTGTGCGAGTGCATAAATTGTTCTCGCGCGACCAGTTTACATTGCAAAATGTTCAGCGCATGCGCACATTTATGGAGCTAATAATAAGTCAAAACAATCTGATGTTGAATTGTGTTAAATTGAATTATTAACATTTGTAAGTTAATAATACTGATTATGTCCTAGAATGTTTTTAATTTGTATTTTTTAACTTGATTATTGAGGCTAAATTGTCCGTAGTGTATGAGTGTTTGTGTGGATGTTTCCCAGAGATGGGTTGTGGCTGGAAGGGCATCCACTGCGTCAAAACTTGCTTGATAAGTTGGCGGTTCATTCCACTGTGGCGACCCCGGATTAATAAAGGGACTAAGCTGACAAGAAAATGAATGAATGAACTTGATTACTGAACATCTGAAATTTAAGACAACTTAATTTTTTAAGTCAGATTTTTATAGACATATTTTTAAACCTGAAACGCCAATCCAATCACTGCAAAAAAATAGCAATGCACATGAAATACCATGAACGACTGATCATGAAAGTTTGGGACTACACCCAAACAAAATCTGACTGTAAGATCATTTTAAAAGCGTACTTCATCGAATAACTAAACGTTTTAAAAATTATTTTTAAAATAATTTTGGCTAAACTATCTCAATAAACCTATGCTCTAAAGTGCTCAACAATTTTTTGTTTTTTAAAATAGCACAATGGATTTAAATGTGAAAAAGTACATACAACATATGTAAACGTAATTAACCGTGGTTATTAGGTGCTGGAAAAGCATACAATTGCACCTTGAAAGTGCTTGAAAAGTGCTGTAATTTGAAGTTGGAAAAGGTGTAAGAACCCTGTATTATGCATTGAAGACTACAGAGAATTAAAATTAGTTTGATTATATATGACTTAAAGAAGAACGTCATACACATGCATTTAGAGTGAGTAATCTTGAGGTCATTTTCTTTTCTTTGTGAGCTAGTCCTTAAACAGTCAACCTTGAAATAATAATTTCTTTAATATTAAATTCCTCCAAGATTCAACACAATACTGTTCTGCATGCGAGAGTGATTGAACACACACTGTCACAGAGTACAAGAATCTCCCATTTCATCTGCTTTAGCTCTTTCCAGGTGATTCTTTATGCGTGTGTGCTAAATGCCTCATCTTAAGATGGAAATGACTCAGAGCGTCATGGAGAGGTGTGAATCGGAATCGTGAGTCAGGTGTCTGGTCTAGCGTCCTGCTTTCCAATGCTCTTATGTGATGCATAATTAAGCACAATTATTCTTATGCAATCAGCCCTGTTGTGGATGCTTCAGATCATCAGCCTATTTCAGCTTTTTCTTATATAATGCACTCTGTTGCATCGGCATCATTTAGTGGCGCTTGACTGTTTGTGTAGCCTTGAGTTTTCTGCATATATCAGACTGACGTTGAGATCACGCCATTATGATCAGATATGTACAACCCAATTTAATAAATCAGGAAAAAAACACAATACACTATCCCTCAAGA